GTAAAGCTTCATCGAAATCTAAATAAAACTGTGGATTTGTACAGCACGCAGACGGGCAGCCATACCAGCAGACGGAATTTCAATTTTATTTGTGATAAGATAGGTACTAGGTAAATAATATAAATAACATTGATGTTGAAACGGGAAAACGAATTTATTTTTTGGCGTCCGTTCGACTCAATAATGAAAGCAATAAAAATGTATATTTACTTTCTATACAAGTAAAGATGTACCTGCACTTACTTATTATTATTGATAATCTATCCGGAGCGCTCGAGGTTAACGTCACCGTGGTGCAGCACTCTCGCTATATAGGTATATACTATGCATTAGGTACATAAAAAAAATAGGTAACATCATTTTTTTTTTTTTTCAGAATAGTTTACATGTTTTACGAGCAACAAATCATCCGCAATCATATTCACGTCGATCGACCAATTTAGATTTTAATCTATATTATACAATAATAATATAATCGTATACTATATAGTAAAGCGCCCGCCCGTCTTTGCGCTGCCTTCGGGTGTCCTAAAACATACGTTAAAAAAAAAAAAAAATAATAATAATTTTAATAAAATAGGATAAGGGGAAAAAAAATGATAACATGTTTTTACACGTGTATAACAAAATTCGGTAATAAATAAACACATCGACCGCCGCCACAGTAATATGTTGTTATTATTATTAATTAGTATGCACTACGTTGTATATTATTATAATGCACTTGATGTAAAAGGTATTGTAGAATGAAAAATAGTTACACCCAAAATGTGTTCAAGTTACGAAACGCGTGTTACTATTATTATTATATTTACCGAAGCCAATAATAATAAACGACGCAAATTGATGTAAAACGACAGGGCGTCTTTATAATACACACCCGATCCGAATATTATGTACAAAAAAAAAATCTACACGACTATATTATATACCTATATAATATTATGCTCACTACTACTCACTCACGGTTGTTAAATTATATTTTACACCGTATTTGTAATATTCTATACCGAATAATATTATCTATGCTGATCGATGCATTTTGATAATATGTATTACTTATAATATAATCCGAGGTGTATACTTGCTGCAGAAACGTTATATTAGTTGTATTGGTTGGACGCGAATGGAGCTATGAGCTATGTAAAAACATGTATAAAAAAAAAAATGTATAAAAACCCATGTGTGTAACGGGGCGACTTTTGTGGTTATCCGGTGCGTGTCTTCTCCATTAAAAAAAAAACTCTACGAGCATACGGACAAAACTTTTCCCTTAACATTCAAGACTTTTCTCGGTTCCCCTCTCCACACCAGCGAGAGTATTTTCTACAAAAATTATAGTATTTTGTCAAATAATTCAAATCATTTTTTAAATGATATTGAATTCAATTTAACGTGTCGCTTACCTACTTTAGCTATTTCACCAATATCATACGAAAATATCGAAAAAACAATATGAATAATTATAATTCAAATAATTGAATAAGTACCTAATCTTCATACGTTATAACTAAATAATAATCATTAATGTGTTTATTAGATTGACGAATGTTGGGAAAAGTTAATAAATTAAAATGCTAAAAGAAACTGGATTCAATATTTAAATAATTTTATGAATACCGAAAAATAAGATTTTAAATAATTTATGATTATTCGAACACAAATTATTTGAACATGTTATATTTCCAACACTATCATTCGAACACACGCATTTCGCTCATACGGTCCCATTACCATGCGTTCGTATATACCTACACAAAATTTCATCCTCCCGGCTTCATTTGAGTAGTTGAGAGATTAAATTCGTATTTCACTAGAAATGAATCATTGCACACAGATACAGATATAAATCGAATAACTATACGCACATTATCCTACCTTATTAACTTCCCATCTGCAACAGTGACAACCTTCTGGATACTCTACGCTGTAGTATAGTGTAATCACGAAAAATAATATAAAATTATGTATTTATTATTATTGTTTTTGGTCGATTACAAAAACTAATGAAATAAATCGTGCGTAGTCCATAATATTATGATTGTGTGTTACTCTATATGTCTTCATATCCTGCTTAAAAAATCAGAGGATGTTCTGTAATCACTCTGCTTTTTTTTTTACGACTACAGCATTGATCGGCAGTATCAGTTCTTTTCGTTTAGAAAAAAAAAAAAAAACAAATATCGGCTCGTAGGAATTTAAATATAATACTCATATTTAAAATTCAAAATGTCGATAATATCTATACGCGTATGCAGATGTAATAACGTGCCCTGGTTTGGCTGATCTATTTATCGTCGCGCAGCCCAAACCACTGGACGTATCGGGCTGAAATTTAGCACGCAGATAGCAATTATGACGCAGGCGTCCGTTGAGAAAGGGTTTTTCGAAAAGCCATCCCCCGAGGGAGCAAAATAAGGATTTTTAGGTATTTTTAGTACGAATGTCTGATTGTTTATTAATTAATGATTATCCATGGGGGTTACCTTGGTGACGTGGATGACAATTCGGTTGCCGCCGACAAGAATGTTATTATTATTGGGTACTACTATTATTTACACTATTATCTAGCAACAGCAAAACATTGCCTCTGACATTGTCAGCTGCTACACGCGTATAGAGTTATATTAATAAAAACGTTACGAATTTATGTTTAGAAATCAATTTATTCGAATAGCGTAAAACTCCTTGTCAATCCAATCAACAACCGTAACCACATATTTTGTAACTGGACACTAGACACGGCCAACTAGACCCGGACGGATAGACGCGACGGGAATCTCTAAAACCGTTCGAATAGGTTTTAATCCAACGACAAGTCCGACGGATACTGTATGCTGCGGCACTCGGGTGTGCCCGTCACGACTCGTCGCATTGCAGCTATACATGAAAATATTACACCCGTACATAGGCTTCCGCGTTCGATTATTCGGCATTTAAAATCGGAATCGCGCCCAATGAGATTTTTCACGCGCGTCGCGATACCGTCGTGATAACACGACGATAAGTATCTAAAATATCGCCGTGAATTCCGGAAGCGGTTTCGCGCCGCCGCCGTGCAGCGCTCGTGGATGTCGTACGCGTGATATTGTAACGCGCGCGCGCGCGTGTGTGTGTATGTGTGTGTGTGTGTGTGTGTGTGTGTGTGTACGTATGTATGTGTGTGTGTGTGTGTATATATATACAGTGTGTATACAAACAAGCCGTCATTAGAGTATTAATATTATGCAACGAGACGGCGGCGTTTCGAAACACCCTCTAATCGCCGGGTACGATCGCCGCTGCCCGGGTCCGAATTCTTCTTTTCACACGGGGCCCCGCACTCGCGACGGTTGACGCGATAATCGTCGGGGGCCCGTCTGTCGGAGAGAACTTTTTTTTTTTTGTTCTTTTCTACCGGCGACGACGTCGTCGCGGGGAGACCGCTAATGGCCGCACGTAACATTTTTATTTTTTATTATTATTATTAGTATTTTTTTTTTATTTTTTTTTTGTTTTTTTTTTTTTTTTTTTTTTTTTTTTTTTACACATATTATAAACCGATATTATACGTTCGGCGTATATTATTTTATTGGGTACGCGTTACGATATTTTTACCGACGTCCGCGGACGGTGCTGCGAGCAAGGAGTAGCCTGTCAAATCGGACGATCGCGCAGCCGCCGCCGCCGCGGTATTTGACTTTCTCACACGGAGCGGCGGCGCGTTTGTTATTATCGTCGTCACAATAACACATAAACGCGGTTTTCGATGCCGAAATTTTTTCCCCGACAAGCGTGGGCGCGTCATTAAAACCCCGTAATTTTCTCTTACGCGGGTATATATTTAAAAAAAAAAAAAAAGAAATAGCGTACCCATATATTGTATACCTGCGTATATGGGTACGTGTTAAAAATTCATACCGAACGAGAACGACGTAAAAATGCTAATCGTGTCGCCGACAGATCGCTCAATTAGATACCTGTATGTATATACATACGTAGTTATGGCAGTCGTTAAAAATCCTACATCGGAACATAAAAATACGGTTTTTTTCGCCAATTGTATGTTTTGCCGGGAAATCTGCCCCCCCCCCCCCCGGGGCNGGGGGGAAGGTTTATTTTTCAAAAAAAAAAAAAAAAAAAAAAAAATGCTAAAATAACAGTTTAATTATAGGTGCGCAACGGACGGGGCCGACTCATCTTCTGCGCTCGGCGTCTGGGGTGAAATACAATTCATCTCCCACCGTAATTCAATGGTGGCCTAACGCATTATTATTGTTGTAGTATCGCTGTTGTTTTTGAGAGCCTGAGCGAAACGAACAACATAATGGTCTTACTATGTGTGTGTGTGTGTGTGTGTGTGTGTGTGTGTGTGTGTGTGTGTGTGTGTCAACAAAAAATCACGTTCCAATCAAAAACTATAGTTGATTCAAATTGGTGGGAAATGATTTTCGATTCTCCTCGTAGTTTTTCCGATAAATCGGAAAAACTGGCAATATTCTGTACAATTTTTATTGATTTCTGAATCACCCTGACAATATGTGAACAAAACTACGAATAATTACGTTCTCCTCAAGAACGTTTATCGTTGCGTGCAGATGTAAATTATTGAACAATTACTCTATAATAATATTATCCCCCTTTCCATGTATTAGCTTCTTTTCTTTTTTTTCCTTTCTGTGATTATTATCATAGCGTCAAAGTATTTATATTACCGTCGTTATTCGTATTACGTTCATGAATCAGCGCAAAGGCAGCGTCGTATATACGCGTCAAAAAAATAATAAATAATAACAATGATTTACAGGTGTCTACGCGTATATTCTTGGCGCTATCGCATACGTGTTTTTCGCCCGTATATTTTTTACACGGGCGAATATTTTGAGAGTATATTTTTTCGAAATTCGCCGTCGTACACGCGATACTGACGAACGAGAAATCTGAATGGTGAGAAAAAAAAAGATTACAAAATCTGGGTCCCGGTGTCGACGCGCGTACATTGGCACTGCAGCCAATCGGGTTCAGTCGGAACTGAGGTTTTCGCGACGGTTGTCGGAGTCCGGTGTCGAAACGCTTTCCGTGGCGTTCCGTCCGCCACTGCCGATCGCCGCGATCCGCCCAGGGGCGATCGCCGGGGTCCGCGGCGGAGGCGGCGGTGGCGGTGGCGGCGGCTCAATGGTAATCCACGACGACCCGAAGGAATCTTCGAAATCGTCGAAATCGCCGGCAACGCCGTCGTCGCGGACGTCGTCCGTATCGGTCCTGGCGTCTTCGTTGGCCGCGGTCTGCTGGTATCTGTTTCCCTTGGCGTTCGCGACGGACGCGCCGCGATTTCGCAAACGGGCCGATAACTTGGCGTGAATTTCGACGGCTTGATCGTGTCTCGACTGAATCGCTTGTTTCTGCGTCTTCGTCACGAAAAAACCATACGGGAAATTAAAAAAAAAAACGAAAAATTTGAAGCTTTCGCGATGTACACGACGGTATCGGGTGGACATCAGTGACGTAATTTCGACTTTTCGAAAACGAGAACTTTTTTGATGGGAGGCGGGAGGATTCTATACAGGGACTGCATACGGAAATGCTCGAAGGATGGGGGACGCCACATTTTATGGACTTGAAATCATGTGGATCTTTAAGATTTTTGTCAAATTTTGCATTCAAGGCCAACAATTTTCGGTCACTCGAATATGGTTTGAATGTAATAGGTATTTATTTTTAAATTTATTATAAATAAAATTATCACAGTAATAAGCAAAAGTATAACTGGTATAAAATGTAGAATTTGAATGCATACAATTTACGATTTGAATTACTATTATCAGTGTTATTTTACTGATTCGATTTACAGACATATTTAATTTCATGGAATTAATAATCGTTTGAAAAAAAAAATAGTTTTAGGGGTTTTTCACGTTTTTTTTTTTTTTTTTATCTTTTTTGCGATTTTATGGGCACTCGGGGTATGGTTTGAACAAAACACTTACGATTATCTCCTTCAGAAAATCTTCAATCAAATGCTTGTCAGTTGAAGTTTTCAATTTAGCCCATTTGGCTTCCATGTGACGCGTGCACGCCGATTCTAAATCCGCATAAAGCTTTTCTGTAGTATAACATAATATACACGTAAAAGTATATTAAACTTATTTAAAACGCATGATAATATAAATAAAATATGACGAAGGTGAATGGAATCAATTCGTTTTTTCAGACACTTAGAGTTAGACCAATATATATATTTACAGTAGTAGCACGATTTCAGTTTTGAAAAATTATTCGAACACTTCTTTTCTACGTTTTGTGGGATATTTATTTATTTTTTTTTTTATTTTTATAATACTGGAATACGAGTTAATTTTAAGAAAATTATATAAAATCATCTACCTGTAGAAAAAAAAAACGAACAAATATTTCGTAGAAAACGCACACTAGAATACAAGCGGCAACTGTAATTTTACTCCAGCTTACTATGGTCTTAACTCTAAAACACGTCATCATATTATTTGTCTGTAAAAACGGCTGTAACCTTGTCCGTTGAATGACTACCGGTCAGTAGATTAGTGGAAAAGTATCGTCAACGAAATTTTGCTAAATTTGGGAAAATTTGGAAAACCGTTCCCAACCCCCTTAAGCGGTTTATTAGTTTATTAATATTAGTTAGAAGATCGTGCTCTTCTGAGGATCATCATTTTTTTTTTTTTTTTTTTTAATAACTGTACTTTTTTTTTTATCGTCTGATTTCAATATTAGGGATAAGAAGTTACGGGAATCGCGTGGTTCTTTTTAGGCCACTATTTTACAACAAACCAACATATAAATGCACCGCATAAGCTCTAAAGTCTAAATATACATTTCCCCCCCCCTCCCGAATCAGTGCATAATCTTGCATATTATAACGTTACATTATTCATTAAAAATATAATATATATTAATATGCACAAACAACGGGTACGATCAACGTTCAACATACACAACTACACGGGGAAACATACACATATAAAATTAAAACGCACTCGAAGGTCACTTTTAATTTAATTGTATTTTTATTATACATATTATTTTTTTTTTTTTTTTGTAAATCAGGACGTAGGAGTGTCAATAACTTATGGTTGTGTGCAATATTTGTTGTTCATTAAAAAAAAAAAAAATTCGCATTTATAAATTGTATAATATTTTAAACTTTTTGAAATGTTATTATGGGCATCGCCCGATTGCGTCCCGGTTCGATTTTTTTTAACACTTCTCTAGTTTCGATTTCGTCCGGTTGTAATCGGTATGCATCCGATTGCGTCCCAAATAAAAAATCGAGAATTTCGATTACGTTCGACAACATTATTTTAAGTGGTTGCGAGCCGCATATTAGACTGGGAAAGTGAGAACCACCGGTTTTTTTATCATTATAAAAATAGCAACATGTCAGAAATTAATTCCAAAAAAGCACAGAGAAAATAGTAACAATAAACAAGAATTTATCGAACAATCGAAATAAACAATTTAAGAAATAATATTATAGCCCGTTTAGACTACTTGAAAAAAATGTCACCCAGATCGTTTTTCTCTCGATAAAATTTGATAATAATTAAAAATAGAATAGTAAAAAAGGTCCGAATGAGACGCAATCGACGTATTCGATTTTCCGTTTACCCGACATCAGGGACACATTCGACCGTCTCCGGTTGTTATTACTGCATACCCGATTTAAATATCGTGTTAAAATATTACTCCCGCAGTTATTAGAACAATAATAATAATAATTCCTATCGTACATAATTCCATCCTTAAATGCTATAATAATTGGTGTCTAAATTGGCGCGTTAATTGTTTACGGTACCCTGCGCGCGATCTATCGGCCACGGCCGTGAACTGTATAGCTGAACAACCCGGCGTGGCCGACGACATTGCGTTTGACGCGGCCGTGCACGTTTCGGCCGCTACACCGGCCTCGCGATCGAACGGCTGCCCGGTCCCGAGCGCGACTGTCGACAGCCCGCGGACTGCTGCGCCGAGCAGATGGAACGAGCGGGTCCCCCCTAGCAACCATTGGAGTCCCGATCGGCGCATCCGAGTCGAGTCCCGGGCTTTTGCGGGTAGCACACTAGCCGTCTGGTACCGTCATATTACAACACAATATATCTATCATAATACGTCTACCGGTTGACGGAGGTTTTAAAAAGTACCCGAATTGATACTCGCATTAAAATGAGCGATTCAAAAAAAAAAAAAAACAAAATTGTATTTGACGAAATGAAAAATGTACGAAGGATTAAATGGCAGCAAAAATCACTGGCAAAATAGATACCGAGTTTGTAAAAACAAGTAGGAAAACCTTTTGCATTGCTTTCAAACGTTTTTAAAAACTAAAACCAATAATAATGGTTCTATGTTAAAATGACAGTAGAGTAATTTAAAATGTATAGGTACAACCTGAGCGATTACCCATATCGGTACAATGTACAAGTATATTGCCCATGACGATTATAAACTAATCCTAAGTATAAGAAATAGTGTTTGGGACTATGTGTGTGTGTTTTTTTTTCTCGGTATAATCGATATTAGATAAATGGTAAAGTTTACTTCTGTTTTCGTAAAGTTTCGAATATTCGTCGATTTCGGTTACCATATCGGCCGCGCGCAAATTTCTGTTGTTGAGAAACGTCATGGTTTTCATCTGCGAACTCAGATCCTCGCAAGTCCGACACAATTGAGTGACGGTCAAATTATAACTCGATTTCTGCTCCCTGTGTACATATTTATATTGCATACATTATTTAGGTAGGTACAATGCAAAAATTACGATTTTAATTGTTTTAGATTCTGAATAGAGCGAGGAATGTATTGGTTTTACAATGATGTTTATTTTAATTTAATTTTTTTTTTTTTTTTTTTCTGTGGACAATCACTTTTCTACCAGTAATTATTTGCTCCGATTGATGCATTTTTCCTGAAAGGAAATCGGACTGGAGAGATACCGCGGGGAGGTCGTTTTTCGATTTTCCCAGAGTTTTTCTCGACAAATGAGAAAACCCGGGAGAAACGGGAAAATATACGTACAACATTAAACAAATACTATTAAAGAACATCGTTTTCCGTTAGCAATGGTTAATCGTTGTTTACGGGTATACATTAAACTACCCGATTAATTAACAGTGGCTGCACCCGTGCTCATTATCCTAGGACAGCTTTTTTTTATTCCACGTGTATTAAATGCTGTATAATATTACGCGTGTTTTTAACTAATATATATATATATATTATAATTATTTTTGAATTGTACGCTTTAATACGGTATAATATTCAATGGGTTTATTATTTTTTTTTTTTTTAATAACCATGCAACATATAGATATTCAGAAGACATTAAACGAGTTACATTTTCAGTATGTACACGTACAAATAATAATACATACTAGGATCATGCATTATTAAATATTCATATGCATTGACTATATTTGACTTATTGACTATAGAGCATTACTTCTTTTTCTTCCCCTTTGCCTTCGTCCCAGCTATTCGGGGTCAGTCACCCTTGCTCTAAACGTCCATTTAAACCGACCTTGCATACACCGCCTATTCTCATATCATTCTCAACTGCATCCTCTCAACTTCTTTCCTATTGTGTTCATTTTCGAATTACGATTCTCGCTACTTCACATTCCTCTCTCCTCGTGATACGTTCAAACCATCTCGGTCTATTTTCTCTCGTTTTGTCTACTAGCGAAGCCATGCTTAAACTTTCTTTTATGTACTCATCCCTTATCCCTCATCCCTTCCGCCGTCGTTCCACTCATTCACCAAAGCGTTCTCATCTCTACCATACCCATTCTCTGTCTTCCGCCCAACACTCCAAACCACACAATATAGTCAGTCACCCTACGCTCTTATAAAATCTACCATTTAAGTCACATTGCAGGAATTCTCTTGTCACATGAAATACCCGACCCTTCTCTCCGCTTTATCCAACCACACCTAATCCTATGTTTCTCCGAACTCTTACTCTATACTCTGTTGTGCTTCTACTTATCCTTAGTCCCTTTCCTTCCAGTGCTACTCTCTATTCCCCAAGTTAATTTCTTTCAGATGTTCACCGATCAAAGCTTTATCATATGCAAACATCATGTACCATGTTAACTCCTCTCAACTGTTGATTGTTTAAAACCAAAACAACCGTAATCGTAAATAAGAATAGAATGATAAACACAAATCAAAACAATCATTAACAAAACGCAAAGGAACCTCACTTGGCAGGAAAAAAAAAAATGTTTTATACCCTTGTATAAAATAACTCTACACAGAGTGTATAATACCATATATTACAATACAATACATTTTACGGGTATACACGCGTATATTACAATCTTCGCATCACTATGTATATGTATACAAGTATATTATATAGAAACAACGATACGATATTACATAACTACCTATATATTATTTGAAAATAACGTTGCACCTTAATATAGTGAGTAGAATTAAAGAGAGAAAAAAATGTCATCCAAATGACTATTAGAAGTAAAATGCGTGTTTAACTACACTATAAAAATTATACATGGACGAGTGCCAACATATTATACGTACTACCTATCCGAGCATGTGGTGGATAACTATAATATAAATTATAATAAATAGATACCGTTAACGGAATCGTTCAAAAATATAAGTACCTACCCGATATTGCAATCGGAAACGGCAGAAAATAAATAGGTCACACTGAAAATAATGTCGTTGGCAATGTTAACAATATGAGTAGGTATATTACATTGTTGTTAATTGTCAACATTGTTCACTCGACAATACTAAAATTATCATTTGGAAAATAGCTTATGCACATGGCGAGATATTTGTCGGTGGTATTAGAAACACGACACACGACTATCACAACACGATATTTGGGTTTTATGAATGAAGGATGGTTGGACAGGTGGGTAGCCATCATTTTTATTTGCAAAATGGTATACCGCCAGATGCCGTAGGGACAAACCGTCGTAGGTATAGTTCAATCAACACCTACGTAATAGATTTGTGTAGGTATTGAATTTGTTTAATAATACGACCATAACCTCATTTTCTGGAATTTTTATTTTTACTTGTGGCAGTATTGTACTAAAGATGCGACGTATACCTAGGTATAATACCAATAGAATAATACGATTTTTTGGTACCAAGGGCGGACTAGCCCGGTGGGTAGGTAGATATATGTTCAATGGGCTGTTTTTCGTATTGAGACAGTGGGTCGGGTTGGAGTAAAAAAATTGAATATTCTGTGAACATTTCAGGTCTCTAGGATTATATGTAACCTAAATACAACCAAAAAACAAAATTGAAATTAATATTGTCGATAATTTTCCTGTTTTCGCTGCGTTTTTTCCATCTATTAAGAGAAATTGTCAAAAAATGACCTCAATAAATCAATTAAATAATGTAATACTTTAAAAGGTACCCTCTACAGTCCCCCTGATAGGTTTGGTGTATCACACTATAATATCAGTTAAAATGTACGGGTGATTAATTTAGTTAGGCTAAATTTCGATTCAGACCACTGTGTGGCGAAGCCAAGTGGGAGTTCTGAATGTTTCTAGCTATGCAAATAATGTTAAAAATGCTTCAGACACCTAAATCCCTAGACCACCCCCCATTGATAAATCCTGGTTACACTGCTTTACCTAATATCTTTCCTACAGTTGTGTTACAATCAATCACGGTTAAATATGTCGTTGATCACGAAAATTTTGAAAGACCTTGTAACAGCTAATAAACTACAAAAGTTGAATTTTAGGTACCTAAATGTATAAAGGTCGTATATATACATATATAAACGGGTAAAAGTGGACAATGGCGGATCCAGGGGAGGGAGTGATTGAGGCGATCTTTAGCTCCAATATACTTTGAACTTGATTTCCGTTATACATTTTTACCTTATATGAATTTCCAAAATCGCCCCCCCCCTTTTATAGTCCTTGACTAGATCCGCCTCCAGTCAATTCCCTATATCTCACTCGGAATAAACGCCATTTACGTATTCACGGAGCACCGCGTTTCCCTTGAGAAAGTCCAAGAGGCCGTTCAGTTTTCCGACGAACTGTTGATAATCCGACAATGCGCGGCGGTCCGACATTTCGCTTAAAATCGACTTGATATCGTCAACGTGTCGGGCAACCTTATCGGGCAAAGGTCTGAAGACTTCCAAGTCTTTCAGCCGGCGACGGTCGTCATTTGATAGTGGATCGTTTTGGACCTTAGGTTTTTTTTTTTTGCCAAACAATTTTTTTATAGTCAAAAAGTTCATCACTGCTGCCGCGGCCGTTGAGTTTAATATTTCTTTAACTAAAATAAACGTTTTTTTTTTTTTTAATATACTGATAAGGTGCTAAAATTTTGTTAATTGGTACCTATTTAAAGTTAGACGTTATTTTGTGGACTAGTTGACGTCAGTCAAACGCAAGATAACCAAATAAGAAGTTTAGTATAATAATGATTATTGATTTCCACATGCGGTTTACTGTATCATGTTCGAATTTTAATAAATCGATTTTTTTTTTTCACAAAATTATTTTGTTAATATAGTACAGATCTATAAAAATAGAAATGCTAAACAATTTCAAAAATTAAACACAAACTGAACGTGTCATTATAAAATTTATAAAAATAATAATTTATAAGTTTATAATAAATGATTCTGCTGATTGGTATAAGTGGGAAGTGAGTTGAAATGTTAGAATACGCATGAAGTTGTTTAATTTTTATATTTGTAAACAACGATAGACTATTGTTAACTAAACACAATTCTGCACAAAGTTTGGTTATACCTACATGTTTTTAAATGCCGTAATTTTTACGATTTTCGTCAAAATTTGATCTTAAAACTATTGTACAAAAAAAAAAAATTCTGCATTAAGTTGAATTATTTTTTCAAATTTCAGGTGAAAATAATGAATTATTGTCAATGTGATTTTCTACTAAATAATCGACAAATTCTGTAAGTTTTTCTTCCATAGAGTGTATTTCAGCTAATTCGTCGGAAAAAACGATCTCCAGCCGAATGTGGATCTAGAAATGGAAATCCGAATATAATGCATTAAGTACTGGCCTATTTTTTTGTTTTTCACGTATTCCGACGAAAGACCAAACTTCCAAACTACTTGATTGCAGAATGCAAAGGACGTGGTAAAAGTAAACGCGTTTAATATGAGAACCCATTGTTAAACAATAATATTTACGGTTTTGGGAGCCAATTCTACAATGGTCGGCTTTATGTTTACCCAAAATTGAGAACCAATTCAATGGTCGCCAGCTCCATAATTTCATAAAAGTATGGGGCTCAATATAAAACTCGAAATCGAATTAACAAAATCACTATTGTTTTGTCACTTGTTATTTGTTTAATTTTCGAACGCTTTTACTGTCAAATAAAAACCGAACTAAAACTGACCGTTTATGGAAATTTGATTGTAATAACGTTAAAACGACGCATGTAAACATTTTATTTGCGGTATTTATTTTTTTTTTATATGTATAGTATGATAATTGCGTATAGGTACCTATCCGAACACCCGGGTCTATACACACGATGTTACTACTTAGGTAGCTACCGGCATTATAATATACCTACGTTTAAACAATTTCACTTACCGAAATGTCCGGAAAAACACGTATATTACACCGCCTGTATCGATAGGTATTCCTCCTACGAAAAAACTAAAACCTTTATCGTCTCGAATGTGTATATATTATATTCTATAGTTTAATAGCGTATGATAATAAAAATAATAATAGAGTTTTACTCGCCCGAAAAATAATGTTCAACGAACACTACTGTAAAAAAAAAAATAATGCCAAAAAAAAACTCTTCAAAATCCACAGAGGAATATTATATAAAGGTTGGCCGGTAGGTATGTTCACCGGCTTCGGTTTTTGTCACGGTTGTTAATATAAGTCCGTGGAACGTTTGAAAATTGCGTAGGAAAAAGCGCATAGATGCAAAAGAAAAAAATAGTAATAAGATGATAATTTAGTACTCCTAGGAGTTATTTCACTATTTCGACTTGGAGAATCCTTGGGTTTTTTTATCTCGCTTAAATAACGTTTTTTTATCTCTTTAAAAACGTTTTTAAACTATTTTGCGTGTTTTTCGCGACCCCCGAACGTACGGTTTTCGTTTTCTGATTTTCCGTTTTCCGAAAATGTATTTCGCTCCATTGACATAATATAAAAAAAATACAAATACAAATTTTAATGTATCACGAATTCATATCTGAAAAATAGTTCTTAGTAAAAGCCATTTAAGATGTAAGAAAATCATATATAGGTAATAAAAAAAAATAATAGATTTTTATATTTTTATTTTAAGTCATTTTATCAACAAATATTTAATATGTTTAATCCATATCTTTATGGAACATTGCAAATAAACAGTTCCAACTAGCCAACCAGCCAAAACAATATTATGACATTTCAGACTCCATAGATGATGACGGCAAAGGTCAAAGATTAACATTTACAATTAATTTAAATCTTTGCTCTTTTAGGCTGCGGTTGAAGCGAAGATTCGCTAGCTTCGGTATTTTTCTGTGATTGTTGTGCAGTAGTAGCACATGTACTAACATTTGTAGATGGTATACTAAAATTCAATATTTCAGGTTTTACGAGTTTCAAAACAATTCTCTCGTGTTGAACATTACTGCTGTCAAGACTTAACTGAACAACAACTGGATCAAAGGTTCTAAAAACTATTTTACCACACCTTTGGGTTTGCTCCTAAATAAAAATCACATTTGAGCGTATTATAAACTATCTTTGTTATTTTTAGATTCAGCTTTTATGTAACAATAAAAAAATATTCCTTCTAACTTACTTCTTCATTATACGTGAAAGTAGCTGCTTGCACTTGTCCTTTACGTGGTGACAAAAAAAGAGTACCCTCTAATCCATATTTTGGTATAAGTATTTGTAAAGCATTCTTTCTAACATACAATATATAACCTTCTTCATCTCTGATTTTTCCACGGAAAAATATCTAATGAAAAAATTAAATTTTTTATTAATTTCATGTTTAAATGTATTTTATTTTGTGGATGCTAAATTACATGAGTGTTCAGGGCAACAGATGCTCGTTCGGCATACGCAGACATTCGAGTTCGAACATTCAAATTTTGACACAGAGTTTCAATTTTACGTTTGTCAAGCAATTCAGGGGTAGTTGTCTCTGCTGCAATAGATACGGCTAATAGTCTATGCACAAGCACATCAGCATACCTAAAAATATAAATTTGTTTTTACAACTTGTGAATAAAAATTGTATAATTTGTATAGCTACTAAATCTAGATTTTTATATTAATATAAATATTATTTGTGTATAAAATACAAATACAACATAATTTATACTACTAACCTTCTAATAGGTGATGTAAAATGAGTATAGATTGGAGCTGCTAATCCATAATGCAAAAATTCGTCATAGGTTTTTGTGCCACTAGCAAAATAAATGGCTTGCAACATGCATCTAGTAGCTAAAATACGAAGCATAGTATTGAAAAATGGATTGTCAAGTTTAATAGCTTTATCTAAAGAATTTGCTAAGTCTTTGCTTGTGTCGACATTTAATTTGACTCCCTGAAATAAATAAAATACAAATATAATGTAAAGTATAAAAGGAAAAAATGTGTGAACTTTTGAAAAATTATTTCACCAGATGTGCTGCGGCTTTGACAAGAGACTCAAAGTTACTCGGCGGTGGCTTAGGATGACGTCTTAAGACAGCAAATTCAGGGAAATCTGAATATATTTTCTTCGCCACTTCTATGTTTGCTAACAACATAAACTCTTCAACCATTGAATTTGTTTCTTTTATCTGTTTAACTTCAACATCCAATGGATCTCGTGTTTCACTATCTACTAGGAAACGAATTTCTGGTGAGGCCAAAACCAACGCTCTAAAATTATATGGAAATTAGAAAACAAAAAAAAAAATGTATTAGTTTTATTACAAAACCAATGACTTACCCAGCATCCATTCGGCGTTTCTTAAGAATCTTGGCAAACTTATTTAGTTGTCTTAATCCTGTGGCAATTGGAGTATTTTGATCTTGGTCATCAATAATTAACTGTGCTTGTTCATAAGTCATAGCGGCTTTTGACTTAATAACACTTTTTGTAAAACTACTGTTTACAATATTTGCATCCGGAGTCATCTCCCAGACGCAGGAAAATGCCAAACGTTCTTCTCCGCCTCGTAATGAACACAAATTTGAACTTAATAAACCTAAATACATGAAACGGTTAATAGATTCACAATATGTTTATCTGACAGCGTTAAATTTCATAAAATCACAATATACTATAATATTATGAAAACAAATTTTATAAAACACGATCATATTGCTTATAAAACAAATTTGTTAAGAACAAAGACAGGAAAAAAAAAAACAAGCCAAAACCTAGACAAAGGTGTGAGAATTGGGATTAGTGGATTTCTATTTCAAAATAGATTTGCGTATTAATATATTCAATTTGTCTATGTTTTAATTGAGGCAAGTTTCAATAGAAAATTTTAAAAGAAATATTATCTAGTAATAGAGTATGTGTTAATTTTCTAATCAGTTTTCATAATAATTGGGTAAACAGGAAAAAACAGACAAGTAAACAGCATTAACAGTGTCATTATTTTTTTACTTTGATTTTTATTATGATTTTTGAACTATTTGTAGGCATTTAATATTTTCTAGTTTTTAGTTTTATTTAGATAAAATTGATACAATTTAGATACAATTGGTTTACCTGTCAAGAATGCTTAACAAGTTTACACGAGGTTTTTTATAATTTGTACTAGGTGATAAAAAAAAAAAATGTTGAGTGCATTGAAAGTATTTTTTTTTTATAATCAAATAAATATTTTGTAGTTCAAATATTAAGAAAAATCAAAAATATTACATCACTCCAATATATTTAAAACCGAACTTTGCATAAATTTGTATTTTGTTAGCAATGGTTTATCATTGCATATAGGTATAAATTGAAGAACTCTGAGTGCTACTTTTTCAACTTTCTACTTACAATAGTAGTACACTCAATAACAGTATCATGTTGTTTTTTTTATTTTATTAGGATAACACACGGATTTGTTCAAACACCAAGTAAATAAATGTTAAAAGTTGAAAATGGTTTTATTACTTTTTTTGAATTCACAACATGTTTTTGAGATATTTTTATCTTAACATTATTACTGCAATATTTCTGACGGAAAACCACAATATAATGTATTCATGTATGTTACTTTTAGACCATACATTATCCAATTATTTATTAACTTATTATTAAAATATTACCTGGAACCATATCAATACGCCTTCCAGTAAGATAAACAGTAGTCGCACGTTGGCTGGCTTCTAAATCTATAGCTGTACCCGGTTTGACAAAATGGGTTACATCAGCAATATGTACACCCACTTGGAAATTACCGTTATTCAATAGCATGCAATGTAATGCATCATCAATATCTGTACATCCTGGAGGGTCTACAGAACAAATATCCAAGTTACGGAAGTCCTTTCTACCTACAAAATCCTATTAAAAATTAAAATTAATTAGGGCAATTTGATACCAACCAGCTGTGTTTTCTATCAGAATAGAACTATAATATGCAAATTGTGTACATAATGGTAAAATAAATCTATTATTTGTATTGATAAGTTAATTTTTTTGGGTAACATAGTGTTGTAAACAAAAATATATAACTCACAGAAGCAGTAATTGTCCATGTTTCTTTTGGCAAACATGCCAGAACTTGATCTGAAAATTTTGAATGTGGGACATCATGTTCTAATAATATAACTTCATTTTCAGCTTCTCTTTCACCAATTTTTCCAAGTGACCTGACAAAATGACCCTAAAATATAAAATAATATTTGTACACATTCAAAAAAATTGATTAGCAATAAACACAGATATTCTAAACAAACCAGTGGATATCTTGAAGTTCTTGGCCATGTATCAATTGCAATAATAACCCGTTGGTCTTTTAGCTTATCGTACTGTCTAGTTTCTATCCTAATTTTTGGAATTTTTTTCTCCGCCGGCACAAACAAATGTCGATTTGTCTGAAATAAAAAAATATTACAATAAATAATATTATTAGTTATAGTCACATTTAGTATGTCATAGAGTATTCAATGCAATGTTGAAAAATATTACATTTTCAACAAGACTATGTTGAATAATTCCACAGTATTGTCTCCATTTTTTTCGTATTATTCCAACTACTTGACCTGTTGGATACCTTTCTTTAGGTGTTTCATTAATACTTCTATCATTTTCCAAATCCAAATCATCTATAACGGTTTTTTTTTTTTAATATTTATTCAATGAGATGATTAAAATATAATAATTTAATTATTAATTTATCATTATTTTACCATAATCTGCAATAACTAAATTTGTAGGTGCACTCCACTGATCTTCTGTAAATAGTTTAACAGCAACAATATCACCATTAATAGCCCGATTTAAATTTTCCCTACCTTGCAATAATATCTAAAATACAAGAATAATATTAAATCAATAAATAAGGGTAGTTATGTTTTGATAAATATACATTTTTTTCTTGCCCTTCCACAAAAACATTGCCTTCAAGAAAATTATCATTGGAAGCAAAAAATGTGCCTTGCATTATTTTTCCAGACTTAATGCCCTGATGTATTTGTGCTGGAGTCAAATGAGGTGGAAAAATTGGTTCTTTACTGGTTTCTTCCACCATACAAGTGCGATTAGATAGTTTATCAGTTAATGTAACATTATTTAATCCACTCACATATTGTTCCACTGGAAATAAATGTATTGTTTTTTTAGGTATAATGTATAATATTCAAAAGAAAGGCATCTCACATGACATTGTCGGTATTCCTTCATCAATTGCCTTTGCCTTGCTAACTTTATCGCTGGACAATAATAACACTTTTATTGTGCCCTTAAAATGTTTATTATACCATAATGCCGCCACTCTAATCATACGGTCATTGTAATCATTTGGACTTTCACCTCGAAATCTTTCGACATACGTATCCCTAAAAATCAAAAATATTTATACATGTTAGAAGACCAAATTCTATCTGTGATTGCCTAAAAGAATATTGAATGACACAATTGCTCCTTCTGTTAATATGTAAATAAAATTTGCAAATACATTAGCTACAATATGAATAACTAAATATACTCTAAATTGATAAAAATTTAGTAAAACAGTAAAAAAATAGTGGTAGTTACTATTTATTAATTACCTATGATAAACATTAACAAACACGTAAAAACATCTAGAATAATTCCCAATAATGTCGATCAGACGTTTATAAACACTGTGACTAAGATGTTTTACTTCTTCGAGAACAGTTTGTAGAATAATAACATTCTTCAAAGTGTCGTCTTCTAATGCATCAATCTATAATCAAAAAATTTAAATTAAATATTAAAGTAGTATAACAAAACAAAAATCAAAATTATACACATGAAAATAAAAATAAACTTAGAAATGCCCTAATGTAAATAATAACTTAATAAATATTTTAATTTGTTCATATATTTCATCCATATAACATAATACATGATAATATTATTAGTTACATCTATACATTAACACAGATTCCATATAAATTAGTATTCATACATACATTTTTAATAATTTTCAATTAGATAGGTAGGTAGTAATTATTTTAAAAATTAATAAAATTATATGGTTGAAAATCTTAAATAATCAAATATTAAACTAATACATACCTGATGAAGAACTACATTCGTATCCACTAATAAATAATGTTTGTCAGTAAAATTTGTGTTATTAACAGTTACAATTTTTTCGAGTGGCTGTTCAGTGTTAAGTTTACACTTTGTACAAACTTTTGAACCACAACCGATATCATCTCTTAGGTAGTGTTCACGTACAATCTACAATATTTGTATATGATATAGGTACATTAACTGCAAATAAATATATTGAAAAAAAAAAAAAACTTACCTTTAAAATATTACCACGTTTAGTTTTACGTATAAACGTTTTGGATGTCACTCTCATCGTGAAGTTTATTAGTCTACTATTAGATATAATTTTATAAAGTCACCATTCAGTATTCACCAAAACATTAATAGATTGTAGACTGTTCGGTGTTCAATTATTGTAAAAATTTTAAAATTTAAAAATGATACACCTCACATGTGTATATTTATTATTTGCAAGATAATACTATCTACAGACGTGATAGTGATCAATTGATCCATAAAAAGAAAATATGTTACCAGCATAGATAAGAATTATCAATATCATTTAATATCAATAATTTCTTTTTATTAGTCACAAAATACCGATGATAAGAATTGAAAAATAAGCAAAAGTGCTATCGCTATGTAATGATGGAGATTCATAATTATTAATAATTAGAACAGTTTTTATTTTTAAATGTAAAATATAATTTATATTATTATTGTTATTTTTTTTTAATTTAAATATTTTAGTAACCGAAGTATTCCAACATTTGCCTATTACATTTTACGGTAATTGTAATATACTACAGCACTTACTATTTACTTAGTTTTAAAGTAATCCACTGACCTCTGTTAAATCTATTATGGTTGCCTATGTACTGATAAATGCATATTTAGCAATACTAATAAGTTGTTCTAAATAATAACAAATTAAAAATCATAAATTATGTACCATCAACTAAGTATCTGTGTATTTTGGGGATCCAATGTATATAAGTATCCAATTATAGAGAGATATATTCAATTTTCTGTCCTTCCTATCTTGCTTCACCACTAATTTTTATTGAAACCATCAAAAAATGATAATTACATTTATGAATACATATATAAATACATATTTGATTGCTTTTAGGCCTAAACGTTTTAGGCACCTTTTAATATATACTATTGGCTACCTACTCAATTTATTGTTGGAAAATTTATTTTTGAAGTTACTTTATACAAGCAATTTATTAAATTGATATTTAATTTTAAAGTATTCCAATATACAACATAATATTATAACTGGAAATTAAAACAATTTTTATCTTGATGTCTTAAAGAAATTGTGTTGATTAACTAGTAGTTAAAGGTTTTTGTGTTGTGATAAAGTATATAAATATTTGTCCATTTAATTAAGTGATCCTTTAACTAGTCATACCATAAAATATTGATTTATTAAAATCATGATTTAATCATTATTTAAAAAAATATTAAACAGAAAATAATATTATAATAAATAAAACACATACCGGGTATTATTGGGTAGATTATTTTTACAAAATTTAAAAATAAAAATAAAGTTGTACATTCATTTGTATACAGCTAGGTATAGCTGGGAAAGTAATGTTAACATGGTTCCCTGGTCCGGTAATTACTATTTAATAATTAAAATATAGGTAGGTATATATTATTGAAAATTACATTGTAAAAACAATTAACAAGTTTCAAACCATTTTAATTAATTACACACTTTTCAACGATTCATAATAGGTACCTAGCTATACATTCATAAACGTTAATAGTCAATACATTTTTTTTTTTTTTTAATGCGATACCTGCAATTTAAATATTAATATCAAATTAACCAATTGATAAGTGATCCTAGGTGTATAATGAAATGCAAAGGTTAATTAGCATACAGACATTGATGTGATTAATAGTTTGATAAATATTGCTCAATATTATATAATGAATTTAACTTTTTTTTTTAAATTGTATAATCCTGGTTTATTATTATGACTAAGCATAGGTATTTTATGTAGAAAATATTTAAATGTCGATGATACTAGCAAGTGTGTGGAAATCTAAAGTAAGCTTTAGACAATTTATTGCTCATAAAAATCTTGCACAAATTCGAACCATGTCATCTGACAGAAAAAGAACTGGACCAGAAAACAATTTGAAAAATGACGATGAAGGTAAAAGAAACATACTTAATATAAGTAGGTAGTTAATAATAAATTGACAACTATTTTCTAGATGTTCTTAAAATTACCATTGGTGATGTGAAGAAGCTTACCAAAACATCAAAAACTCCGGAGCTTGTCCCCATTGATTATTGTGAGTATGATCAATTTATTTGTATTTTGTATAGAATTTATAATCTATAATTCAACTCCCACATTCAAAATGTACTCTATGAGTAAATATATATATTAACATTAATATATTATCAGAGGAAATTTAACTATATATATCCAGTTTACTAGCTGTACTATTATGACGTTAGGTGTATTTCATAAAAATTGAAAATATTTTATTTTGATTGCAGTAAACATGTTCTGTAACCAAGAATCTATGTCCCATTTGCGGTGGATGCTTCAAAAAGACATTCTTGGCCAAGATATGTTTTTAATTGGGAAACCTGGACCATTAAGACGTCGTTTGGCTTTGGCTTATTTAGAACTTACCAATAAATCTGTTGAGTTTGTATCATTGTCTCAAGACACTACAGAAGCAGATTTGAAACAACGTAGAGAAATTATTGGTGGCACGGCAAAATATATTAATCAAGTAAATTTTGTACAATTATAGTTCATTAAAAACTCAACGATTATGCAAATAAGTAATAATAATACAATATTTTAATAGAGTGCTGTTAAAGCTGCAATAGAAGGTCGTGTTTTAATTCTTGACGGGATTGAAAAAGCAGAACGTAATGTTTTACCTATTTTGAATAACCTTTTGGAAAATCGAGAGATCCATTTAGAAGATGGTAGATTTTTAGTAGCACCTAAAACATTTGATAAATTATTACAAGTAAAAAATAATTTGCCATATTTTTAGTGAAAATAAATATGTAGTCGAATGTAAGTATGCCAATTTTAGGAACACGGTGCAGAACATATGATGAAATGGAATCTCGTGCGGGTTAGTGAAGAATTCTTTGTGATTGCCTTAGGGTTACCTGTACCTACATTTAATGGGATTCCATTGGATCCGCCTTTGAGATCTCGATTTCAAGCTAGACATGTTATGACACCATCTTATATGGTAAGATAATGTTTATTATGATCATTATATTATGTTTGGCTCATCATCCAAATAACAAAAAAAAATCTTAAATTCCTAAAATAATATAATTTAAAAAATTAATGTCCTTTATTAGGTATAATGTCTTACTGTAAACAGTTTTAAAATACTTCTCATTAAACTTAAATCTAATATCATCTTCTTTCCAATAATATTATACAATATGTATCTGCCATAGAATATAGTACCTACCTAGTTATTATGTTCTACCGTGCTACTCTACAGCCGATTAAAAACTATTAGCAAACAAAATATCCAATCATTGTAAACATTTTATTACTACTTCAATAACTAATACATTACAATATAATAAAAACAAGTAATTTTGCAAATAATTATATTATATATATATATATATATATAGTACATTTTTATATTATAAATGGCAATTTAACTTATTTGATAGATTTAACATGGGGTTTTTAATTTTTTATTATATAATATAATATATAGGCGCGTATAATGTATTTAACAATGACTTATGAGTAATGAATAATTAATTCTAACATACTATCAGTACTAACTTTGGTATTGTTTTTTTCTTAACTCTCAATTATTATTTAGTGTAGTCTCATTGAAACATTGGAAATTATAAATAGATTTGACTGATTTTAGTTTAAATATTTATTTTACCAAAACTATATTTCTAAGAAATTTAATATCTAACTTAAAAACATAAATTAATGTACATTTTTAATATATAAGTGTTATTAGTTGTGTGTTTCTATTTTTCTGATATTTCAAGCAAATTATAATCAATAATATCAAAGATTTTTATACTTGATAAAAGTCAGGTAGGTATAGGTACTATTACAATTTGTAAACAAATTAACATGACACCGTGTATATTTGTTATTGGCCTTGTCGACGTGTTAATTTTATACGCGATTGCGGACACTTCCGATTACAAGTTCCGTGAGATGCTTTTAAATAAGTACCTACTGTTACCAAGCTCCCGCGTTAATAATTGTCGTCGCCAACGGGCGAACACGTGGGCGGTATGTGAACGTGCAGTTCGATTTTATGACGGTTTTGTGTACAATTATTATTATTATTGTTCCTGCTGGCGGATTTCGCGGACCTCTTGACGATTCCGGCCACTTGTTGATCCTCGTCGAATTTCCCATCGTTATCCGGTATCGAACACGTCTTGACCAAAGCCGGCCGCCTGCTGCGCGCGCTACCGCCGGTGCCGTTGCCGGACGCCGACGCGGATTTCCTACTCTGCGTATCCAGCAGCGTTGCCGACGGTTTCCGTAACCACTGCAACACCCTTTCCGCGTAATAGCCGTCGCCGTCGTTGTCGCACGCCGCCGGCCGCAATTGCACGCAATTGTCGTCGGCGCACACCACGCTCAGCGCCTGTCGGTTCGCCGGCACCGTCGTCGTCCGGTGACTGGCGTTTTTCTCCCGTGCCGCGGGCGATTGTCGTTTTTCGTTTTCGTTTTCGTCGTCGTCGTCGGACAGTATGACGTGCCGGACGCCCTTCACCCACGTGGTGCGCACCACCAGCCGGCCGCGTGACGATTTCCACCGGAAAAACTCGTACGGGCCGGCGGCGGCCGTGGCGCTCTTCATCGCCGTCGAACGTGTGTGCAGAATATATAAGTAGTGCGCGGTACCGTGGCTAGGTATGGTGTGCGAACAGATACGCGGGTACACTATCGTCAATCGAACGTGCAAATAAATAACATTGTACGCGACTCGAACACGAACTGAACGCCGTATTTGAATTTCGAAATCGCCCGTACCCGTGTTTTATTTATATACGTACTCGCGACAAAGTCAAAGGGCGCGCGCACACACACACACGAACCCAACGACTTTTAGACATGCACGCCATGTACGCCTACCCTCCGACCCGGTACCCGCGGGACTTTTACCCTTTTCCCCCGAAACGTACTGCTGTATACCGTCAACGTGGGTAGTATTTTTTTTTTTTAATGTGACAGTGTCATTATATATTATGGTTTTCAAAAACGAATGTTCCCGCGCAGGTAACATTTACCGAGGTATGAACAATAATAATAATAATAATATATATAAAAAAAAAAAAAAAAAAAAAACCAAAGAAAAAAGTAAAATATCCGTGGGACGCCAAAGAACGCGATTATAGATAGTCACACAACTAATAAAACTACCCGCTAAATCGTGAGGTTTTTTTTTTTTTTTTCAACCGCTCGTAATTGTTCACTGTCGAATGTAATATTGTACCGCATGATAGACATTGCAGGTGCCCATAACTTTACACTGTTATAAAATTTAAAATGTTAACACACGATGACACGGTTTGATATCGTGCGCAGACTTGACTACCGAATACCGGGAATATATGGGGGAGGGGGAGAAACCGACCCGGACATATTTTATACCGAGCGTTAACCGATGGTAGGCAGGCCTACTACACTAAACCACCATAATAGTGACCAATCACGTGCTATCCAAGACGCGTGATTTCCGTTCAGCGGTACTGTTTACTTGGGAGCCCTTAAGACATTTGAAACGCTTTAAATATTTTAGAACCAGGTTCTTTTTCGGCTAGTAAAATGTACTCGAATTATTCGCATTGTCGATTAAAAACGTATGTTTTTCGTCCGGCAGTGATTTATTTGAACAAAATTCTAGATTACCAACGATTAATCAATACAATTTTAAAAAAAAAAAACCGACTACGAATGTTGATGTGTACGTCGGTTTTATTTTTGTTAATTTCCGGTTACAAGTAAATACACTTCTAACACTACCCCGCTCGGTGTCCTTTTTGATTGCAGTGATTTATCGTTGTTTTCAGTATGCAAATTAAACATTATCCTATATCCTATACGGTTTTCGAATTTTCCAGCTATTGTTATTGTGATGGCCTACCTACCAATGTCGCGACGTACGGCCGACTTTTTATAAATAAAAAGATAATACAATAACTGTAAATTATTATAAATATCGAATGAGAATATATCCTCTCACCTCCTCCCGGTTTGATCGCCCCTGAGGCTACTGTTTTATAGACGGGAAATTGCTAATGCTACATGACGTAGGGTGTATCTACCTACAGTGGCGTGGGCGCTTGGCCAGGGGGGACGGCTTTTGGGTGTTGTGAGTCTTATTGCCCTTTTTTTAGCTATAGGTTAAGAAGGTTTTAAACCCTCATTCTCCACCCCCCCCCTAATTGATAAATCCCAGCTACGCCACTACCTAGTAGTACCTACGTATTGTGAGAAGCAATAAATCGTTGCATACGAAAAACAATTCTAACTGGAACGCGTTTTACAATCTGAACGCAGCGAAGAATGTATTAGTTTTAATAATGATTTGTTTTTTTTTATTATTGTTATTATTTTTTCTGTTTGTTCACAACTTTTATACTGGAAATCTTGCTCGGTGCTCCAATCAAAAACTGAAAAAAGAGCTTTTTCTAGCATTTTAGATCTAATTGGTACAGCCAAAATGTTTGAAAATTGAATACGAGCGAAATCATAAGTTGTAATAGATGTTAAAAAAAATTGAACCTAATATAGTCAATTTTTGTAGACTTTTTAAATTCAAATTTATTTCGAAAACCATAAAAATCACGAAAATTCAAAACGTATTTCACCGAACTTCGTTCATCATAATCGTATTCCGTCACCAATAATTCATTGTTTTAAGTAGTTTTACAAACATTTAAATGTGAGCATTGTTTCGAAAGGTCGTCCGTTCACGTTTTAAACATTTTTGACGTGAAATTAATAGTTTAAAATTTTAAATTATGGCGTGCGCGTGTCTGCCAAATATTTTGTCCAAAAACTGGTGACGTATATGAAAGGTCCTATACCTATACGTCGTCGGATTTTGGTACTATGTATAGGTATTTATTTGTCATTCATCGTTTGTGTTTCCCCATTAATATTATAAAAAATGTACAAAGAAAAACTACACACTTACAGAAGTAAAACTAAGTAATTAAATAAAATATAACTGCTTTTTAAAGTTTTTAACTAAATCTGATAATTCCACACGAAATTGAAGTAACTAGGTCGCAAAAAACAATTACCTACATTAATAATTTTTAATTAATTTGTACCCATTCGTGATACAGACCATTTTATATTTAGATAAAAATCTACTAAATTTTAGTTTGTTGCAAATCAAAAGTTTTAAAATTTGTATGTTTGTTAACTTGTTTATTAGTTGAGCAGAGAAAGTTAATATTTTGGTACTTACTAAATATAAATAAAAAAAACAAAACATTAATTTGTCCTTGTCACTCATGCAGTGATTTCGAGATTGACCATCTATAATATTACATTTATGTATTGTTTATCACAAGTGTAAATTTTATGTGTAATCTAAATTCTAAAACGATAATACATTTTTCGAAATGTACAAACATCGTTGGACCATAATAGCTGTATTTCCCGAGCTCAGCCCGCGCATTCCTTTCGGAAATAGAAACCAATAAAAACAAAAATTCAATTTTCGTTTCAAAAATACCGGAAACCCCGTTTTAGTCATCCTTTAGGGGTTAAATTTCGAGATTAAAAGTAAACAGCGTTCTTCATGTTGTCCGTGCACACGGCTGGTAACGCACGTCGCTACGTAACTACATGGAAAACTAATGTATTTTCTAATAACTCGTTGATTAATTGATTTTTGGAAGTTTTCTCATTAAATGCCTCATCTGCACACCGCGAACACTTGCGTTTAAAAAAAAAAATCACGGTGTTCAGTTCGGAAGAACTTCAGATGTAACTGTCCAAAGAAATTACCTCACATTTTAATAATATTTGTAATATATTATATGTATATACCAATAAAGACTATTTTCACTTTTAAATTCAAAATGTCCTCTGCACCAGTGTCCGGTCTATTTTTCGGAACTATTTCTCCTCGATTAAAAGTATGTTGTTTCGATGAAAAAAAAAAAAAAGCCAACGACCAAACGTAGACATGTTTTAATATTTTACCTAATTAAATAATTAAAAAAAATATTTGAGTATAACAACTAACAAAACATTTGAGATATATTTTAATCTTGTATCGGGTTTTTTTTTTTTTTTTTTTCGAATTTCGTCTACTATTATATTAGATTTCCATAATATATCGTGTTGAATATTCGGTTCTTGATAATACGCGATTCGCGCGTTATAGCTATTCTCGATATAAACCCATTAAGTATTTCAAAAAGGGGTGGCTTAATGTTTTTATCGACAGTTTATTTTTTGTTATATACCGTCATTACAGTTACCTATAGGTACCTTAGATGAGTCGGTGTAATCAAAATGAAAGTTTAAAAAAGCAAATTCATGTTCCTTAGAAATTATACTTACGATTACTACCTATATAATAATAAAGTGGAGAAAGTCGTGAAACGGAACATTTCAATCAACTCCCGTGATAGTTTTTATTTTACCGTCTTAAACAAAGTCAAATAATGCCTAATATAGTATAGCGTGACAAGAACTAATAATATATTTCGAAAATTAGTTTATTATACCTACCTCAAAGTTTCCTGAAATTAATTTACCGTTAATGACTCTATTTATACACATTTTGGTAATAAAATTAAGATTTTAATCTTTAGAGTATGTTAAACGACCTGACTGCCGATTACCCGACAGCGCCCAAAGATAAATTGGAAAAAGTTTTGTCATGCGCATATGCTTTAGCTTCGCCAGAATCCAATGAATTGGGATTGCACAATTTCCCCATCGAAAATATACCTATCGTCGCCAAATTAATTGTAAGTATTAATCGTCGGTACGAATCGTGCCTACGATAATTATTATTCTGTCATCAAATGTGTTGAACCGACCGAATTCACGTGTGTGTCGTTTTAATAGTATGCACATTTTTCAGTACAACAATCCATCTGTATCGCCAAACAGTCTATTGAAACGTCTTTATCCGTATGATAGTTTTATGAACGTTGACAGTAAACGTTCAGTTAATAGTATCCTTTCATCTTTCTGCCCCGAAGACGACGAAACGGTTGGTCGTCACGTTTCGTCCGTCAAACAATTGAACAATAACAGCGCAGAAATCATTCTTAACAATAATTCTAAACGTTTTACAGTAAGTGAAATATCATATCGTATTAAAAATACCGACAAAAGCACTGTTATTAAATTTTAGGTTCCGTCCGGAGATACTCCCGCTTCTAACATTGAATCTTCAAATTTTGTCAACACCGCTTACCAAAGCGCCATTTTATCGGATCTTGCGCTCAGTCATTCGGCTGGTGATATATGTATCATAGGATCTAGGGGATGTGGTAAGACGGCAGTCGTTGATCAATTTGCCACTATGTTCAACTATGACGTGGAAACCATTTCTTTATACCAGGTTAATTTAATAATTTAATTTTAATTGTTTTATCTTTTCAATTAATTTTTCCTTTTCCAACTACAGGATTTAACCGCAAGAGATTTAATCCAACAAAGAACTACATTACCAAATGGTGACACCGTCTGGAAATATAGCCCATTAGTGGTTGCTGCCATCAGTGGAAAATTAGCTATACTCGATGGCCTCCATAGATTGCATTCTTCCACTTTGTCCATTTTGCACAGGTAAACTATTTAAAAATATTTTTTATAAATTATAAATTCATATTTTATTTTATATAAAACATTATATATATTTTATCAGATTCATTCAAGATCGAGATCTTCAACTTCACGATGGTACTAGACTGTTGAGATATGACCGATATGATAAATTAGCAAAGAAACTAGGAGTAGACAGTCTGGAAAAATCCAACATTGTCCGTGTACATCCTGCTTTCAGAATTATCGCACTTGCAGAACCTCCAGGTGAATATTATTAGTACACCTACCAAGTAACAAATAATAATAAAAATAATAGTATTAATAAAGAGAAATCAATTATTACAATACAATTGTTTTAGGTGGCACCATTCCTCAATGGATCACTCCAGAAGTACTAAACATGTTCCTGTTTCATGAAATCAGACCACTGTCTGCTGTTGAAGAACTGAATATTGTACAAAACCTGGTAAGATTTGGAATAATTTATTTTACCATTAGTATATATTATATATGGATAATACATCTTTATTTGTTAAGTACCCAAATAGTGTAAAACCAATGAAAAGGCTTGTTGCTGTTACAAAAAAACTGCGAGAGTCAACTGATATGTATTTAAATTCTTTGGCACCATCCTTATCTACACGTCAGTTGTTGCGAATTACAAAAAGACTGGATAAATATCCAGATTCAGATTTCTATAGTATTGTAAACAAGGCCTGTCTATCACAGTATGTGCTTATGTCTGTAATCTACTAAAAATAAATTAAATATTTTTAATTAAACTTTTCGATTCTGAGGGTAGCAAGGAATGAATTAATTTTAATGTGATGCGTGCTTTTTTTTCTGTCTATTAACAACTTTTCTTTCAGAAATCTCGCTCCAATCAAAAAATATCAAAATATCCATTTTGTAGCATTTTTGATTTAGTTGATTCATTGCAAAGATCATTTTTTAATTTTCCAAACAGTTTTATTAATTGTACAAATCCTGAAAATAACAAAAGAAAACTGGACAAATTTATATCAATAAAAATTGCATTATTTGCAATTTTATTTTTCTACCAGAAATATTGCTCTGAATCTAAAGAGTAGCATGTTTTCTGAAACCAAATTTAACTTAGTTTATATATTAGAATGTTATTTTTAACTTTGTAGTTTTCTTAATACATAATTGGGGAAAAAATGTAGGAAAAATAGAAAAGTTACACTGCAATAACGGTTTTATTATTTTTATTTTTTCGTATTAGTAAGTAGGGTTCACTGAATACTAATATTGGCCTTTTCTTAACAATTTCGCGATTTTTTAAATTATTTGTAGGTATTTTCAAGTTTTTTTAGTTTTTATATGGGTAATTTTTTTGTTCAAACAGAAATATTTGAACATTTACTCAAAGTAAATAATGGTGATAATATAAGAGTTAGGCGTAGTATAGTTATTTTATTTTTCTTAAGCATTTTAAGATCAAATTTTTATGAAATTCATAAATATTAAAGAATTATGTAACATATATAACCGAACTTCGCTCAGAATCCTATTTCATTAGCAATGGTTTATTGTTGCTTACAGATATAAGTTAAATAACTTTATGTAGTCTACCTTCTCAGCCTTGAAACTACAACAGTAGCACACCCATCAACAATATCAGCTCTTTTTTTTCTTTTTATAGATTTCTACCACAACTAACAAGACAAATGCTAGAAAAAACTTTATACAGTTGCAACATTCAACCAACACCTAATAATTCTGATGGTTCCGCAATTCAATGTAAACATGATGAAGTTAACTTGACTATTGGTAATACTACTGTTTCTCGATACAAAACTGATGCTTCTAGTAAAATTCCAAATGTTTTATTCTTTGATTTACCACAAGTAAGAATTTAATTTCCAAAAAATTATTGTAATTAATGATAAATTCTATGTACATGAGTATGAGTAATTAAAAGTTTTGTTTTGTTTTTTAGCATTTGAACCAACTTGAACTTATGTTACAAGATTTTGTTTTGGGAGAACATCTATTGTTGGTTGGAAACCAAGGTGTTGGTAAAAATAAACTTGTTGACAGATTTTTACAATTATTAAATAAGCCCAGAGAATATATTCAACTTCATAGGTATACATTTATTTCCTATGTATTTATTTAGTTTTATCCATTCTAAATATATCTGTAAATTTTATTTTAGAGATACAACAGTCCAATCTTTGACCAGTCAACAAACAGTTATCGATGGCGTATTGAAAATTGAAGATTCTCCTTTAGTAAAAGCTGTTAAAGCTGGTTATGTTTTAGTTGTAGACGAAGCAGACAAAGCGCCAGCTCATGTAACATGTGTTTTAAAAAATCTTGTAGAAACTGGTAATATGAGACTTGCTGACGGTAGACAAATAGTCAGTAAAGCTAATGTTTCAAAAAACGACTCTGTGATAATTCTTCATTCGGACTTTCGTATGATTGTCCTAGCAAATCGACCAGGATTTCCATTTTTGGGAAATAATCTCTTCAGTACACTTGGTAAATATTCAAAATAAATAAATAAATGTATATTTGTCAATATAATGTCACATTATGTTTTTTATAAAAACTATTACAACCAAAGAACCGGCTTCTGATTAGTCATGCAAATTTCTTATGAGACACTTCAAGATTTTGATTTTCAATCTGTTAAAATTGAACTATTTGTTTGACATCTTTCTAAATTTTATCTAATACAAATTTCTTTGTTCCTAGGGTAGAATAATTTAAGTCAATTTTGTGTAGTTTTCAATACCAGCTAATTAAATCTTGAAAATATTTACACTATACCATTTTGATAAAAAAATGAAGGACTAAAAATTGTTTTTTAATTATTGATAAATATACTAACTCCCACTAAAGAAATGTAATTGCTAAACAAATTAGAAATAGTTTTGTAACCAGTTATCTTAGAATTGTTTATATTAACTAGTGAACGAACAAAAATGTTTGAGTTTTTAAGAGTATTATTTGTTATCTGTTTAAAAATAATGTTTAAGATTTTTATTATTGTTATTATACATTTTATCATGATAGTAATTACTTATCGCTTTCTGGATCACAATATTATGTCAAATTCTGTACTATTGAATTTATAATAGATGATTTTTTTTTTTAATTTTCTGAACATACATTTTTTTCTCTGAAACTAACAGAAACAATTATGTCTTTGGTTTAAGTTTTTGGTTAAAAGAATTAATGACTTAGTATACTTAGTTAATTATAAAGAATTAATAATTTGAATTCATGTTTAATTAGAAATTCAATATTATTTGATAAATGTTTTAGGTGATGTGTTTAGTTGCCATATTGTAGATAATCCTAGTTGTGAATCAGAAAAGCAGCTGTTAAAAAGTTATGGCCCTGATGTTTCTTTGGAAGTTATTGATCAAGTAATCGCTGCCTTTGGAGACTTAAGGCAACTGTTTGACAAAAACTTAGTTTCATATCCGTACTCTACTAGAGAAGCGGTTAATATAATCAAACACTTGCAAACATACCCCCAAGACACATTATTAGACTGCATTAGAAATGTATTCGACTTTGATTGCTACTCGAAAGAAGCACAAGAAGTAATCTCGAATGTTCTCAATAAACATAAATTACCAATCAAATTATCCCCTTGGACAGGTCCCACTGGTAAGTTTAACAATGGATTCAAACAATACAATTTTAAATTCATAATACTGTTATAGAAAAGAAAAATCTACAAATCACAGTAGAAAAAGAAAGTGGTCTTGATGTATCTAGCCCGAAACATGGTAAAGTTGATGAAAAAAATGAACCTCATGTGGGCGGTAATACTTGGGCTGGTGGTACCGGTGGCCGAGACACAGCTGGACTAGGTGGAAAAGGAGGTCCCTATAGACTAGATGCCAAACATAAAGTTTTTCAGGTGACATTGATTGTTTTATAAATAATCTTTTAGATTCTAAGCGGAGGTTAGGCTAGGTATTAATTTTAAAATTTTTTTTTTCTATTGACAACTTTTCTACCAGTTATTTTGCTCCAATTTACAATGATAACACTTTTTCTGAAAGGAATTCTAACTGGGGTAGTACTTTAGGGAGATAATTTTTTGATTTTCCCAGGAGCTTTTCCAATAAATGGTAAAAACGGGAAAATGGGTACATTATTAAACAAATATTAATAAAGAAAATATATAATGTATATGTATTCATTTTACCATAATAGGACATATATATTGTTGACAAAGCAACAGTAACAATCAAACTCCGCTCAGAATCGTTACTCATTAGCAATGGTTAATTGTTGTGTACAAATATACATTTAATTTCCCCTCTACTTTCCCAACTTCTCACCTTCAACAGTAGCCCATCCATGTATGAAGTATGTCCATCATTTTTTTTTTCTTATTATATTATAATGGACTGTGAAACATAAATTTGTTTTGATCTGCTTATAATTAGGTATCAGATGCAGAGAAGGATGAAGTACCAGAACACGTTAAGGAAGCAGCAAGACAAATGGGTCAAAAAGCCTACAAAGAACGCCTCAAGGAAATAGAAATGTCTGAATATGATGATAAAGTATATAATGAATACTCTTTACCAGTCCAAAATCAAGTAAAATACAATTAGTCACTTTTTCTTTTGCTAAATTGACTTTATTTTATATTTAATAAATTCATTATATAGGTACAAGCATTAAGAGTAATACTGAACTCACTACAGGCAAAATCCCAAGAGAGACAGTGGGTTAGACATCAAACGTCAGGGGAACTGGACGATAGTAAATTAATAGAAGGTAAAGCAATCAAAATTAATTTAACAGGGCCATACATAGGGGGTGCGAGAGGTGCTCTCGCACTGGGCACCAATGAACATTTTTAAATTTCTATAATTGAACATATTGTGAATGATCAATAGACAGGTTTTGGTTTATTTTTTTACTCATAAGTACATTTTTCTGACATTGGATGCTGATTTTATTGGACATGGCTTTGCTACTACATATACCTAATGTTTAACTATTATATTCAATTATTAGGTGTTATTGGTGAGCGTTCAATTTACAGGAAGCGCAGTAATGTAGATCCACAGATCGGAGCACCTCAGCTAAAACCAAAACGTTTACGTTTTATTGTCGACGTTTCAGGAAGTATGTACAGGTTTAACAGTTATGATGGACGTTTAGACCGGGAACTCGAAGCTGTCATAATGGTTATGGAAGCACTTAGTGGATTCGAAGAAAAAATCAGTTATGATGTTGTTGGACATTCGGGAGAGACCGAGTGTCTTAAGTTTGTAGACAAATCTAATCCACCTACCGATAATAAGCGGCGATTAGACGTTATTAAAAAAATGCATGCTCACTCACAGTTCTGTATGGCCGGTGACAATACACTTCAATCTATCATATACGCACAAAAAACCTTAGAAGCAGAGCGCATCGATTTTGACGAAGCAATAATTATACTGTTATCAGATGCTAATTTATCTCGATACAACATCAGACCTGATAGATTAGCTGCTGCACTCAACTTAAGTAAAGACGTTCAAGCTTTTACTATTTTTATTGGATCACTTGGTGATCAAGCCGATATGTAAGTAATTAAAAACTTAATTCATTAATTAAGATAATAATTTAAGTTAATTTTTTTTTCAATGGCTAGAAGTAAAAAAGCCATCGGCCAAAGTAAAAACTGTTACTATTATGTTATAAAAAATTTAATTTAAAAATTGTAAAAAAGAAAAGAAATATTTACAATAGGTTTAAGCAGTGTACCATGTTTAAATACAATTTGAAAACCACTGCTTTAGATTAATAATTATTTCTTATCAAGAAAACTTGTTTACATTACATTGTTATAATATTTTATTTATTTAGCTATTAATATTTTTTAATTACAGATTGACTAGAAGCTTACCGGCGGGCAAAAGTTTTGTATGTATGGATCTCAAAGACATCCCACAAATTATTCAACAAATTTTTATGTCCTCTATAATGAGTGTTTTTTAACCAGTTTAATGTTTTATTATATTTTATTTTACTTGTACATGTCTATATATATATATATATACATTTATACAAGGTGATTCTTTTATAGTTGAACACTCATATTAATATTTCAATCTGCTTTTTCTTAAATTGTCAAATAAATTTTTTTTGAAAAAAGTCAGACTGTGAAATAATCAAAAGAAAGACCCAGTATATTTTAAGCATCTGGATAATGGTTTTGGTTACCGAATAATTTAAATTTATATTATTATTTGGACATGGCATATTTCTGTGATAAAACTAATTTTTCAATAATAAAGATATAAAATGTGTTTGTTGTTAGTCATAAGTTTAGTGTACTAATTATTAAATATTTAAAGTAAATAAATATATAAATAAAAAAATGTATGTATAAAAATAAAATAAATCAATGAATCAATGGAATATTAGGATTAAAAATTCATCAGGTACATGACAGTCAAATTGTAAAACACGACTGAATATAAAAATTAAATGGAGAAAAAAATTATAAAAATTGGTCGTTTTACATAGAATATAGAAATAATTTATTTTAATAGGAGATTATTTAAAATTGGTTGTTATTAGACATAGATATGTTCAGAAATATAAATTATTTGGTTATTATTTATTGTCTAAAATGTATTTTGTTGTGTATGTGTAATTCTTACATACATTTTGGATAATAAATAATAACCAAATAATTTATATTTCTGAACATATCTATGTCTAATAACAACCAATTTTAAAATAATCTCCTATTAAAATAAATTATTTCTATATTCTATGTAAATAACCAATTTGTATAATTATTTTTCTATGTGTACCTTCATTAAATTTTTTATATTCAGTCGCGTTTTACATTTTGACTGTGGTATACCTGATGATGAATTTTTAATTCGAAACCGGTCGTATAATACACATAACATAATACTCTAGGCGGATGATTTCCGTCGACCCGTTAACGATATATTCCACTTTTAAGTTTAGGTAGGAGGAAAATAGTAGAATATTAATTAATTAAAACGCCGCGCCGCCACACGAATGACGATGCTCCACTACTCTCGGTCGCCCCCTACCTAAGCTCAAAAGTGGAATATGTCGTTAACGAATTGACAGAAATTAAAATAAATATACACTTAAAATTGTATAGATTACAAAAAAAAAAAAATTAAATAAACGAATGAACGCGATTTGCGTTTCACATTTTGACCGTGATCAATCTAATCGTGAATTTTTTAATTCGAAACCGTTCGTATAATACACTTATCATAATACTCCCGGCGACGCATTCATTCGTTTATTTATTTTACTCTTATATTTAATATACATTTTTTTTATTCGTATATTTATTTACGAGTATTAACCATTTTAATAATTTCGTTTTACTTTATTATTTTATTATTAAACATTTGTTTTGGTAATTGACGCCGGACGGCAATACATATAAAGAACAATAAAGATAACAGATAAAGAATTTGAAAAGAATATATAACTACGAGCTGTCCCGACCCGGCGTTGCCCGTGTATTAGTTTAATTTTGGCATTTTCGTCGGCAATGTATTAGTGTTTAATTTAATTGTATGTGTGTGTGTGTGTGTGTGTGTATATGTTAATTGTTGTAGCAGTATTGGGATTATGGATAACATATATGTATAGGCTGTGAATATTATTATTATTATTTTTTTTTTATTGACGCACCTTTTCATAGACCACGTTGGTCGTTCGTCCGTTGGGGCGAGGACGACCAAGGCGCTGGGGGAACAACTAACTGGGCGTTTATTAGTGAATGAGCGTGTATCGGACATTTTACTTATACATACAGATTTGGTCACTATCTTCGGCCGTGTGTTTGGTTGTTGTTCCCCGCTGTTTTTCCCGTTCCCTTTTAATTAATGGTCGTTTTATCCGTGACGACCAAATTGCCCAGGTAACCCATGAACAAACATTTGTATTACGCGACATTCTCTGAAGGGGGAATCATAGAACGTAAATTGATTGGGGACATGGAATAATTGGTGGCTTCTAGTACCATAGGATGAGACATTAAAAGAAACCACGGTGAACAGTTTGGTACATCCAATGAACCATTTAAAAGAGAGGTGATAAAGGCCAAAGGTCACGACCTAACCTAATCTAACCTAACCCGAAAAAAAAAACAGATAGACATTATAAATTGAACTTCGAATGAGCAACTATTGTAGGTAAATGAGGAGTTGAGAAGGTAAAATTCAAAGAGGAATTTAATTTATACCTCTACACAACAATTGATCATCTCTAACGAAAAAAGATTCTGAACGAAGCTGTTTCCGCACGTTTTTTTTTTTTCAACAATGTGCGTTTTCACGATAACATCGATTTTTTAAAAAAGATTAAAATAATAAAAACAAAATGATAACTTTATTTTAAATCTTTTAAAACTTAAAAATCAATTTTCCTTATTATCTCGAATATTAATGACAATTTCCAAAAATGATCTTTCTAAAGTACCAACTAGAGCCAAAAAAAGGTCCACTTATCATGTTATTTACAGGCAAAAAAAAAAGCAAAGTAAAACCGATAGATCCCTCACTTCGGAATCTAAAATTTAGCGAGTCTATTTGTAATTTAACTTTTGAGATTGGGATACTCATGAGTTTATTTTAAACTTGGGGGTTGTTCTGTTTCAGTGGACTTTAAGCCTTCAATATTTTTACTTGTGTTTATAGAGAATACATAAATACTCAAGAACTGAATAGACTATAGAAGACCGATTGTATAATATTACCACGGGCCGGACCGGATTTCCAGTCAGACCCTGCAAAAAGATGTCTCGTGGGATATGTGATATTTGGAAATTGGAATAAAATTGTTCGTACAAAAACCTAATGGAAATGTAACAAATATTAACAAGCATTGGTCGTTGGAACAAAAGTACTGTGGAAAAAGTATTTTGTAGAACTAAAGTGATCCGTGGTAACCCCCTATATTTTTTTTTTTATATAATTAATTCTATTTCCTATTTGTACAGCCACGCTTGTCATTTCATTTAACCATTTTTGTGGACCCGAAACGAAAGGAACGATTTACTAAAAGAAACGAAAAATCTAGCAGTCTGAGACCGAATCTATAAAATATCCTCTATATCGTGCTTAAAAAACTTATTAATAAACGATGTTTCCAAATAGCATTTTGGTGGAAGCCGAATTGGCAAATGGCACAATAATGTGAAAATATTATTGTGATTTGTGAGCATGTATTTAGATATCCGTGTCTATAACAATTAGGGTAGGGGGCAGTCGTCCAAAAATGATTCAACCACGTCGAGTAGGATTTTATGCACGGTTTATGTTGGAGGAAAATTGGATTAATCCACCTTGGTTGGGGGGGTCTATCTTATACCGGGGTTTTATCATAGATATATCTTTATTATCTATAGGTTTTATAAGTTACCATCATGAAAATATATGCGGTTATTATTATCTGTGTGAATTATTGAAATCATACCATACCGAATTCTTATCATTTTTCAGATAACTGCTTATCACTATTCACCCCGCACCTGTAAGTTTATTTGGGAATTTGGTATAGATATTATTAATTATTATAATTTGTATACATTTTTTCATTAAATTATTTAAATGTGAAATTGTTTGACGAGTTTCTATTTAAAATGCGTACATGTTCGGTTCCCGGGTGCCATAGCACCAAAATGAATAGTAAAGTCACTCTTTACAAAGTACCGTGCGATAAAAGAATAGACTGGGAATTAGCAGTGCGTAGAGTACATAATAAACAATGCAAAAAATTAAAAAACTTAACGTTTGTTTGTTCAAAACACTTTTTAGATGATGAAATAATTTCAACATATGCATTACCATCTGATGTTGCCGAGGCAAGTGAATATTATATAAGATCAATCATTTTTATAAAAAAAAAAAGTGAAATAGCTTTACTATGTGCTGTATAAAAATATAATATTAAAATTTAAGATTATTATAAATTTAAACTTATTATTTTAAAGGGATTTGGACCAAGGAAAAATTTTAAATTGAAGAAAGGTGCTATTCCTTCAATATTCAATTCAAATAATTGTTGTGAAAATCTTCCAACTGCAGGCTCATTGAAAACATTTAAACGAAAACTTTCTCAAGTACATACATATTATTAATGATTTTATATTTTCACCTCAGAAAATTTTTGTGTAATATGAGCAATTAATATTTCAATTTCATTTTTGAACTACTATACATTAATTGATTTTTTTTTAATTTTAGTCTACAGTAACTAAAAAAAGAAATTTAAATAATCTAGAAAAAATAGAACCAAATACAACACCCAGTAACCAAATTTGTTTTGTTGATGTACAAGTAATGATTTAAATAATTATAATAGATAATATAAAAAAAAAACAACTTCATATTATATTTAATACGTTTTGCTACTATAATACCAACAGTTTAAGTCATTATTTTTCTAGAAACCGGATTGGTTCAATGATTTGTCACTGTTAGTTAAAACACTAATTTTGCCAATTGGATGGTCAACTTATACAGATAAAAAAACTGTGGTATTTCATAAACCAGTTTTCAATTTTAACAAACTCATCATAGAAAAACAAATGATAATCACTGATGATCAAAATATAAGTTTTTTCATACATCAAAAGACAATAGATCCTTTAAAAGCAGGATTAATTTTGATAAAGAATCCTCTGAGCACAATAAATGTATGTGAAGTAATTTCATTTTTTGATTACAAACAAATTTGTCAAGGTGGACCCTTGATAATGGATTTTCCAGGTAATAGAAGTATGATTTTATAAGTAATTAAGTTCATTTTGTATAATAGAATGTATCATTTTACTTTCAGTTAAACTAATAATAGAAATATTACATTTATTTATTTAGAAATAATTAAAACAAAAAATGCAGAAATCGACAATACATTATGGCGGCATAAACAGTGTCCAATGTTATTAAACATAAAAAGGATCTGTTCAAAATGTCAATATTTATTCAAATTATTTAAAAAATATAAAAGAAGATCTTTGGTTTCACCTTCAAAACTAATGGCATCTACACCTGTACTCATGGAACACTCCTACTCGTTGGAATGCAAGGAAGCAAAAGACAAAAAGGATAACAAAAACCCTGTAAATACGTAATGATATAACATATCATTGATTAAAATAATATTATTAATTGTTTAATGTGTACCTATTTTATGGAAGTGTAGTAATCCTGTATAAGAAAAAGAAATTGATTGAATATAGACTTTACAACTGAATATTATTTTTTATGTGGTGTTATCATAAAATGTACCATACTGTTATTCTTATTTTAATATACAGAGATATACCTACTGCACTTCCATAGTATGTTATGTTTATATAGAATTTATAAATTTGTAACTTGTTATATTTAAAATTATTATATTTTACACCGCAATGTTATTGTTTTTCATAACTTCTGAGCGTTTTTTATTTTACTACGATGACAATAATGATAATGATTTATTTTTTAACATGAAAACCACGAATTAGTCTGTGATGAAAACGTAACAGTCAACCACAAGCAAATAGATTTTTGTATACAAGTCGCATTACCTTCAAATTCGTCAGCTGTGCTGGTGATAAGAGTCCTAATGTATTATAACCACTGAGATAGATGACAACTAGTAGTAGTAGTTGTTATCAATCTCAGTGATAATAACCGTATTTATTTATATAAGATAAGAATGAGGAATGTATCGGGTCGCCGTATTAGGTTTTAGTTTTAGGATATTCACCGACCCAAAATTATACAAAATAGATCAATTCGACATAAATTCAACAAGTAGAATTTTTCGCGGCCCACCGAGATTTCCATGCGTATGGTTTTAACAGACAGGTCTTAAAAGATACCTACCTATATAATATTTAATGAATATACCGTATTTACGACGAAAAATCCGGTATGTCTACGCTACCGAACACCGGCGAGTCAATAACACTCGCAGACGTAGATAATAAACTAGATTGCTAGGTTCCCTGTACTATCCGTGTAAACGTTCGAGGCCATAATATATCCGCCGTTACTGGTATATAGGTCATTTTGTATCTTATCATGTCATAATTTTGATAACACAATTTATGACAGATCGCGAAATAATTCATGCGACAGGAATAGATCAAATTTAAACAACGTCTTTTTTTTTTCACCGACGTTTTGGACGCCGCGAGTACATTGAAGAACGTCGAGCGTCCAAGGTACGCGCAACGCACAGCGCTACTTTTGAGCGTCGTGGTTCGTTCGAAATTTTGAACACAGAACTTTGTAATTTTATATGGATTCACGTCGCGTCGTAATTTACGGTAGATCATCTTGCGATACTTTTTACTTTTTACAATCCAATTTTACACTAAAAAGTTATCGGAAAAGACCGGGGGGTTCATCCCATGAATCGTGACGGGAAAATTTACGTGATAGTTTCATAATTTTATTTTTAAGACCCCAACGAGAATTCGAATGTCAGTCGAGACCGACGATTTTATTTCAACTAAAATCAGTCATCGCAATACGAACGAAAAACCTACTAATTTCAAGAAACCAATTTCGCCTGCTGAAATACTTGTAATAACAATAAAAATGCAATAGTATAATAACATTTTATTCGCCTTTAATACTGCATAAATATATTTCACAAGTGTCGAACGTCAAAATTCGAACTTCGGTTCGGTCTTTAGATTAAAAAAAGATTGAAAGATTAAAAATGAGGTTGTCATTGGCAACCGTTTTTCATTTATTTTTTATTATTTTAATCTTTTTTTAAACAATCATTGTTGTCGCGAAAACGCACATTGCTGTAATCATTTTACCATAATATATGGCATGTATTGTATTGTTGACAATAAATCAACTGAACTCCGGTCAGAATCTTTTTTTCGTTAGCAATAATTTATCGTTGGTTATAGATTTAGGTACATTCAATTTCCGTCTGTTTCCCGTCTCCCCAAGTTCGCACCTACATCAGTGGCTGCACCCACCATCCACGAGCGAAAAAGCTTTTGGTTTTACAATGATGTTGATTAATATTATTTTATTCTGTAAACAATTTTTATACCAGCAGTTTTGCTCCGATTTTCAATGGTAGCACATTTTCCAAAAGGAAATCTGACTGGAGAGGTACTTTAGGGAGGCCATTTTTTTTTTTTGATTTTCCCAATAAATAGGAAAACTAGGTACAATATTAAACAAATATTATTAAAGAAAGTATACAATGCGTATGGAATTATTTTAACATAATATTACGTATTTATTGTCGACAAAGCAACACTATCAACCGAACTTCGCTCAGAATCGTTTTTTCGTTAGCGATGATTCATGGTTGCTAAATGTTGCTTACAGAGTTACAGATATACATTAAATTACCTATAACAGTAGCTGCACCCATCCCCGATTATTCTTGGACAGCTTTTTTTGTCTTTCTTTTTTCTTTTTTTTTTTTTTTTTTTACAAAATATAATTCATATTGATTGATAATAATCTATAGATATTATGTATTATGTATTGCTTATATCGTATATGTGTATAAATAAATTATTTCATTAGTTTTATTCAGACGACGTTAATAATGATTGTCGGCGAAGTGGGAGTCGGCAACTGTAGGGATCGGTAAATTGGGAAATCACCTTAGGGTTACCATATTTATTATAATTATTTTTAACGTTTTGTATTCTTTTTTATTTTAGAAGTTCGATTAAATTTTTTTTTGGACAGAATATTAATCTCAAAATTGTGTTGCTGGGTTTTTAATTCTTTAATCAAAATAAAAATGTTTGGATGTGGTCGACACATTATAGTCCTGTTATGAGCTGCGTGCCAACCTTCGAAGTGATTAATTGTCCACGTACGGTCTGTTTTGTAGTGGTTCCATATTATAGCTACATAATATAATACGCATACAAAGTAGAAACCTGGGCTTTTTCGGCAAAATAGGATTCGGCCACAGGGGATTTTTTTTTTATCAAACAGTACAGAACTGGTATTTTTTCGGCGAAATGGGACTATGCGACATAAATAGGACATAGGTACTTACCTAGTTTTAAGACAAAAATAAAACCAAAATACTTTACCTATCGCTGAGTAACGCCGGGTCGTATACAATTTTGGAAAATAATTTATCATTACCGCATTTTGTTAAGAAATAATCATCGATGAGCAATTTCGTGGCTGCTTAATACTGCAGATTCTCATACGCCGTCGAGTAAACATTATTTTCCGGCATGATACGGTTCCAATAAAATACTTTCCGACGAATCATTTAGAAAATTATGATTCGAACGAAATGTAGTCCTATAAGCGTTTACCTCCATAGCCCATAGATCCGGATGCTTATCGCCTACGGCCCGCGCGCCCTCTATCGGTAAACTACGTAAACAGATGAGTGCGGTGTGTAGAGTGGTACCACCACCGTGACCACGATCAGTTACCATCTGATTGCCATAATTATTATTTTCTTTCTTTCCCCAAAAGAAAAATAATAATAGGTACCTACGACATCCGCTGTTCCGCGGTAAGTTATAATATAAATATTACGTACACACACATACGCGCGCGTGCACATACGCAGTGCACATACACGAATTAAACTATAACTAGTATTAGTCCTTTATCTATTCCCCACGTTTTTCGTCTTTTCGTTGTTCTCAGATAGACGGCTCCGTTTACTCAATCGAAAATCCAAACATACGCACAGGTATATTCAGGTATCTCGGTAGTGTAACACGTCGTCGAAAGGTAGCAGCTGTATTCGCGCTGTCATTTGCTCGTTCGTCCGGATTCAGTCATTCTGTTCGTGACTTCGCGTTACACACGGATCAACAACAACGGACAACTGAATAACAAAATTCATGAGGACCGTGTCTTCGTAGTCGTCTGTCAAATTTGGTAGTCGCCGTACGCGTATCTCGTTCGTAATTCATTTTGCATTGTCGGATATGATGTGACGACGTTCGCCCCTTCGTATTTGCCTCCGAAGTCCCGTCCCAGCGGGCGGTCATTCTGTAAAAACTTGTTCGTGTATATTGTGTGCTGTTAGCGTACCCAAGTGGTCATCGTGATACACGCACCGATGCTTGGCCGACAATGGCTTGCCTGAACGTGTTGAAACAAGAGATCAAAGTGCTCGAGTCAACATTTCCCAAAGACCATGACCGGTTTCAGATACATACCGCCACTGTCGACGAGGTGATATGCAAGTTCGTTGGACCGTCTGGCCGACCATTCGAAATCATCGGTAACATCACGGTAGTAATCACTCTTTGTTTCTTTTCCTCTTAGAATTATCATACTTGGTACCAATATTAACCAACATTACTTTTATTACGTTAATTTTGCAGGAAACCTATCCTGGTACTCCGCCTGTCTGGTTCGCTGACACTGACGACTGTAAAGTAACTATCGCTATCGAAAAGCTTGGTCAAACAACTGGGCATAACAATCATGTAAGTACTGACTGTTGTATTGATTAAATCATTTCAATGACCAATGTTGAATTAGGTATATCTAATTTTGTATAATTATCATATAATATAAAGTTGAGCATAATTTTAGTTTACCTACCGTGTAATTTTTTTGGGATTTTTTTATTTTTTCATTATTTGTATGTTTTGGCGTGTGCATAAAGAATTTAAAAAAAAAGTCTGACAAACCTAATAAAGTACAGGTTTTCCTTTTTGCGTATTTCTTAGTTAGAATTTAACATTTTCAAATTTTTTTTTCCCAAAATGTGTGCTTTTAGATGCTTAATCCATTAGTATAATTAAAATATACCTGTCATACTTACTTTTAGTTTTTGTACATAAAATAGAATTTTTTTATTATTATTATTATTTGTAGTTATTGATATTTAGATAACAAGGTTTTTTTTATTGAAGTCTGAATAAATCTATTCGATTTAGTTATAGTTATTCGCGTTCAAACATGATGATATTGGGTTTCTAATTTCACCTGTATGCTTTTCACTTTTGCTTGTTGCTTACCCGATGTGGTTTTGTACAACAAATTGAGAGTTCTTTTCATTTAAAATTGTACATGTGAGCACAGCAAAATATGGCACGTTTGAATGTTTGAAACTCTAAAACTAAGCTAGATATATTTATTCTGACTTCAATAAAAAAAACTTGTTATTTAAATATCTTCTTCTTCTTCTTCTTCTTCTTTCTTGGTTTTGGCCATTCAAGACCATACCTCTAGATAAACATACTGCCACCTATCCCTATCCTCTGCTACTTCCTGCCAATGACACTCCGGCTCCACTGTTTCAGTGTCTCTCCTTACGCAATCCTCCCATCTTAGACGCGGTCTTCCAAGAGGTCTCCTCCCTACTGGGTTTTCTTCTATTACTCTTCTTATTAATGAGTCATGTTTCCTCCAGGTATGTCCAGCCCAAACTAGCCTTCTTTTTTTTATTTCTTTCAGTATATCCGGTCATTGAAAAAAAGATTGCAGTTCTTCATTATGTAATTTCCTCCATTCATTTGTGAGAACATCATAGTATGCCCCATAAATTTTCCTGAGTACTTTTCTCTCAAATACTGCAATTCTTCGTTCTTCAGTCTTTCTCAGAGGCCATGTTTCTGCTCCGTACAGGACAATTGGCCTTAGCAAAGTTAAGTACATTCTAATTTTTAAATTCTTAGAGATTGCTCTTGATCTAAAAATTTTACTAAGTCCAAAGAAACATTTACTAGCTGATTGTAATCTCATTGAAATTTCTGTTTTAATGTCGTTATCTTGAGTTATAATTGACCCTAAGTATTTGAATTGGTCCACTCTTTTAAATTTGTATTCTTCCACTTCAATGAATTCTTCTTGAACCTGATTTCCATTTCTCCGACTGACCACCATGTACTTTGTTTTTTCTTCATTAATCCTTAGTACTACTTTCTCCGCAGCCTTTATAAGTGATTTCCCCATTTTTATTATCATCTCTCTACTCCTTCCCATTAGAGAGATTTCATCCGCATATGCCAGAATATTAATTGTCGATCGACCTAATTCAACCCCTTCACATAAATTGATTTCTCTTACTATCTTCTCCAACACTAAGTTAAATAGTACAAGAGAAAGCGCATCTCCTTGTCTTAAGCCTGTCACCACTTCCACTGATTGTGACAACGTATTTGCTAGCTTTACTTTAATCTTTGTTCTATTTAAACTTGCCTCTACAAGATTAACTAGCTTTTTTGGAAACTTAAATTCCCTAAGAATATTGATTAAGCTTGCCCTGTGGATAGAGTCGTAGGCTTTCTTGAAGTCCACAAATAATATATACACGTCTTTATTGAACTCCCACATTTTTGGAAGGGTCTGCCTAATCTAAATTTAAATATCAATAACTGCAAATAATAATAATAAAACAAATTCTATTTTTGATCACATTTTGATCACAAAAATGCTATTTTTTAAGGCCTATATACAACAACTTTAAAAGTAAGTATGATGAGTACGTTTTGATTATACCAATCTTTAATCATCTAAAAATTTACATTTTTGGAAAAAATATTGTGTGGTACCTAAACTTGAATTGTTACTAAAGTATATAGGCATTTCTGTATTTTTTGCATTTTTTTTTTCGTTGTTTTACGTCATTTTTTTCCCCATTAACTAATCTTAAAGTCAAAACATGTTTTGTATTATCATCAATGAAATTAACCCAATTACTCATATTTAATTGGAATGGCTTATACATATAACTTCCTTTTTTATTATTATCAAAATTGTTTATACATCTATATTCATTTTTGTTTGAAAATTAGTTATTAGGTAATAAATAATATTTGAGGTATATTTATAATAATTATTATTATATCCAGCCGATTCAGAGAGGAGACACTAGAGTCATCTCTCCCAAACCATACTGTAGTATAGTATGTTTTTTTCTTGTATTGTGGTAAAGTATGCATCAATTTTCTTTGTTGCAAACCATTTAGCTCAGTGACCTCATTTTAATTTTTTTTTAATACACACGTGATTATGTAGGCTATAAATCTGCATGGGCCTATAAACAAAAAAAAATAAAAAGATCATCAATAAAATATTCCTATAAAATAATATTCATGAAAAGGTCATTAGTATCCTAATCTGGTAATGTACAAGCCACTGTATTTCATTCCGGTTAATTTAGGTAATTTTTTATTCAAAATTTGACCAGATTTTCTTAAATTAAATCTACCAAGCAGTTTCAATTTTACTTTAACAAACAGTCCACGAAATTTAATTCAATCAATAGTTCAAGTATTTATTTGGATTTTAGTAACAAAGAAATTTGTTTATATTTTTTGAAATTAAAATAGAATATTATTAGGTCATAGATTAAAATATTTTTAAATAATTTAAAAATAATATAAATTCAAATTGGCTATCGTTTTTACATGCATGATTGATATATACTTTTTTAGTTTTGTTGAAGAACTAAAATTATAATCAATGCTTGTATTTTGCCACAGCTTGTAGTTATTGAAAAGTGTATGAAAGAATATACCTCCTATGGAAAAAAGAGAAAAGCTAAATTATCTATTGTTTTGTTCTTAATAATAATTACATAATAAAAAAAAAATATATCACTGTTTAATTTAATAACAAACCGGTATCAAAACAATAATATAGGTACTTCATAAATTCTTTGTTTAATACATTACATTTTTTTAAATATATAAAATTGAAATAGCTATATATTTATTGTTAGGAATTATTGATCCTTAAGTCAGGTAAAAACTTGTAAGCCACCCATAAAAAACCTAGCTTAAAGTTAGTTTATACCCATAACACATTTATAAAATCAATTTTTGTTATTAAAACCACTTAATCTATTAGATTGTCTTATTAATTCATGTATTGTTGCAAATGGATAAGTTTTTTAATTTTAGTTTAATTGTTTAAACAGCCTTATATAATAGTGGTTATATATTTTGAGTATTTATTTATTTTTTGTTTAATATCTTTTAAATACAGTTTCAAAAGTAAGATTGATTACCGCTCCTCATAGCCTTATCTATTGTTTGACTCTTAGTCTCTAGAGATCTTGGTTTAGCTCATCTATCTGTTTTTATTTTTCAGTCAGCCTAGTGTTCTTTTTTCTTTTAGTTTCTTTTCTAGTGCATATTTTATTATGCTATTCAATGTCCATATATGTCCTAGTAGGTTCATTCGTCTTGGTTTAAGTGTAGATTAAAATCCACACTTATTTCAGCATTCGTTTTTATTTCATATTCATTTTTGTTCAATAGGTTTTTAATTTATTAATATTATATTGTATTTAATTTCACTATTAAACTATTAAAAACATTAACCTTTTTTTTTTTATTGATCAAACATACAAGGTTGCTGAATAATTTAAATACTAACACATAATCATTATAAAGTTTAAGTCAACTTTTATCGATTATTTTTTAGGTTATCAACCAAGTTGGAATATTGGTTAGTGAACTTTGTCGTTCATACTGTTTATCTGAACCGTCCGAGTTACAAAGACTGATCCAAATGCCTTCCAGTTCAGGAGCATCAACTTCTACTTCTACCTCATGTTCTAGTAGTAAGCTTAGTGATGAGGAAGATGATGATGACGATGATGAAGAAGAGGTTGAAGAATATATTCAACTCGAAATGGAAGATCCTATTCCCGAATCTACTAAGAAACAAGTAATACTTAAAATGATTTATTCATCATTCATCTATTCATTTATTCAATACCATTCAATAATTATTTTAAAATATAGGTTGATGAAATAGAAATTCAACACTTGGAAACTTTAGAACGATTACGCCAAAATCAACGTCAGGATTATTTAAAAGGAGCTGTAACAGGATCTGTTCAAGCTACCGATCGTCTTATGAAGGAGCTTAGAGATATATACAGATCTGATAGTTTTAAAAAAGGTAAGATTTTGAACTAAAATGCAATAATTATTGTTAAGAAAGCATGTTAACTGCATTAGTTGATTGTCTTTGTTAATATAGGGAATTTTTCCTTTTTTGATAAATTAATAAATTAAGTAATGCCTTAAATTCATTTTTCAGCCCATTTACATTACTTACCTACCTGACATAGTTTTGCACAAGAAATGTATGTTTATTTTTTATTGAAATACTGGCATGAACTCATAAAGTGAGTAATTGGAGCTAGTCGTAAGCCTTACATTACATTAAATTCCTTCAAGCAGTAACAGGTTTGAACCTGTTGGTCATAGGGTTATATCTACCTGTCTAGTTGGAGTATTAGCCCAATTTTTGTAAAATGGTCTGCAAATTTGTGTTTACTTCAAAACTAAATTGACCTGAAAAATTCTGATTGTGCCATCATCACAGCATCCAAAAACTCATTGATTGTAAAAAAAAAAAAAAAAATTGAAATTTGAGAGTGGGTAGGTAAAGTGAATTCGTTCTAAAGTATAGCTTACCTAGTTAGGCTTATTTTATAAGCGCCTCTATTGATATTTAACTTTTGAGGCTTAAAACAAATTTGTATTAAATGTAATTTAAATATGTACTTAAATTACTTACAAATATAGTTAATACCTGTAAAGTTTTGAGTCCTAGTTATGTTGTCTGTATAATAAATACAAATAGCAAGTTAATTTGTCATGTTTCATTAAGTTAAAAGTTTATGTATTTATCTTCTTCTTTTCTTTTAAAGGTCATTAATTAAGGCCCATCACTACTCTACTGCTCTACACAGCTTTTCCTTCATTCTTTTCTATTTGCTGCTTTTTCCTCTATGTTATCGATCTAAAGTGTTTGTAAGTTCTTATTTAGATCATTTATCCATTGATCTCTTACCTTCTGGCTTACAGTTCAGTGCATCTCTGTTATGTCATTTGATCTCCATACATGTCCAGCCAGCTTATTTTTTTCTTTAAATGTTTGTACTATATCTTCTTTTCCATAAAGTTCTTTGATATTATATTTGATCTTATTTCAAATTCTCCTATTTGATCATTTTTCTTTAGTTCAAAAATATGCCGAAATTATCTTTTTAGAATTCTCATATTTATCTTGGTATCTTATCATGCCATGTTTTACATGTGTAAAAAATTACTGGTTTTGCTAAAACCTTGTATAATTGCTTTTTTGATTTTTTAATAGTTATTTAGATTTGAATGTTTTCTGTAGTGCAAAATAACTTTGTTTTTCAGCGTTGATCTATAACATTATTTCTTCATGACAATCATTTTAGCTATTTATTTCAACTTCTAGGTATTTGTAACTTTCTATCTTCAAATCAATAATTCTAAATCATTATGTTTCTAGTTGATTATCTCTTGTTAGATTATTTAGTTTATCCTTTATTGATCATTGACTAATGTCCTATTCCTAGTTTTTTAGTAGTATTTTTATACTTTCTTTTCTTGATCCAAGTATAACTATCATCAGCATGGGCCACTAAGTTATACATTTTCCCATTAAAACTTGCACCATTCACTGTTTATCGGACTTTTCTGATGACTTCCTTTAGAATGATGTTAAATAGTATTGGTAACAAGACATTTCCTAGCTTCAGTTCTACCGTCACTTCACATTCTTCTGATAGACAATTTCCAAATTTGATTTTACATCTATCCATTCTGACTAATTTTAATGGGATTCCTAAACTTTCCGTGCTTTTAAACAATAATTTCCACAATTGATCGTATATATGCTTAAAGTCAATAAATAATAAGTGTAGTGGTTTATTTTACTCTTAATACTTTTCTAATAATTGTTTTGACATAAGCACATGATCAGTTGTGGATTTCTCTGGTTTAAAACTGTATTGGTGTTCGCCTACAATTTCTTTCCATATGGCTTAAATCTGTTTTGAATACATGTATAATGTTTTGATAATACTTTTTAAGCCGTGTTGAATATACCCATTTCATTGAATTAGTATTTAGTCTTTGTGGCTTATGAGACCAAATCTGTCTTCTATTATTTTTATAGTTTTTTTCTTTTTGTTCAGTGTTCTTAATACTCTTGATTTATGTTACTCACTTTATCTTTTAATTCTTTTCTGTATTAATTTGAAATCTAGTCATCCTTTAATTTGTCTACATTGAACTTGCAGAAGAGTTCTTTTATGGTTCCATCTGGTGGGTAGTTTTATACTTAGATGAAGTTATAGGGGACTATAAATTCATCTGTCACAGTGTGTCTACCTAGTTTTTTGTGTGTCCACAAAATGAGATCCTTGTTTGTTTATGTAATGCTTTGTGGGGGAAAATTTGAGCTACTTATAGTTCTACTTTTTTACATTGTAGAAAATATCAATTTATTCCCATTATTATTAGATTCATGGAGGCTCTGATCCTTTATTGTAAGTTTGAATATTTGCAGAATACTTGTTGTGAGTTTGGTCTCATTTTATAGAAAATGGTTATACATTCCATGTTCTTAAACTAACTAAATTCTTCATTTTGTTTTTTATTTTTTATCTTTTAACAGTGCTTTACCCTGTTTTGTTTCGGAATCGCACATTTATTATGAGTCTGATGATTAGCCCTATTTTAACCTCTAATAATGGAGGACCCGACTTTTGGAAGAATTCTCCTATCTCCTTAATGAAATCATTCACTTGCAACTTTTCACCAGTAGATGGGAGCACCACTTTCCCCGTTTGCCACTGTTTATACACTTATTGTATAAAATTATAATCATTTTTAAACTTAAATTAAAAATATTATTATAAACACTTTTATTTTATTTTTAGGAATGTATAGTGTGGAACTTGTTTGTGACAGTATCTATGAGTGGAATATTAAACTAATGACAGTTGATCCAGATTCTGCGCTATATCACGATTTACAAAAACTAAAGGAGAAAGAAGGAAAAGACTTTGTGCTACTTAATATAACATTCAAAGAGACTTATCCCTTTGAACCACCATTCGTGCGTGTAGTTCATCCCATTATACAAGGTGGCTACGTCTTGGTTGGTGGTGCCATATGTATGGAATTGCTAACCAAACAAGGGTGGAGTTCGGCTTATACTGTAGAAGCTGTAATTATGCAAATTTCAGCTACTTTGGTTAAAGGAAAAGCTAGAATCCAGTTTGGCATGCCGAAAACTATGAACCAGGTATCCCCAATATCAACATATCCAGTAGTATGTTCAATTTTCTTTAATATTTACCATTTTATAACATTTGTTATAAAATGTTAATGAAAATTATCTTATACCAGTGGTGGATGCAATCCAAGTGAGGAGAATGGTCCTCCCTCACTTTTGTTTTCTCTCCAAAAATATTCATAACTTAAATATAAACTGAATTTATTTTTATCATAATTATGTGCCTTAAATAATATTTCAAAATCACCCCACCATTATTTTGTTCTAGATCCGCCACTGTCCTATACAATTATTTAATATTATATAATTAAAAATGTTTTTAACATCTTAGGGTCAGTATTCATTAGCCAGAGCACAGCAATCATTTAAATCTCTTGTGCAAATACACGAAAAAAATGGTAATTAATTTATTCAAGCCTTTTAAATATAGTGTTTATTATTTCTAAAAAAAATTTCGAAGTTATATTTAGTAATAATTTTGATTTGAAATATTTTATTTTTCAGGTTGGTTTACCCCTCCTAAAGAAGATGGTTAAACCATGGCTTTACACTATCATAAATTCTCATTCCTCGAAAAAAAAAAAACCAAACGTATAATCACATGTCTCATTTGTAAAAAGAAAACGTTGATCTTTTTTTATTTACAAAGTAATATTCACATTCATTATATTATTTAGTTATTTTATATAACTTTTTACTTATTAATTTGGTGACCTGATTCTATCCTAAGTACAATCCTTCACAAAGGGGGGTTTTTGATCCGTGACATTACTTTCATAAGTCTACCAGAGATACGCATTGGTTTTTTTTTTTAAATTTTATTATGGTTCTTTTTAAGTTTTGTTCTTTTCTTTTATATATATATATATATATATATATGTATGTATGTATGTATGTATGTATATGTATATTTTTTTTGTATATGTATATTTTTTTTTTTTTTTTTTAAAAAAAGGTTCAAAATTAAATTATGTTCATGTATTATACTGTGATTACTATTATAATGTAAAAAGTTATTGATTCTGATGTCTTTTTTTATTCAACAATAAATGACACTAAAATGTGTTTAAAAGAATTGTGTTAATATCTGCTTATTTGACTAGAAATATTGTTAAAAAACCGCCATTAAACAAAAAATATAAATATATTTAAATATTTTCATGTTGCAATGCTCAATAAAATTTTACCCCAACTGCTTATGTAGTTTAATTTAAAATATAAGCCACTGAGTTACTAAGTGATTTAAATATGTACTTAATAGATTATTATGAAATTAATACACAACAAAAAAAAGTTATCGTTAACTTGGCTGTAAACTTTAATGTTAATTATTTATGTTAATTAAATTTTGTAAAATAAATTTTTGACAGAAATAGTAAAAATTTATGTGTATTACTGTATTAGAAATGATTTGAGAAAAAAATTACTAAATGTGTATGTATCTTATACCTTACGATATTAAAGTTATAAATCATACTACAGTGGATTTTGTTTATAAGATTCATTGATATAAGGTTCAGTCAGAAATTCCCTAGAAGACCCGGAATTGATTGGAACTGTCCAGACATATCCAAATACATTTAAAAAAGTCTGATAAGACTCAAGTTACATAAAAAAAAAGATTGAAATTGTAGTTATTTTTGTTAAAATGTTTTAAACAAATAAATTATTTGAAGTTATTTGTGTTTTAGTGGTTCAATTTGTATCTTATCTAACTTCACATTTATCGCAATTATTATTGTAATGTAAGGTATACATATAATATCAATTAACTGGCCTAGTTATTGAATTTCACATGTATCATAATTTATATAGTTTTACTCATTGTTGTATATAGTACAATCATTCAAGCACTAATTTTAATATACAATATGAGTATGAGCAATATATTATTGGAATAACTAAAGTAACAGAACAAACAAAAATATTAAGTTTTGTAATAAATATTATGTTGTATGTAAAAATAATATGTAATATATTATTACAAAATATGTGAAAATAGTAAAATAAAGGTAAAAATGAATGCATTTTTTTTGTTTCTTTCTTCTCTTCATCTATTATATTTATTTAGTTAAAAAATTGAATTCATCACGTTGAAACTAAGTATAACATTCACAAATTATCACTCAACCTATAGTTGCGTATGATAAAATATTGTAAAAATGATGGACATCCCTTTTTGCTTTATTGGTTTAAAATTAAGTTTTTACATAGATTTTGTGAATATGATTGTAAATTTAGGCCATTTTATTATTAAATCATGTGGATTAAAGATTCTCAAATTTGTTTCTCTCGTAGCTCATTTACTCATTCTTTTTATTTTTCGTAAATCCCCTAATATTGAATTTTTAAACAATACATTAACTTAAAACATGTTTTTAGCAACTTTTACAAGTTGAGGACTGAGAAAATTTGCACTGTCCAACATTTTACTCCATTAGGTTAGTTCTGAAAAGAAAAACCTGAAATGATTAACTTTATTTTTATTGAAGTTAGACTATCACCTTGTCACTGCAAGTTAACTTCATTAAATTTTACTTCTCTTTAAATGTCTCGTTTCCCCTTTGGATTAAATTTTCTTTATAAATAAAATCTTTGATATTCCCTAATAGATCTATGTCAATATAGAGTTTATTAAACTCTCACGGTACCCCCTGTTTATATCTCATGCACCCCCAATTTGTTTTTCACTAACATGAACCACTTGTAGGACAGTGTCGACCCCTTTGGATCGATATAGACCACTTTAGGAATTTCTAGTATAGATTTTTTTATATCTGTTATTGCCATGAAGACTAAAAGTTCAAAAGTTATAGTTATCATAGTTATTACCTTAGATCAGAACCGTTTTACAGAAAAGTGAAAGGAATACAAATCGAGTACAAAAAAATGGTATTGGTCCGAAATCGATAGGATAATTTTTAAAGGTTGCGGGAGACGGTCTCCTCATCTCCCGTATTTAAAATGCTGTTTTACACGAAATTAAAGGGGCTATACATTTTTTTGGAAGGGATATAAATCAGGTGCATAAAAATAATATTTAATAATTTAATAATATTTATATTATAAAATTGGTTCGAAGTTGATAGGACGATTTACGGTTGCCAGGGAGATGGACCTGTCTCCAGATCAAATTGTCTTGTTCTAAAAGTCCATTTATTCGAATGTTATCAGTATATACAATAGCTGGTATATCGTAGGAATAGGTAAATATTTGTTTGAACTTTCAAATAATATACCCCTTCACAATAATATTAACAATATGAACCTCGGACTTGCCAGAACCCCGAACTCAAGTGTCATTTAAGTGCCATAATGTATTAGATTGTCATGAAGTTGGAAGAATATGGTTGAGGGTAAATAGAATTTTTGAAAATTCAGTACCGTAAAATGGGGTGAATAGGAACGGTTTTTGAGGTTTTTCCGCAATAATATTTAAAATATTGATGATAATGATATTTTGAAAATCGATTTATGTTGTATAGCTAAAATTACATCATTTCTCTAACAAACTTTGCTTTAAAATTCAAAGCTGTATTTTACATAAGTTTTTAAAAACTTCATCTTATTGATCCGGCAATGGAGTGAACAGGAACGCACTAATACAATTTTTCTTTTCCTTTTGTAAATTAAGAATGGAGAATAGGAATTAAATTTATATTTTTAAAAAAAGTTTATTAACATTATAAACAACGTTTAAACACATAAAAATAAACCAAAAAATTAAACAATTCCTAATATAATATAATAAAAAAACTAATAAATGAATAATAAATAGGTGCCTGCTTTGACAAATCAGTCTTGATTTCACTCTGAGATTAAAACGTGTTAACATAATTAATGTATGAAAAATATAACAATTAATAATAGGTAATATGATAAAAATTTTAAAAAAAGTTTTAACAAACAGTAGGGAAGAAAATTTGTTCACCAATCATTATAATCAACATAAAATTCCATGTTACCCCTTCTTTGAAGTTTTGGGTGCTTTAAAACCTCTATACTGTTATCAAAATCTATCCAAAATAGGTCTTCTTTTTCAGGAAAAACAGAAATCTCACCAGAATTTATTTTTGTTTGGCGATATTTTAAAAAAGAACTAAAATTTGTAAAATTAAAAAAAAAAATTAAACGTGTTCCAATTCACCCCGAATGATTGTAATAAAAGTAAGCATAAAGTTTTACACGGTTGTAAGTACAAGATAAATATTTTAAATATATACGTGTATAATAGTACATAAATATACATATAAACGTTTAGTAAGTATAGGACTTTCAGAAGACGTTTTTTCAAATTGAAAAAATTGAGATATTAACTCATGGTTGATAACGTGTTATCACTAAAGATACTATAAATTTGATCAATAACGGACACTATCAAAGTGATCCACACGACTTAAGTGACAAATTAAAATTGGTAGAAATACCAAAAGTTGAAAATTAATGATTTCAACATCAGCAAATCGCCACAAACGTTTCACCCCCAGCGTTTCGCCGCCAAGCAATTTGCCTCCAACGTTCCTCCACGATCTATTTCGTCGCCGTTAATTTCGCAGCCAATGTTTTTTTTTCCTAGCGCCGTATCTTGGTTATTTTTAAACGTACGCTAGTGTGATAATTTCATAATAAAAATACCTCCCCTTTCTGATTTCTAAATCAAGTATATTTTGACGGAATTTAGTGATAGGAGAGCGGTTTTAACGCCAAAACATTTGGCTTCGTACCCCACACCGGCTAACCTGACCTAACCTAATCGATCTTTGGAAACGATCCCTAGATTATCAATAAACTACCCTCTTTATTCTCTAGCATTAGGTATTTGTTATACTTATATTTTTGAATCTATGCCATGGCGTTTTTCTGTAAGTTCAAAATTACCTTATTTGTATGGGGGATGAACCACTGGTAAAGTATTAATCATTATGTCCATTTTTACCATAGTATTACCAATACAATCAATAATAAATGGATCTATATGTCTTCATATGGCCGAGATCTAAAAACCGATTTTTTGGAAAATCTGACCTTATCTCTTTATAAATGACTAGCTGAATTACCAGTCGTTGCCGGGTTTAAGTATAAAAACTAATAGTTATTTAAATATTATCTACAAAATTTCTTTGTAGATAATATTCTTCGCTGATCTATTAGTAGGAGTCAAAATCACCAACCTACTGGGTGAGCTTACGCGTGAGCAATCTACGTAGAACTGTCCATGTAAAAATCAGTTTGCTCGCAAGTCTATTCCCGCAAATTTGAGAGTCTGGCCTTGAGACTTATTTATAGTCATTGCAAAGCAGACTCTGAGGGGAAACTATAATCGTTTAAATTCGAACGGAAGATCATTCGGAATTAAAGTAAATCGTGGTACAAATACAGTTTCCCCTTTCGCACATCTAGTTAAAATTGTGGCTTCCACTATATTGCGATGTAAGGCTTTGACTTTTAGCCAGGTCCCGTTGCATAGTTTAGGTGGTTTTAAATTTCACAACATAATAGGTGTGCCCACCTGCAAAATAAGCTTATGATATGGCATACTCGGTGGTTTCAACGATTTTCAAAATTCAACAAGATTATTAATTCCATCATCTATGTTGACCATAGTGTCTATCGAAGTATATACTTTTTCTTACCCCGCAAAAGATATCAGCAGTGTATCATTGATAGCCACCGTTTGGTCATTTTTTAGAGTAAGTATAGCACGTTCACAGACTATTCCATAGGCTTATCATGAATATGAGCAATATCTGGATACATTTTTGATATTAAATCCTGAACCGTAGTTACAACTGTGTACAAATTTTCTGGGATGGTTATCATTTCATCAAATGATAGATAATCACCATTGCCAATTTCTAGTAATAGATCTACAAACCTATCAGCAGATTTTTCCCCTCCCAAGTGTACCCTCATATTTTTCGACAGTTCGAGTATGTTAATCTGAGTCCACAAAGTAGATCTTTTAAGGCGTGAATTGACTTCATCAGTTCTGGTCCCTTTTGGTACCACTGGTAGAGTCTGTCTAAAATCTCCGGCCAGCAAAATCATTACACCACTCATAAACCTTTTATTTCCCTTTATATCCTTTAGAGATCTATTTAAAGCCTCAACACCACCCTTATGTGCCATTGTAATTTCATCCCACACTATTATTTTTGTATTTTTTAATACTTCCGCAAAATTACTTTGTTTTAATATATTACAAACGGGATTGTTCGAAGTTGTTAATTTGAGTGGTAATTTGAAGGTAGCATGAGCAGTTCGACCACCCTCGAGCAGTGTAGCTACGATTCTAGAAGAAGCTACAGCTAAAGCAATGTCGCGCGTACTTCTAACTTTCGTTAAAGCAGATTGATTAAGAAAGTGTTTCCTAACATAGTCCAGACAACAACGATTACATCCATTAAAATCGGACTTCAGGAAGTTTCCTTAATTTAATTAACTAAATATCCTTTCTGAGTGAATATCTACGTCATAAAACAAAATACGGATTTAATATATTTTTGTTTGATATGATTTTCACATTTAAATTATTTAAGTATTTTGATTCAAAGTACATAGGTGCAATTAGACCACCAACCATGGGGGTGCTAAAATTATAGACACATCATAGACCCATAGAGGCAATACCCCCACAATACTCTTTATACGATACTTATAATAAGCAACTACACATTTTATTTAACTTTTTTATAATCAGATGATAATTTATATTTTGTTCCGCTTGTTAATTATGAAATACATGGATAAAATATTAAGTTTATACTATAAACAACTTATTAGGTATTTTTGGAAGTGTTAAAGACACTTTAGAACCCCCCTATGCTGGGTGACTTCTCACTTCATGTGTTGTTACGTCTCTTTTTAAAAATAGCAAATTTACCCACTTGTTGTCAATACCTATTTTTTTCACAGATTGTACATATAATATAATGTTAAAGAGCGACAAGTATTTTGAATATTTGAATTGCGATTTTTATGACATTTTCACCTAAAATTTGTGGTGTATACATATAGATACATAGTATGTAGCACGGACTAAGATATACAGTACTATGATATAAAAAAATATTGTTTATGTACAGTACTGAACATAATAAAAGAGGAGGTTTGTCTACGAAATTGTATAGAACAGTATGAGGTTATTTTTCATTTATAGCATTACTAGCATCTATTAACTATTTTTGAATAATTTAAAAAACAAGTAGCTCTAAAATGTTATATTGCCGTCATTTTTTGTCACCCTTATTTTTAAATGATAGCTATGTGTATAACATAACAATAAGCTATGTTAAAAATTTCATAAATAGTAGAAGTATTAGTTTAAATATATTTTGATATTGATATTTTTGATTTCTTAACACGTTTGCTGGGTTCAGATTTTAAGTTTGAGTAAGAGAGAGTAATAGAGTATCATTTGTGTGGAGCAACATGTGGCAAACTTAAAATTTGAACATCTAATTGAAAATTTTAGGGAATATTATTAAGGGCTTTTTGGTGATAATATAGCACATATTTCAGTACTTTTTATAAAATCTAAGCTCTGCTTACCACATATACTCAATATTGTATAATTTTTTTATGAACATTTAACTCTTCATCTCCTTCAAAAGCAACGCTTACAGGAAATGTTTATTCTAACAATAATATATTTTATATATTGATTTATGCAAAACTATATTTTGAATAATTATAAAAATAGGTAATACATAATAACTTGGAACACATTTACATATTAATTAATGTAACTCTTATTTACACATTGCCATAGGAAGTAGTGTTTAGTAGTGACATTGATTATTATATTTTTAATTAATAAATACAATATAATTTGTAAAATCATGATTAAACAATATATAACAACAAAATAATAATAAATAAACAACCCGTTTTTAAAATCAATAACTTAATTTGTACGATAACATGCATATTCCATAATCATGTTTACAGATAAAAATAAAAATTAACCATTTGAAAGGTAAAAATATTATATAGAAATTCTTCTAATTCTTCATTTAAAAGTAATAATGGTTTAAGTTTCAAATAAATAATGTTTTCTTTAGATTTAATTTAAAAACATTATTTTCTTTTAGCTTTGTTTATTATAGATTTAGATTTAGAGTTTAAATCGATGAAAAAAAGAGAAAAATAATAGTAATATAACATATAACTATATATAATTTAATGACTTGATATTTATATTTGTTTAGGCCATAAACATAATATTAAGAACTAAATAACTGTTATTGTTTAATAATGCTGCTCAGTTAAACCGCCTGTATGATTTCCAATACATTGGACAATAGTTTCACCTGAAGTTATTTACAACAATCATATTATAATATTTTATAATCAAAGAGTAACAACATTTAAAGGTTACCAAGTTGTCGGATAAGTGCCATAGTTTCCTGATGTCTTCGTTCTTCTGCACGCTCTTGGTTTGCAGCTATTTGTAATAGTGTCTTTTCTTTTCCAGCAGCAATTTCTCTAAGAGTCTTTGTTAACACAGTTTCTTCACTAATATCTGGTGATTTTTGTAGTAATTTGGGCATTAACTTGGGAAGCCTGTCATTTTTTTTTAATGCCTGACCATAATACATTTCTGTGTCAAATTCAGTTTCACATAAATCTGTACAATATGTTTAATGTACTGTAAGTCATAGGCGAAATAAAAGTAGACATATTAAAGCTGTTGTTAACTTACTACTAACAAAATCATGTGTATCACAATTTGGATTAATATTACTATTTACATTATTTCCTATAATTGTATTATTTGTTGACATGTCATCATTATTGCTTAACCTACTTTGTTTAAAAGTTTTTCTTCTGAATACAGTTTTATACCTGCATATACAATTTATTTTATTTCATTAACCACACTATTTTTAATTCCATACCCAATGAAATATTGCAATATACCTATTATGACATTGTTCAGCAGTTCTAGTGATATTAAGCGTATCACTTACAACATTTGCAATATGTTCAAACATTTTTGATTTAGTCCTGAATGTTCTCTCCAGACCAACTTTGGTAATATTTTTTTTATACAATTCCATTAGTAGCTTAGTATCATTTACACCCCATTCATTCATAGATTTCATTGTACAACGATCTAAGGCCAATAATGTACTTCATGATTACATAAGTATTTAAAAATATGAATAAGATTAACAATATATTTATTAACAGACAAGAAATTAAAATTGTTTAAATTTTTGTAATATTACCATTAGTTTCAGAGTCCTGTCTATTATAATCGTGATCTGCTGAAACTGAAGCTGTTACAGCTTTTTGAGATCTTTCCTCTTCATTTAACTTTTTCCCTCCATTAGATATGGTTTTTCGTAAAAATTTACGACTAACATTTCGTCGGTTTATTACAGTTTTATACCTAATAAGTATTAAATCATTGGATTATTTTGAATCTGTGTAATAAAACCCGATTGATAATGGTTCAATGATAAAATTAAATGCCATTAATATATAATTTTAAGCGAACTTGCACATTTTTCAGTATGTATTCCATAACATTATAAAGTACTAAGGTATAAGTCTATAAATCTAGTAACTGGTCTATACAATTTTTTCTACATTCTTTTTTTTTGATCTTATGTACATTGCTGTGTTAAGAACGATGAGGAAGTCAGAATTGAACAGACTGTCTTAGTTTCAAAAGTTATAGCCTTATGAAGTTCAGATATTACATGTGATATTAAATAATTCAATATTGATTCTTTCACACACTGTATATTATAGTCTATTGGTGATGCATACTTGGTATCATGATATCATCCCAAAGATTCCGAGTTCTCAAACCTTGTTTTTCTTAAATTATTTTTTTGCATGTATTACATATTTTTATTGGTACCCACACAATAATAATTATTAAATATGGGTTTCTTTGCAAAACGCATTTGTTTTTTCTGTTACCTGCCCAACATTCAAAATGTTATTATTGTATGGATTAACCAATCAAAATATCTAAAATATTAGAAAAAATTTTTTAAAAAATATATCGGAAATCGGTTTCAAACTTGGGATTTTTAGGTTGACAACAGGTAGGTATCATCACAAGACAATGATAAATATATTCAAATAATTGGCAATATTGAGTTACTTAATATAACATGTATAATATCCAAACTTTTTGCATGGACCAGTAACTAGATTTGTTTCAGTACTAATACCTATTTTCACATTGATGAGCACTTCTAGAGATGTTTAATTTGGTAGATATTGTATGTGCTATATATTTGAACATTTCTCTTTTGCTTTTAAATTTTTTCATTGGTCCTACTTGAGTTACATTTCGTCTGTACATATCCAGTAGAATTTTTGTTTCATATTGACTCCATTCTCGGTAAGTTCTTTTACCTATGTACATAAAATCAAATTTGTATCAATATATTTCTTTTAAACTAAGTTATCATACTAATAACAACTATTACTTTATTTATTATATAATTGAAAGTTGCAACTGTTTCAAATGTTTATGATATACCTACTTTTAGTTATTTTATGGTGGAGATTTAGTCAAAAAATTGATGTTGCTCATTTGGTGTTAGTTTTTCCTTATTATTAACATAAGTACAAGAAATTTCGAAAAATGACTTTCCTAATGCATAAATTAGATCATTTGATACCAACTATCTCCCTCGGTTGTTTTTTTTTTTAACTGTGTCATATCTTTTGTTTAAAACTAAGTATGTTGATAGAAAAAAAAAAATACCTCATTTTGATAAGATTTTAAAACCTAATTGAATTTTGGTATCTTGTAATAAAATGTAGTTTTAAAACTATTATCTATTGCTTTACAATTTTTATTATACTTAAAGTTAAATTATTTAATTTCATGTCTATATAAATGATGTAATGTATGAAAACATTGTAAAATGTAAAAAGAATAATTACGAGCCACTTGAAGATCTGTTTCATGTTCTAGTGGTTCATCATGATTACTGTTTTGATTTTCATATGATTCAAATGCTTCTTCGATGACAAAAAAATCTTTATCTAAAATCCATAAAATTGTTACGTTTTTCACTAAAAATAAAATTATAAATTTAATTAGGTAGGTACCGATTTCAGAATCTTGTCTCACTAGATTTCCATTGCATACGTAATATGTCTCCATGGTTTAGATTCATAAATCTGAAAAATTAAAAATCATAAACAAAACTAAAGATAACCTTTAGGTTAGTTAAGTACACAATCATTCAGATTTATTGTCTATGTTCAATAAAGTTTAACATTTTAAATTTTTTAGTATCCAACGTTATCAATAAAATTGATCACTAGCTATGTTTATAACACTGCTATATCTAAATCTATGGTTTATAATAGAAAAATACAATATTATCTATGCTAGAGATTATACAACTCTTCTTAAGATCTCCCAGGAAAGTGATCATTTTTTAGGTTATATTTGAAAAACGTTGCGTATTCTTATCAGCGGTTTCGGTATCCTTGTAAAATTATTTTCATTTTTGCTAAACATTTTTTATTATTTGGTGTTTTCCCCTTTTTTTCTTTTTTCTTTTCTTGTCCCTAAACCCCTATCTAAATTTTAAATACCTATACTTCTTTGTAGACCTTCATTGATCATGAGTAAATTACTATTCATTCGTAATATTCGTGGTTTAGATGAACCATCACTGAGGCAGATCATCAATAGTAAAAACTTGCCTTGTGGCACTATAATGTTCAAATCAGGAGGAGCTTGTGCAACAGTAGATTTTATGGAACCTTCCACGGCCGAATATGCCTTGGCTGAACTTAATGGTGAGTTATTTTTGCATTAGTACTCTGTTGTTATAGTTCAGTATATCTATTGATTACTAGGTAATTCCCTGTATTACTAATATTTAATATATAATTACCTATTACTAGGTACTAATATTATCTACTATATAATATTCATATGTTTGTATACAATTCATACAATTCCTTTCATTGATTTCACTAGCTAGTGATCAATTTAAATGTACTCATTTATCAAAAGTAAGCTAGCATATATTTAATATAATCCAATAATATAATTTGGTTTCCTAAAAATACAACCTAGGTAATTATTTTTTATGTTTGATATATTCACCGGAATAAATTATTTACAGGTATGCAGCTTCAAGATCAAACTCTCGTTGTTGAACCGTACAATGGATTGCACAGTCAAATGGTGAAAAAAGCAAGGTAATTCATAGAATAATTTTTAACTAATTTTATGTCAAAGTTTCATTTAAATCATGCTATTTAATAATAGTGATCAAATTATATACATATTTATAATATTCGACCGGTATAGTCAGAGGTATAGTTCAATATAGATACCTAATATTCTCTTTATAGTGCATTATATTATTATTATTTATAATATTCATTTAATTCTATATATTTTTGTTGATTTAACTGTACATATGAAAGCATTATTACATTATTTATGAAAGTAATAATATAATATGACATATATAGACAAATTATATCTGGATAGTCTAGTTAAAATACCTATGAATACCTTAGTCTTATGCAAGATTTTAAAACTGCATACTAATAATTATTATCAGTATCAATTCTGATCACGTATATATCTTTGATGAGATAAATATTGCTCATATTGTAAATAATATGTTTACTAAAGTATTATTGGAATTGTCCCTTATTTAAGATAAAAAAAAATGAAGAGTTAAGAAATAATAAAAAAAAATTGTATTTTGTTTTAAGGTTTGTGTGTGTGTTCCATTTAAACAATTTTGTTTTATTTTGAACATTTTATGTTTTTATAATACATTTTCACAAGTAAAATAAATTACACTAGTTTTGAGTATGTATGCGATATAAGTGTTTATTAAAAAAAATTGTTTTAGTATATTATATCATAATTAAACAACTAGATATTATATAGTATTCCATATATACTATATGTATACTACTCCATGTATACTATGGCAGATGCCAAGAATATGATAAGTAAAAATTAATTCATTCTATGGGATATTACTCGCATTAAAATTTGGAAAATTGTCTGTAATTTGAAAATTTGAAAAATTGTCATCTCATAATGAATAATATGATCAAACTGATTAAATTGCTGAAATACATAATTAGTTATTTAGCCGTAGGATATTATATACATTTATACCTATATCATTTTGAAATTATACTCAAGTATTAATATAAATTGTTGAGTGTTATGACTGAAAAAGGATCTATACTTTTTAAAATTACTATCCCTTTGGTTAAAAAAAAGTATTTTGCATAGTTAATTAGCTACTGAGTATTTTAATTTTTGTGTCTAATGTTGCCTGGTTAAATTAATCTTTTCAATAAACATTTTGTGGGTAATATTTTACAACAAATATCAATGTACATAAATTTTATGAACAATCAACCATTAATATGTCTTTGGTAAATTAATTTACTAATAAATTACCCTATTTATAGCTTATATATAATATTAGGTTTTATATTATTATTACTATCCTCATAATTTATATAAATAAAGTAAAGATTGTTTTATAATTAGTATATTGGGTTTAATGATAGAAAATATTCTATGTGTTTAACAGATTTATAAATTGTATAAGATAATCTATTCTTTCGTTTATTTGTAATTACTATGAAAATTATATTTGTTTACTTGGTGGTTTTGAAATTTTTAGTTTTTAAGATTATACAATTCCTGTTTACTTTATCAATTATTTAAATCTGTGGCAATAATACAAGTGATCTCTGGAACTTCAAAAACTTAAAACTAAATAGGATGGATAATTGTATCTTAAATTGGAATGGGAACTCCAATCCTCTCCTCTCACTCCTTCCCACTTCAATATTTTGGTGTCTACAATGTGTAATAAAGATAAATAAGTATTTTATTAAGCTACCTTACATAAAAATTATTAATAAAACAAAATAATATAATCAAACAATATGTACTCATGTAATATATAGAAATAATAAATCTTACATTGGATCAAAAATAAAATACAAAAACACCATATTGTATAATAGTTTTCATACTCAATGTTTAGTATAAATTTAACTACCAGAGGCCTAAATTAGTAAAAATGTAAAATATTTATTTTTTTGTACTGTACGCTCAATATTAAAACATATTATATCGTCGCCCCCTCCCCCTTTATCCTGCAACGGCATCATTTCAGATTTTTATGAAAGGTAGATCAATTATTGATAAAAATATCAACGAAAAAATTGCTTGTAATTAATCTTAATTTACATTTACCTACCTTAAAGATGTTATTTTAGATTTTTTCAGAGGGACTATACTAATATATTTATTATTATTATTTAAATTATCTAAAAAAATTTTAAAAACACATAATTATTACAATCTACTCATCATGAATACAGTGTGTCTCATCATGTTCGACGGATTATTTTTGCACTGTTAATATTACATTTTTTTTTTTTCAATCAGTTTGTATTCGAGGAGGAAATCGCTTTGAAGATAAACCGATAGGAAAAAAATTAAAAATTAAAAAAAATTGAATATTAACTGCGTTAGAAAAATCTATTGAATACGGTGGGACACACTGTATAATAAATATTAATTACTCATATGATCAGGTTTTATTCATTATTTAAACATTGATAAAAAAAATATTTTTAATATAATATTCTGTGTCTTCGTCATCTTTGAAATAATATGTGACAAGGTCATAAGGATAACTTATAATTGTTTACGAGTGGATTATTTCAATTAATCAATAATCGACAAAAAATTTTCGATTTTCTTATATTAGATTAATCGATTATAATCGAAAACTATTAGAATAATCGATTATCGCGGAGAAAAAAATAATCGCGCAGTCCTATTTACGAGTCAAATTTTAATAAAGATATATTTTAGAATTTTTTTCCTCCAATAATAATTATTAAAAGTATGAAAAATTGTGAAATTAAAAACTAATATAAATAAATATTCATACTATAGCTGCTAAACACATTTTGATTTCGTACTGCACGCCTAACATTTCGTATTACACAACGTGTATTGTAGTACACACAGTTTTAGTCCCTGCCATATACTATAACTCTGCTAGTTCTATGGAGAAGATCAAATAACGAAAAATAAAACTTTATACAGAAATATCCAGAATTTAAAGTATTCTATGTAGATTAAAAATTATGTAAGACGCGTTTATTATTTTAATACATTTTATCAACTTTCCAATATTGTTGTAAACAATTTTTTTTTCCTTGAATGATACGGTTGCATTTTTATATTGCTTTTTTCTTTGCTAGAAGAGCAGTACGTGTACGCTGACGGTTCAACATCGCAAATTTTCTTGTCTTTACGGGCCTTTCTTTCTGCCACATTCTTCAACATGCGCTTTGGCATATTATTATAGTTTTTGGGTATTAGCGTACGATTTTTGATCGCCAACTGTTTTCGAACTGTTTTCGGCAACCATACTTGGACTCACAAATCGTGTATGTCCGTTGCTGACTTTTCTCCACAATCCGCTAACATCGTCAATCGGTCATGTTTGTTTCGGTTTTACAATACCGAACAGCCGAATTCGCTTGACGTTACGCAATGCCTAAATGATGGTACTGATTACGGTTAGTTAGATATTCGAACATTATATTTTATGTTTTACGAGTGGCTTAATGTGTTTTGCTTTTAAGCTATTCAATATTTTTATGTCTAGACTCTATATTATAGATAGTAGAAATGAAACGCATTGACAGTAATTATTATTGACACGACGATTTTAAATAATTTAGTGCTCGTATTAGTATTGTTTTTACTACTGATTTTGATTGATCCTAATTTGCTGACAAATTAACCGGTTTTATTAGATATTAAAAGTGTTCTCGATTCTCCAACATTAATATCAAAACTACTGTACAAATTATTCAATTATTATACCTAGATATTCTTATTAGAAGCGTCAAAGTGCGGATTTGGGGGACGCCTGCAGGCTTCACTCGCTAACTATTGAGTACTACTGTGTGATCTTCTTAGTTTACCCTCCCCCCCCTCGTCAGTGGCGCCGAATTCTGTGTTGAAGTTGAGCCTTGGCTTGACTTCTTTTAACTGCCCAAGAATGGTTACCAAAACGAATGTGTAATTCATAACAGAAATAAAAACCTACACTTACCATAATTGTGGACATGAAATGGGTTGTGTTTGTTATTGTGCCCACTCTAAATTTTTTTCGCCTGATTAAATTTTACATTTTTAGGGCTTAGGCGCCACTGCTCACCACCACGGGGAACCAAAATAGCCGCTTATTTAACCAAAATCTCCAACTAGATACTACTGCAAGGGAGATAGTGTACTTAATGTAAACCTAAACCTCGCTAATTCGACCAGGCCTTAGTATGATAGAACAAAAAAAAAAAATGTAACAAATGTGACCACAAAGTTCGAATTCGAAAAGGTTGTCAGCAAATTGGGAAGACAACGTTACAATCAATTTTTGTTTTTTCATTGTAATTCAGTAAAAATAATCGTAAATACCTGAAACTTTCACTGAATACTATTATATTAGCAATTTCTATGTGCGATACAAATTTCAAAACATTCTTACGTTTTTGAGTTATTTACATCTAACTGTTTGACATATTCGAATTTTTTTATAGTCTTTATTATTAATTTTCGGGATACAAATTAAATTTCCCCATGCACTATAGCTATCTTCCTAATCTTTGTATCGAAGATACGAGGCCTACTCATTTACTCGTCATGCACGAGGATATTGGATACTTTAAAAAAAATATATGATGAACGAGTACAAAATAAAACCCATAAGTGACTGTTTTACAAAATTATAATACTGATTTATGTATCAGGGAGAATACATTTAGGAGGCGGAACATTTTTCATATCTCGTATATTTTTAATTTTACCCCCTCCCTCCAAGAATTTGTCCTAAGTTACGCTTATGATACCGACTATAATACCTATCTAATCTACGTTCACTCGTTTTTCTTTCTCGTATGCGTGTACATCACAGCGGTCCCTTTGTGAGAAAATCACATTCTCGTCACCGTTGTAGCACGTACCGTATACCGTTGCAGTATAGTATACACTTGTAATACACTATAAGACGTACTACGCGGAACATTTCTTGCGATTCTCGTTCTCTTTTAAAAATCCGATAGCCGACCATCGGACTAAAACGCGTATTGGGCAACCGGAAAACGGACGTGTCATCATAATAATACATACCTCATGTTGCCGAAGGTGTGCTCGTGTGCGTATACGCGTGGGTAGACGGTCGTGTTTATAAATTATTCGGACGAAATAGTGACGAGTGATGAAGAAACCGGCCGGGTTGTACCCATCATCATCATCCGATCTTCGTATATATTATTGTTTCCACGCGGCGCATAACATATATATTATTATACACGTATGGCACCTAATTCTTTTATCATATTTTTTTTTTCTTTTATACTATTAAAACGCTATACATATAGTGTATAATATAATATATATATATTGGTAAATAATCGCGGAGGGCCGTCACCACACCGCGACCGGCGGCGCGTCATATTTCTGTCGGTTGGGTTGCCAAACGTGACAATGGAATTTGTTGTGTGTGTGTGTGCGTGCGTGCGTGACGTGTGGGGGTTGTAAGACCGGCGCGCTAGGGGATGATGATTCGTGTGCGTTTCGGTGGGGGGNGGGGGGGGGGGGGTGGGGGGGGGGGGGGGAGGCGATGTGAGGATTGGGCGGTGGCACAACCCTTCGGCGTCGGCCGGCGCGCGCGCGTTTAATCCCCGCGTGGAGTTCCCCTCTTCCCACCCCGTCACGACGCATACCACCCTGAATACACGTCGCCGTGTTCCGCATCTGCCTCGGCGACGCCGTCGCCATCTTGTTTTTACACCCCAATCGGACGCGCGCACGTATATATACACTGCACCGGTGGCGGCGACGGTGGCAAACACTGCACGACGACCATAGGGGAAATGAAATAAAATTACACGTCGTTTTTCGCCCTCTCTGTCACGCGTGCGTGTGTGTGTGTGTACATTCTTCCTGTATATATGTACACACACATGAACCGTATACGTTTTTCATTTTTTTCATTTTTTTTTTTGTCTATATTTTTAGACCTCTATTTCTCTCTCTTTCTCTCTCTCTCTCTATATATATATAAGTAACGACGTAAATACTTCTAATGAAAATTATATGTTTTGTCCGGATGCGTTTACAATTTTAAATACACCAATTTACGAATAATTCCGCGTATACAGTTACTTATATATTTTATTTTATTACTTTCAACATCAGGAATCTAATAATAATACATCGGATTGGCTGTGTGTGAGAATATTCCCTCAAAGATTTAATAATAATATTCTTTACGTATTCTTTATTGAGCCTATGTACTATGTTTGGGTGAATATACCAACTATATAATAACTATAATACTATTTAGTTAAATTAGTTTAAGTACCTACATAATGAGTTTATCTGATTTTTAAACAGAGTTTATTGCTGATAACCGATCTATCGTGATCAGTTATCTAATCAATGCCGTTTAAAAATCTACGTTTATATTGGTGAGAACAGCCCTTAATCTAATGCAGTATACAAATTTGTATTAATTACTTTGTCTTAGAATTAAATAGTAGCAATACAAATATGTTATGTATATTAACTGTATTATTCCAGTTAGATAAAGTCAAATGGCGAGGAAACAGTGGTAATATTTTATATTACTAATGTATTTTCATTTATATTTCTGTATAAGTTTGGTGTAGTATTATTTATTATATATATATATATATATATATTCATCAATATATTACTGTGGTTTTCATATGTAAAATTTGTATCCATAGTTTTGAAAGTTTCAATAATATACAATACATAATGCAATATTATAGTTTATTGTATTCAACTGAAATTCGCTACTTACTTATACTTTTGCCAGTATTTTATGATCATCTAGATTTTGTTGTCTACATTATATGATAAGATAATTTATTCTTATATGTATAATATAATACGTGAATGCTCGTTAAGCGTTGACATTTTTGGAAAATTATAAATAAATAGTTGCAGGCATACTAGCGGTGTAGTATTGCCACGCTCTTTTGAGTGATGTTTTTAGTAAATTGGCCAAGTCCCACCTAATATTTTTGCTTATACTTATTTAAAGACGGAAAAAAGTACTATAAATATCATTTACATTACGCAGACTCGCCGTAACCCAAACTGTGTTTATGCCATTTTAACAGGGCCAACAAATAAAAAAAAAAAAATAATAACCGTTTATATACCTATGCCGGGTTGCATAAAAACTGTTTTGTTAACTATTGGTTCTATCATCTATCTGTTCTGTAAAATAACAGTTATTGAACAGTTTACGTAGCATACAATTATTTCATTATTTGTATTTATTATCTATGGTTATAACTTACTCAGTTATCAGTATAAATATTTTATCCATATCAAATTATAACGTGATAATTCAATATCAAGTCATTATATTATACATTCTCGTATTTTATTCTTACATTATACATTCTTCTTTACCTATATGTATTATTTTTATTTATTTATTTTCTTTTTGTATTTAAAAATGGCAAATCATTAATATCTTCGAGGCGATTTAGAGATCGGTCAAATCGCCTCGGCCTTGGCAGAATATGAATATCAAATAACATATCATCAGACTTATCTGATGAAGACGAGGATGGTGTCATTGACATTTTTAAAACAATAAAACAGTAACAAATAACTATTTACAACAGTAAATAGTCGCATAGAATAAGAAAATTAGTCACAAAAAAATTGAATTACGTTTTTTTCGTGATAAAAGAATTATAATTACCTAAATGATAAGGTTAAACAGTTCTGCAAATTTTACTAAACTGAAATCGGCTCTACAACTAATCAATTCAATAACTATATTTTTGACAAGAGCTATCAAATTTAGGGAACTGTTTTCAATTTTACGGAACCGAGAGCGGGCTATCGTTAGCGGGTATAGAGTTTTATGTAACCCGGCACTAGTGTAACATTAATTAAATATTATAATGTTAATTTCATTATTATATAGTCACTATGTTTTGAAATAATATTGTACTAAAATGTATAGAACGACGCTAAATTTTATCAATATTACGATGTTATATTTCTTTGGTCGCAGGGAAGAACTTATATATTAATTTGGTCCATTTAGCAATTGTGTCATTATGTTATTTAGCAATTTTCAAAATTTAATTTGCTTGCATTCAAAACTATACAAAATTGACTTACGTTCTTTTTCCCCGAGACCAAAGGTAATATACTATTATAGGACTGGGTGAAATTTTACGATTTAATATGGAATTTGATAATATTGTATACCAATCATAAATAAAACTCACGACGGCAACATGTACGAATTATTATAATTTTTTTTTATTTTACGAAAACCTGATTTCTAATGACTGTACCAATGTTCCACGAGCGAAATGACCATATCACTTTTCCGACAGTTAAGATATAAATACTCGACTAAATATTATATAGGTATTAATTACAGTAATAATTAAATGTAGTACTCTATCATACCATTCATTCAGTTATTGAATTACTAAATGATATTATAATAATATTACTGCGTTTCTAGAGGACGTGATAGAAGCTGTACATATACTAACACAATCCTCTGTAAAATCGCTCTCCAATAATTGTTTAGTCTTTTTGTGTTTGACGCGGGATTTTAAATAATGCAGGATTTAATGTTTCGTGTTAATTTAATTTTTGAATTTTAAAATAATTTGTAGTAATAGTAGAAAATTATATTTTCAGAATATTTTCGCTATTAATCATAACGTTTATAGTTTTAAACCGTAAAATGACGATTATTTTTATTTAAAGAAGAAATAAAATGTCCATCCATGGTGGACAAAGGGGGGCTTTTCTCAACAATCATTGTTTTAAAATTATTTCATAAAAAAAGATGTATGTAGCTGGATCAGTATCTAAAACGAAATTAATGTTGGTACTTCTATCGTGGGTGAATTCGTGTGAATTAAATAGTCTTCATCATACCGCCTCTGTTGTTTTGCTGCCCTGTGTGAATATACTGCCTGTACAATATGCAGCTTTACGAGTTGCGTGATATCCGCATTTACTGTCTGAGACCAACTAACGGAAAAAATGAACATTAAAACCTACATAGAACATAAATGTAGGTGAAAATTGGAGTTTAAACACAGATAACAAAAAATAATAAAAGAAGATAACATTTTCTAGAAGTGCACGTAGATTTTTGCTTAAAAATCATAGGACAAAAAAGTTACGGATGTGTTAGTTGGTTATTATTATTTTTTTTTTTTTAATAAAGTTGTTACTTTTTCGTATTGTAATCTTGTTTAGAAAAAAACTACGTACAGTTCTCGAAAATGTTTTCTTATTTAGATTTTTGTTATTTCTGTTCAAACTCCGATTTCAACCCAATCGCCACTATATTTTATAATCTATGTATAACATCATTTTGCTATGTTACCCATCATTGTAGTTCAACTGTAACAGTAAATGCGGGTATCACGGCCTCTTAATCGCTTCTTTATTAGTATTATTGAGTCGTGTATATTGTGTAATATACAATTTCCAAACGTTTACCAATTTGTCGGAATATTGAAAAAAAAAAAAAATTCTCACCGCCGACGTTATCTTCGTCGTTATATACTGCCCACATCCATTATATTATAATAAAATAACGTCTCTCTGTCTTTCGGTGGCAACAGCACCTTTCTCATCATCACGAATACATTTTATTACACATCTATTGCGTACTATGTCGTCGGTTTTTCGTAAATTATCAACAGCGTCGTCGGCTGAACGCGACAATAATAATATTGTACACGTGAATGTTGGGAAGCATTGCATCCTTTATATCGGACGAAACGCTGCACAGTATACACTAATACGCACCTTGACTATATAGCTACCTAAATCGTCCTGTATCGTTATACGTTATGTAGGTATACTCTGTGTATAATACGTGAGTGTATACAAAAACCCAATGGACGAGAGGAGGAAATTGGGGGGAGGGTTTCATCCTGCACACATACAACCATATAATAATAATAATACCTACTATATATCCCTCTCATCGTCGTCGTCATCCCTCTCTTATAAACTCCGTGTCTGTGAAATTTCTTTTGGACCTTTTTTCTCACCCCTGTCGGATTTTTATTATATTATTTACTTCGCGTCTTTGTAAAAAATAATATGAAAATAGCACTGTGTGTATACCTGATGTATTTACCTATGAAGTCCGTGCACGCTGTATTAAATTGCCAACTATATCTATAAAAAAAAAATGACAAAAACTGTAAAACTGCACATATATACATTTGTATTACGGTAAACACTCTTTTTACATTATCTTATTACACGCGTTTTATTTTGTTTTTACGTATCGCACATGCAACAATGTCGCCAAGGGTGTTAATATAATAATTCATTTTTTTTTGGTCCACATAAAAAAAAAAAAAAAAATAACTTGTTATAATTTTTTGTAAATATGAAAAGCATTACACACTCGCATTTGTTTCGCACGCGTATATAAACGAGTATTTAACACGATAAAAAAACTATATAATATTTTACATACTTGTAATTTTATTTTGGTATATATTTGCCATAACATTTTGTTGGCAAAAAATACCCGTAAACCATAATAATATGAACCATTGTCGTTTTTGGCCAACTACCTGTATCAGATCCATGGTGTATATATATAATAATAAGTATCTTTACACATGTTATATTACAGTAGGTTATCGTATAGAATTCTATTGGCGGAAGCACACAGTCGATATATATTATAAAACGACCCTTGATTGTTTCTTTATTCACTTTTTGATTCTTAGAATTGAAAATATTCACTTTTTCAAAGGAGGTATATGTTAAGGAATTTCGATATTTCGCGTTCGTGCTGTGTTCGACGTGTATGAAAGAAATCGTTTAGCGTCTTCTCTGTACGTTTTGCAGAAAAATACGACTGAATCATTGCTTCTCAAAATGTTTTATTCCGAAGCGTAGCGAGGGATTTGAAATTATGATGTGTGCTATTTTTTTTCCTATATCTGTAAATAACTTTTCTACCGACAATCTTGCTTCGGTCATCAACCGATGTCAAATGGTGGGTTTCTAGTATAATAAATTTGTTTAATTAGTGAATGGGGTAAATCATTTTTTAATTTTCCTTGTAATTTTCTTAATAATGGGGAACACGGTGATATTTACGTGAAACCACTTTATATTATTTTTTTCGTTGTAATTTAGTTTAAAATAATCGTAGTGAATCTATGTGAATCAAATAATTTATTTGATCGATGGAAAGCTTTCCTTGGCCAAATATTGGCAAGTAAATGAGAAAAACAAATAATGACCTTGGGTTTTTTTGCCTTATTTCATTTTATAAATTCGATCAGTATATTGTTTAAAAACTGTTGGTTTGGATACTATAGGTCTTTTAGTGAACAGTTTATTTTGTCTGCATTAATTCAATGGGTTTTTCCACAAAGGTAATATCGCGTTGGAGAATAAATCAAATAAACTTTAAAAGCCCAATGCGAACGCAAGTTAGCAGGAGTTATATTTTCATTTTCAGTATTTGTTGCACATAATAATATCGAAGTAGCGATATTTTATTGACTTGTTGAACGTGCAATATTATAATTTTTTTTTTTACACTCTTTCTTGAATGGTTTTTATTTTGTAATTATCTGTTTTTTCTTTTCCTATATTATTAACTAAAATCGACGAACGAGGAACCATTTTAAAATTAAGTTCCCCGACGAATCGTTAATTCACAATTGCACATTTTATTTGCATCTCATTCTATCTATGGATTGAATATGCGTCGCCATAATTGTAACAATACAACGAAAATCTTAGAAATGTAACTCAGTTACTTTTTATGTGTTTGCTGTTTAGTTAGATTTGAAAATGCGAAGAATTCCTTGTGAATACACGGATTATTACTTTATCAAAAATTATTGTCCGCAAGTTTTGGTTTAATCTGGACCATAATATACATCCGAATTGAGTGAAAACCACGGTACTCTATGAACGGTAATTTCTTCTGATCCCCTCTTCTAAGTTGGATTTTTGATTTTTCTCGTAACTATAACACCATCTATGTTCCAAATTTCAATACTCCAGCTTGATTGAAAGTAACTTAAATTTATCATAATCTATCAGTTAACGAGTGGCGAAAATTTTTATACATTGTGTTATATATTATACTTATATAGTTGTGGCATACATATACATAAAATAAATAAACACGTAAGTAAAAACGTAGCCTGCTGCAAAAGGTTTATTATTGGTTGTGTGTGATTATTTTTAAAATTATTTATTGTTGTATTATATTTTAAAAGTATTGTTTTGGGTGTGGTCAAGCCCCCACATGTTTGAGTTCAATAATTATAAAGGGCGCTAATTATTTTTAAGTCTCGTCGCGCAATCCCTCTTCTTTTATTTTTCAAATTCAAGCATTGCCTATACAACCTAAATTAATAGTAATTGTCTCTTTAATGTACCTATTCAATTTTTGCGATGGCTAATATATAATGTACCATATTTTTCGTGTAATTTCGCAAAACATAACATTATAATGTTATCCGGGCGAATAAGTCAACTTGGTAAATATAATATTATTATAATACACCGCAGGTAAAGCCAAAGTCATAATTTTAATTTATATAGTATACCTAAATATTATTTTATCAACAGGACGATCAGAAATTTAAGTTTTAAAATACGAATAATAATGATACATGTATTCAGTAATTATTACTCTCCTCGAAAATGTAGTAGCGATTCGAATAATATTAGAATTATTTTATAATTTATTTATCATAACTAGGTATGGCATAATATTATCAATTTGTTTTTAATGTCGTAAGTGTGGGGGAGGGGGCATCGAACGATGTTTCTTATTGGCTACTATATGTATGGGACTATCATCATGCGATTAGATTAGGTACTTATATATTTGGTATAAAATAATTAGATCGATAATTTTAACAAACACGTGTAAAAATAAACGAACCGTCGTCGTAATTTTTTTTTGCTGAGTATTTTTAACTATACGTATAGCTGTATCGTATTGCATTGTACATATCAATTTGATTACGTTTAAAAAATTGTTTCGAAAACCAAAATCAATAAAAGAAATTTAAATAACGTGTCTCCCCGTATAAAACCTCGAATGCACTTTTTTATTATTGTTACGTGACATCCACGGGTCACCCATAAATGATCAAAAATAATTAAATCTTAGTTCCAAAATTACTAAAAAACCCCTGCCAATCATCCTTTGGTGTTTGAATTTCGGAAATCTGGTTTAAAGGTGCACACGGACTCGTTCATCATCCGTTTTTGTGTGCATGTAATAATTTGTTCGACCAATAGGCAATTCGAAAAAAAAGTGGAATTCGACCTTAACCATTATGAAAGACTCGTCGTTTGCTTCATTCATTTGTATGTGTTTATGTTTTACGTAATTTCTCAGAGACCACGTATATCGCTCTTATATAGTACATTCCGGTCTATTGACATCTATAATTTATTCTCACCTTACAATCTTGGTTGATTCTGTGGTCTGCAACCTGTGGTCGTTTAGCTTATTAAATCAGGAGGATTTAGAGTGGATAGTTATTGACGTTTACGCCGTTCCATGCAAAGGTCTAAACTTTCGAAAAATAAACTTTGTGCCCAGCAACCTGTGGTCTTTTAGTTTCGTGCAGTATTGACCCCATTAGACCGTACTCTTAGTAGCTGTTAATTCACCGAAAGTCTCGGGTGTCTGTTTTATGTTTGTATAGTATAATGCTTACACGGAATATATCTAGTCCAGTGCTTATACCGACGTACTATATATAAATAATCTGTGATCAAACGATAAGAAAACGAATTATTTTACGGACAATTTTGTCCGACTTTCTGTTTTAGGTTTTTGGCTTTTCGTTCGTAAATTTCAGACTCCAGGTATATCGAAGAATATTTCCACGAAAAGATGATGCAGAATTTCCGCTCGGTTGTACTGTATTTGAAAATAATGTCTAGATTTCCGAAACTTTTTCATACAAATTAAAATGGTCACAAATGCAGATGATGCATCGGTTTTATATTAGCCGATTTCCGTGTTACCTTTGTAAAACAACAAGAAAAAAAATACGACTAATCTTGTGTTACCTGTTTACTAAGCTCCACTCAGAATTGTTTTTCGATTGCAATGATTTATTGTTGTTATCAGTAATATATAAATTAAATAATACTGTACTCTAAATATCCTATACCTACTACCCAAGCAATGTTATAGCAATGTTATAGGCTTTCCGCCTATAACATTGCTAAAATATACCTGCTTTTATTTTTTTACACTTTTTAGTTTAATGCTTATTGTCAAAAATGGTTTCAGAGAGGGGCACAGGCGTATGTTCATCTGGGCATGTCCTGTCCAAAACTCGACTTTCACCAATTTACACCAATAAATTTTAGTAATTTTAAAAATAATTTAGCAATGACTTTTTAATAATAGTGGAAACTTACAGAAAATTATTTAAAAATTCATCACAAAACACAAATCATTATTTTTTTAAATTTCTAAATTTGCTTTTTATAAACTCATATATGGAGTTATTTCACCAGATCTATATAAAAGTATACGTTTTTCATTATATTTGTGTTTTTCCTTATTTTTTTTGTTTTGTTTTTATTTTTCTTTGAGAATTTTAACACTAACAATTCGTATAAAATAATAATGTGGGGTGTGCATTTTTAAATAATTTTCTATGTGTTTTATCTATTGTTATTAATGATTACTAACTCAATTTTAAAGTTACTAAAAAAATTTCGAGCGAAACAGGTACTGCCCGTACTTCTCTCTCTTTTTCAACAACGTGTATTCAATATTCGTATATTTTTAATACATTGATCTTTTTTGTGTGTACATATTTATGTACTAGTATATTGTTTTATTTTAATGTACTTCTTCCTCACCGTGTGAAAAGTAATCTAATCCACCATTTTTTTGGTAGGTACTTATTTTTTATTAATTATTATTATTTTTTTCAACAATGAAAATTTAAATACACGTTATAAAAGTCAGTACACATATTTATTATACTCGCAATTTCCGGGGTACACATCTCTTTGTGTCGGATTACGCACTATTTTTAGGCTTTGGACAGTGCATTATTGGCCAAACCAAACGTAACCTAACCACGAAGTAACGTCCGGCATTTTTTTCAGTTAGACTTTTTGGTCTCACGAATTTTTTTGAAGACCATAATATTATCTATTATATTTAAATGCGCGTGAATGTATTGGAGTAGGGCAATTTGTTTCGGTCTCCGACGGCAAAGAGACTGCCATGAAATCGACGAGCCTAACTTTTTTTTTAAACATTAGTCATCATATTCCAATGACGTGTCCAGGAATTTTTCGTGGGAGAGGATGTAGCAAATATTAATCATACATAATTTGTAGAACCTTTTTATAAACTCAGCTGGTCAACGATGGGAATTCCGGATCAAAAAAAAAAAAAACACGATTTGTAATCAATAAATCAAACATTTCCTTGTAATTTGCCCGAAATATAATATAATATATATATTAGACATGTCAAGATTATATTGTTAAACAAATATTCTTCGTTATTGGGAGGAGATATGACTCCTGATCTCCGTGCCTCCACACAAGCCACTGCTCGATCATATAACTTTACTATATAATTATATTATATTATATATTTTTTCTATATAATAATATAGTAGTTGGGCGTTTATAATAAAACGTATTTTTTAACGTATTTTTTTTTTTACATATATATATCGTCGTCGACTCGCACGTCCGTCGCGGATTTTCACGCGCGATTTCCTACGATATTTATGCGTGCGATCGCGTATTATATAATCGTATATACCGTATAGCTTGTTAACTGTGACAAAAATGTATACATTTACATAGCCAGTGTAGTGTATGTACTCTCTGTACTGTCGCGCATTTACACGCATAATATAATAATGTACAGACGAAGAGTTCCGACCTTTTTATTATTATTATTTTTTTTTTTCATTTCATTCAGAGACCTCGCGTTCCCACCAAATTCTGCGGTGCACACAGGGGGACCGTCGTCGATGTCGCGCGCGCATCATCGTAAAAAGTTACATTGCGTATTATTATTATTGTAAAAGACCGGACGACTATATTATTATTATTATTTCAGTTTGCACACCGACCTTATACAGCGTAGTGTGCAGGTCTCGTTTCTATACGTATAAAAGTTTCTATACTCACGTACAGTTAAAAAAAAAAAAAAACTGCTGCAACAATATAAACCCGATGCTATAGTATAACTGCGCACCAGCTCTATAATATCAATAATAATGCGTAAAGTGTTACTATTAACGTGTTTAGTAAAATAAAAACGTTCAGCCATTATCGGTGAGATTTGCATGCGATATTTAAAACATATTTTATACCGACTAACACGAATATAATATTATAGTCTTGGAAAAAATGCATGAACAATATAATTAGCGTGATTTAATGAATGTAATATTATGAACAAGGGCGGATTGGGAACCAAATTCAAGCAGGGAAATTGAAATTTATCCAGGCCAAACTACTCGATATTCTGTTCCCAACCACTTATAAAATATCAAAAAAATTGTTCTAGTTACGCTCGACTATAACATTCAAATTATTTTTTCAGGGCTTACAAATTAATTTTTAAAATATAACATATTATATTCACAACAAAAGATTTAATTTCTTTAAAGAATCAGTTGATAGTCAATTTTTAAATGTATCAGTAAAAAATATTCAAAAAATGCAAATTAACTGTGATCATTTGAAAAATTCTCATTTCCAGACCAACGATTTCGTTTCTGATTATAAAATATATTCTCATTTCAACTATTTCAGTACACTTTTTTGATTTATAAATTCGCCTTTTTTTACATCCATGTCTCAGATACGTGGTATTTCTAATATGCTGCTTTTACCATTTTTTTTTTTTTTTTTATCATTTTTATCGACACTGCGTATCACGCCACGATTTCGTCCGTTAACGAACAAAATTCGGTGAGTGGCGGCAAATTTTATAGTTTTGACCCGATATAAATACCTATTATAGTTACTGTTTGGGCCGCTTCAAATTATAACTGACATGTTTATACTTCTCAGTCCGACACTGAGCCACACCTATTTCTATTGCGAGGTTTCTATATATAAATAATTTATTAAATTAAATTGCCATTTATTCCAAGGTCCACGGCCCTTATCATTTACTTTTATACTGCAATAACTGTTAGAATTCGCATGTTCCTCGACAACCCAGAATCTAGATTATCAATCAGATGAACAATCCGATGGATTTCGATGTTCCTCATCAAATTCATTCAATCCGCTTACTAATCGGATTGCTTATCGGTGCATCGAACCATCGACCCAACAGACGATGGAAATGTGTTATCATAATATTATGTTGTGTTATCACCATTTAGCCATACCGTTTTTTTGCCGTTTAAAATTGATTGCTCATGCTCATTGTTTCGTGTTTATTTTATTATTTTATTTCAATAATAATAACAACAAATACTTTTTAAATTTATTTTTGTTATTGTTCTTCATGTATAATTGTAATAAACTTAACACAACTTTACACGAAAAACCACTCATATATTATAATTATAATTGCATTAATATAACATATTTAAAATGTATAATATCATCAAAAAATTATTTTGATATTTTAAAATAGCGTGATAGAGCATTCTGCGTTTTAATATAAATCGGTATTTTTTGACTTTCAATCAGAATACGTACAATCCGGTGTTTAATCTGATTGATAATCGAGGTTATCGAGGGACATGCGTATCGTAAAGCAATCTAAGTATTTAGCCCCCGTGTAAACCGATATTATTACTACGGGTTCACCGCAGATATAACAGTTATCCTTATCACACTGTAAAAGTAAATATTATAACGACGATAAGGCCTCGAATTAAATATAGTAGATTCTGACTTAAGGTCTTATCAGCAGTTAGTATAATCTAGTTTTTTTATATTAGGCAATATATTAGGTGTGCTTTGGCGATTAACCTGGTTATATTTATTATCAGTTATGTTTATATGATTTTGATTAATGGTTATAGAATTGCGAAAACGAAATGTTTATGGTTATTACAAATAATACTAATTGATAATGGAAAAAGTTCCGGCTAGATAATATCTAATCATCATTACTCTATCAATAACCAAACATCATGGCCATTCGTTTCGTTCGCAGGTTATAATATTTCAGTAACTTATAATAACCAAAGTAATAATCAAAATCGCAAAAACGACTTGTTTATAAAATACACGCCTGGTGTGTATAAATTATAGATCAGCTGTGAACGAAAATCGCGAAAATTCGTTCAATACTAATGTCAAACACGTCTGTAGGACGCGAGATCGCCATTTTATAACGCGTTCGTCACGCGAAAAATCGTTGGCACCATATAGTTTACCCCTTTTTTTTTGGACCGTGCGCGCGCCCTTTTATGTATTGTAATAAATTCGGTAAATTATTATTACATATTATAACTATGTACCCCGTCCGCCTCGTTCTATTGTCCACCGTAGGCGGCGGCGGGTCCGAACGCTTCTGTTTTCCCGTAGGCGCATTGTTGTTTGCGGTACTTGCGCGACGAGACCGTGCCGTGGCGGCGCCCCCACAAAACGTGCGTGGGTGTACCGTGCCGCCGACCGGTTGGGCTCGAGCCGGACGGACGTTCGCGTGGGGCCGGCCGCGTACGCCGCCGGACCGCGGGGCGGCGGCGAGCGTGGTGTGATATTTTCGGCGCGGGGGCGAGAGAACGTGCCCGGACGGCCGCGTGCACGATGGTGTACAGTATGTGGGGGAGTACGTACGGCGCACAATGTATGATTGTTGTTCGTACACGGGGCGCGGGCAGTCCCGGGAACAGACAAATGCGTCTCCCCTGCCGTATGTATACCTATAGTCCGGCGTACGCCGCGCGTGTGTAGTATTATTGCAGGGGCGCGGGACATTTGCGGGGGAGGACATTGTACACGAGTATACGGGAAGCCCGGAAGTAAATATTATCATATTAATAATCGCACGCGATAAACTGGTATTTTGGCTTTTGGAAACCGATTGTCGGACGCCGCCGCATCACAAAAGACACACACTTGCGGGCAACCGTGTGCGGATTTGACGCATGCTCGATTGCAGATAAAATATGCATGGGGGGGTTACGGTTTTTTTTTTTTTTTAATTCACCAAGCCCCGTTCTCAGCAACATAAACGTTGATTTTTAAACGGAGTTTTTATCATGATAATTGACCAATCGTGGTCGGGTATCGGCCATAGACTCGGTTTAAAATTCAGATTAACGATAGCTCGTATGTTTGTGAGAACGGCTCTAAAATTATTTGATTTCAGAGTTTTATCTTGTCTTAGAAAAAAAAAATTATTTTCGCAACAGTAAAAAGGACCAGAGAAATAATAATTTTTAAAAGTCACCAAGTATTCTAGTTAATTGATTGCTAAGCGAATTAACTTTTAAACATCAATGCCGATGGTGATATACATTTGATAATTTAACTATTAAAGTTTAAACACTCGATTATATATATATATATATATGTATAATATAAAAAACATCCAATATAAACGTCAAAATTTCGTGTATTATAGAAAATGAGTAATAAAAGAACGTACTATATAGAATGACAAGTTGATAAATGGTCGCCCTTTCGTGCAGTGTTCACTCGCAAAAGTTCTCCATAGCATTTTACTGAAGTAAAACATATTCAGTATAATGTACCTACCTACGTTTTAAAAACCGACATCGAAAATTCGTATATATGTCTGAGGTAATTTACGATTTAACCGAAATATTATTATGTTATATAGGCAGACTTTTCGCGTTTTTAGTTATATATATATATATTTGTTTGATTTATAATTATCAATTCTTTTCCTCTCTTTACTCGATATATAACCCGATGATATTATCCTATAAATAAATATATATATATATATATATAATTGTATCAAATTACACGAAATAATCCAATTTATAACTTTTATATATTGTAGAAAAATAGGTGTACCTAAAATACTTCTAACCCTCCACAGGCAAGGCTATAGCCTAACGAAACAAACAAGGATCGTCATAGGTAACCGAATTTTATTTTATTCCCTTTTATTATTATATAATATGATTTCCGAAATTGCATTTGCGAAAAAAACTTGGTCTTATATAAATATATCTTTGGTTCCCGGGAAGGAGGGCTAAAGTCGAATTTTGGTATTTTTTTTTTCAATTTTCTCTAATGTAATTTTTTCCCTTTTATTTTTCGGTCTAGATTGCAAGATTGTATGCAGTTTTAAAATTAGCATAATAATTCACGTACATGACTTAGTGTATGTAATATGCATTACCAAAATTTAATTTGCTCTTATTGAAAACAGGGCTGAAAACTATATATAATGGACTTCATATACTTTGAACCAAAGTAAATGTGTGGAGTGAATTAAAGTGTCGATATAGTTAGGGTTGTTTTTTTAAGAATTATCGTCCTATTAATGGCTCATATAATTTAAATTCCATTACGCTATATATATGTGTGTATGTTAACACGTAGGCATTCGTATTTATGATTTTAATAATATTTATATTCAACACTAACAATAATTAATACTCGAGTACCTATAATATTATAACAGCTACATAACTACCTAGTATTAATACATCATTATAAAATAACAAATTTATTGGTAGATAATATAGGTAATGTTATTGCAACGAATACCGCGGTTATATTAGGTTGCCTTCCAAAATTCAGAGGTTTTCAATCAAAATGATAATATATATTTCAAAACTCAAGTTGCCAATAAAATTTCTTTCGGATACAACAATAAATTGTATCGATTGTGTTCTGATGGATATTTCTTATGCTCGTGACACGATACCTAATATATCATATTTGATACCAAAAGAATAACACTGCAATTAAAATATCATGTTCCATTCGCAATCAGATCTAGATATTTAAGTACACAACAGATTTTAAATAAATCTATCGTTTAGTCGAATTTTAGAAGGTACGGTTATTTACTACTTTTTTTTTTTTATTCATAATTAAAATTATATTTAATAGCATCTAAATAATTATGACCCTAACTGTCCTAACTATATATTATAATATTATTATAACTAAACCAACTTTAGCACCGACTATATTAGGTATTAATATTTATTTTTTAATAAATCAAGTATTTTTTTTTTTTTCGGCAATGCCATTTCGACTGCACATGCACGTTGTAAAATAATGAAGAAAAAAATTACACAAAAACGCAATGCTACTTGTAATAATTTATAGTTATTTATAATATGATATTTCCACACTTCTACAGCATATTTTCGTGTTACATTTACATTACAATATAATAAATTATCGCATTTGCATAAATATGATTGAATTCTTTCGTTTCTATTAGTAAACATATCCGACATTAATTCACAACTCAAACACAGTTTGATGAGCATTTTTATTGAATTAGCAAACTATAAAATGAGCCTTGTAGGTATTTTAACGTGTATAACAATTGAAATTCGATATTTTACATTTATATATAATTTAATAAAAGGTAATGGAACAATTTTTATTGAAATTGTACTAAATCGAATTCTAAAGTGAAACCGCCTCTCATTTTCGGACATTATCCCGTATTAACGTCCAGTATTCAGCAGTCGTTTTGACCGAACACCATTTTTTGTATATATATATGTTTATTATTATTAGTGTTTTACATAATTATTTCGATAGTAAATCGAAATATTAAACGATAATCTCATTTGCAGAGGTTTAAGATTTCCATTAATCGTATGAAACGTTGTATGTACTTATACATCTATTCGGTACGTGAGGTTTTTTTTATTTTGTACATCATTAACATCGATATGAAGGAATACAATATTAACAACTTGTTTAATATTATTATTATATAGGTAGGTACTTCGAACAACACCGATAAAAAAAACTTATCATATCGTTCCATATATTAAATAGCTATTTGCTCGCATTTTTAATCGTTATTCTGATAATATTTGTATAAGTATTATAGGGCGTGTGATATAATATTTGATAAAATATCCAATATAATTATATTATATTATTGAATTTCCTTGCTGTTATTTAATTAAAATAAAAAAAAGCTAATACGTGTCCAAAATGCGATGGTGTACCGACGGAAGTTACCTGCAACAGTAATATAACTGGACATGCTCTCAAGGTGGTAGGGGGAATAGATTTATATCCGTATTAAGAAAAAAAAGGTAGAGTGGATAATTAAGTTAACCGCGTGTGCTCTTGACATTCTTCTGTACGCCATTGAGTTCCAAATATTATTATAGAACGTAAACAATGAAAAATAGTACGTAGAATAATATATTTGCTCCCGGATATTGCTAGTTGACAGCAAATTGATAAGGGGCTAAACACAATATTTCACTGTTGCCAATAGTTTCTTTTCGAAGTATTATATTATTTCATATTATGGTTTTTGCGTGCATAATTGCTCCATTGCGTGCCTTTTTTAAATTTTAAATGTGACCTACACGACGTGGAATTTCCTACGACTTAAGGTTTTATGTTTTTACTTAGAACACTGTAACTTCCCTGGAGCAGTAATATTAGGTTTGGACGTGGTGGATTTATTTTCGTCGTTTATGTTGCTACAGGCCTTCAAAGCAAAAAATGTGTCTGTTAGCCTTTTGCCTTTTGACACTAGTCATTTAAATTTATATACCTATATAAGGTCTTTTTCTATCGTCTACCTTTACATCATTGGTCACGTCCTTGGCTTAAGTCCCCCAAACATGACTAGTACATTTACAATTAAGGTAAACATATTTACCTCAAGATACTTTTTATAATGTTTGATTTATGGAATATAGTTTTCTAATTTCGTATTTTTCCTTCTTTCATAATATACTCTATTTCGTATTCGTGTAAGTCTGTGTATTTTCCGTAAAACTTTTCTTTATCCCCTTGTACCATATTATAATACTGGCGGGAGTAACAAATGTACAGTTTTTTCTTTTGTAGTTTTTGACATTTTGACCTCAAATTAGGAACTTTGAGTATTCCTATGAGCAAGAACATTAGATAGTTTTTAATATCTAAGAGCTAATACTAATGATGAGAATATATAATAACGCGTATGACTGGTTACAAAATAATATGGATTTGTGCTGTGAACCGAGTATATACTTTTCTACGGGGGATAAAAAATGCTTGATAATATACGATGATAAAAATGCATCAGGCGATGTTGTGCAGCGCGTGTATATAATATAATAATATACCGATTTTAGAATAATAATTATAATAAAAAAAATCGTATTCATTCGGATTCGCCATTTTCTAAACAGGTATATACCTAAGCGTATAATATATGTATATGTGTGCGGCGGCGCATAATACAATAATATATTATAATGTAATGCTATATGTACGGCACGGTGGAAATGCGCGCAGTAAAAAAAAAAAATCATCAATTATTATAGTCTGTATTCGCGCACACTCAAAATGGCGAACGGAACGGATTTCATTACCCCCTGATTATATATATATATATAGCATTTTTTTGCCCTTTTTTTTTTGCTCCCCGAGTATATCCGTCAGGATGGTTATGAGTCGTGCGTTATTATTATTATCGTACGAGTGCGCTTTGATATATACGCGCGCTTTGAGTATATTTGATACGAGGGTTGATATATATTATTTATATCGTACGATATATTCCTACGAGCAGGCTGCTGCGGGGACGCTATCGTTAGAGATGATAAACGACTCGAAAAAAAAATAAATATACCTAATAGTATTTTTTTTTAATTTTGATTTTGCAGTATAGACCGTTATTTCTATCGACACGTCAAACGTTAGGTTATATAGTATTTTATATATTTTTTTAATCACACGTGAAATATAATATTTACGTGTAAATATTCGTATATACATAATATACACAAATATTGTTGTAATTATCAATATTTGTAACTATACTGAAAAAGGGGAAAAACCGTGCGAGTGTATTTGACGTGTACACGAGACCGATAGAAGAGCGAATGTATAATATATTGCATATGATTGTACATTTTTTTATACATTTTATTTACATCAGTGGCCGTTATTTGCAGTATTTTTTTTCTCTAACAATATATAGACTTAAAGGATGGTTTTTTTTTATATGCTCATATTATTTATTCAATGGCTTTTCTGATTTAAAACAATGTGACGAACGTATCGGTTTTGGTACTCCTACCATATGATGTAATCATCTATGAAACTATGATCATAGTGTGATATCACTATATCAAATAGTGTGATTAGCACTTTTTATTTAAAATTTTCTAAATATTCTGGTAGTTTTTTAATCATTTATCATTTATATATCTATATTTGTCATTTGAAATTTTTGGCGGTTTAATGTAGATAAAATTGTTGTTGTTTATTTTTATCGGCGTTTAAAGAACAAATTAATGTTAAAACTTCGTTAAAAACACGAAAAATTGTGTAGTTAATAGTTTTATACTTCAATTTAAATTGATCAAAAAACGTTTAATCAAACTCCGCTTGGCAATAGCTTAACTGACTACAAATAGTAGTCAGTGACTGTACAAAATAAATAATTGTATAATAAAAGTACAAATGTTATTTGAACTTATAATTGAGTATTTGAGTAAATAGTTATTATAGTGTAAGCGTGCAACATAATTATTATGTTTTATTCGAAGGTAATACGTTTTAAACGCTGAATACTATTCAGTGTGGAAACTAAATTTAGTTTATTTTTTAACACGGCCAATAGGGTTAAATTCTGCATGATAAATATGCGCCACTGCCGGTCGAAATTGTTTTTTTTTTAAATTTTTTAAACATAAAAAAATTCCAGAAAATTCGATTTATATAGTATTAAAATAATAATAATAATAATAATAAATTATAACCCGATTATAATCTAAATGGCTTCAGAGGTAAATGAATACTGTTTTATTTTAACCATATACATATGTATAGATACGGTCGTATATCTATATTATACAAACTACGTATGACGAATATTCATTAAAATACTCGACTCGTGCGTCATTCCATTTTTAGTAAAGTAAATATATATATATATATATATATAGTATAATAACTAATAGAACAAACGTGTATTGAGTATACCTATTATGGAAGGAAACATTTAAACATTTTTTTTTTACAGATCAATCATTACCAATGTAAATCCTATAAATTAGAATAATAATATCTTTGTATTTATTGTATATAAAAACTTATATACGTATTACTAACCTAACTCAACGAAATATATATTAGTATTTTACAATATTCGGTTTTTGTTTTATATTTTTACATAGATATATACATTTTGCAGAATATCGATTTTTTTTCTTATTAGATAATTATATAATATTAATTTTATTCTTATATTTCTTTCTCGATTTGACCGTTTTAAAAATAAATATGATTAAGCTTTTGAGTTATATAATCAATAGTAAGTGTTTAGGCATAGAGAAGAAGGAGTTTAAGTAAATTTTAAATAGTTTTCAATAACAAAAAAAATTAAATTTTAAAAATGCATAAACTAATACATTAACTTTGAAATTATTGAAATTTGGACTAAATAATTAAGTTAAATAAATTGCATTTACGTAAAATTATGTATATAAATTGTATTATTAATCCTTATGATTATTTCACAGGGGGTAAAAGCAACAATTTAAAGTGTATGTCGATTACGAATTTCTAATAAATACATTTTTTATTTTATTAAACATTATAATTGCTCTTTAGTATAATTCACCCCCTAACGCGAGTATATTTTCTTATAATAATATAATATGTATAGTGTATAGAACAATCGAACTACGCAACGTAGTAATATTATTATTTCTTTATATAATATAAAATTAAAAAGTCATTGAAATCGGAATAAAATAAAATATTATATTATATATAATAATAAACAAGTAAATCGAGTCTTTTATATTTTTTCGAGTGTATTAATAAAACGTTGGAAAAGAGTTTATTAAACCAAATTATTCATTTTCGTAAAAATCGGTGTTTTGACATCATAGTGTATTATAAAATAGCACGCTAGAAGTACTTAAGTGTATACTGCTGCAGCTGTCAAAAAAAAAAAAAAAAAAAAAACATTTTTTTTCGTTTTATGTTGTATAGCGAAAACATATTTTTTGTACATACCTGTAAAATATAATAGTAATTTTCTAAAAACATGGTTTTTCTATAACCGTTTTTTATTTTGAATGTTTTTTAAAATTATTATTTGACAGATTGTAATTTTTCGTATATACTTCTATAATTGATACAATATATTTCGTGTTCGCCGATGGTCGTTGACGATAGTGTGCCGCTGTAGTTCAGGGCTCGTTGCAATTTAACTACCGGAAACAGATGGCATTCCTATAATATAATATAATAATAACTAATACGTATGATATTTCGTCCAAAAAATGTTTAAACCTGGAGCGCCTCTTTCAAAATACGTATTTTATCTATATATTTGTTTTAAATGTGTATATATTTATATTACAAGTACACTATTTTCTTCCTCAAAGGACCCTATGCTGGTGTCACAGGCATAAGAGTTATTCTTTTTTTCATCCCTTCCGATTGTTACTAAACTTGGTGAGAGATAGTGGTCTTGAGGTGACCTAGAGACTATTTCCAAAATTTGGTTGTGATGAGATGAAATTTAGGCTAAGTTCTTTAGAAGAGATTTTATATTATCAAATTATGGAGAGAACTTGTGTGGGGTGTCAAATTATTTAGCGTTGAAACCATTTTCTTATCATCAAATCCTACCGAGATATACTTAATCAAAAAATCAAAAGTGGGAGGGAGTAATTTTAATTGTACACCCAATGTACTTATATTATTAACGGGTACGTTAAACAACTATCGAGCTATGGTGCTTAAATGCTCTAGGAATTTTATACCTCCTTAGAAGGTATAGTAAATTTGGGGGGAGGTTATATAAATACAAGAATTATTCAACTATGATACCGAGGAGTACGATAATGCTATGATAATATTACTAACGACAAACGGATTCAGGGAGTATATAATATATCCTGAATTATGCTACCAGCCGGGTATGATAATCCTAGAATAATCGTACTCGGGGATATGGTTATTCTGGGGGTATAATTTGCCTGTTGCACCGATTTTCCAAATTTTGTAAAATATAAAAATTGTCGTTTTCATCGAAATATGTTCCCTCTGTTCCTCTGCAATTCTCTGGTAGAGTTTAGGTCAAAGGGATGAGTTGTTATTGGCATAATATTACAAGACATTTGTGGACATGACACACGATGTCTCGTCGGAATGCCTCATTTTCTTGAATAATCTTCGTAGGTTCGAAATAAAAGAATGATTCTGTATACAGCAAAAAGGATATGTAAATGGCTAAAACGCACGGCGTATTCAAAATTATCTATACAAGAAAATTTATCTGATTTCAATACAAATTATGCAATTATATATTGAATTACGTAGAATTCGTAAAAAGTCTTAGATTTCGATGGGGGAGGGGTTATGACTCCCAACCGATCATGTGTATATTATTGTATTCATAAATTTCCAAAATTATTAATATTAAAAATAGGTAACTTATACTTGGGTGCGCCAGCAGTTATTCGAATAAGAATTATGTTTTATACCTTGCCGGTGAAATTGCCCAATCCATGAAATTAAGTTATATTTATACTTTTTGTTAATTTTGTGCTGTTCATTTTAACATTAGTGTATTTGCTTATAAACAAATCTAAAGGTAAGAACATTGTCTATATCTGTGCGTTGTTTTTTTTCGATATTTTAATTTTCAAGTTAGTTTCGAATATGTGAAATATGACAATTTAAAGATTATCGCGTATCTTGTTAAAAATTAAAATATCTTAACAAAACCAAAAAAATTGCGTTGCTGCCACCACATGAATGATGTTAACTATTCTCACCTTGTATAATATTTTATGTATTATCTACGTACGATATCTCCGTATAATATTATTTATCGTGATTTCCACAATTTGCTTAATAAAAGACACCTAGCTACATATATTATTACAAATATTGTTGTTATACATAATTATTGTACAATTTCTTCTTTTCACAGTGTGTGTATTATAATTATGTACGTGAGTTGGTTATAGACTCGATATGGCTTATAGAAACCATTTGCATTTTTATGTATTCACTGCGAGTATGAGATTTTTAAAAAAAAATTTGTTGCTCGGTGAAAAAAAAACTCGCGTTATATATTTTGTATACTCGTGTATATGTATATATATATATAAGTATATAAATTGGAAGTTTGGAAGGTATAAATGTACCTATATGAATAATTTAGTTTATAATTATTTACTGAAAATATCAATAAATTAGTGGAATCTAAAACCGATTCTAAGCAGAGCGATTAGATAATAATGTAGTTGACGTGTTTTTCCGCCTGTGTAGCCAAGGTAACCCTGCAGAAATCAACGAAAACAAAACCAATGTATCAACATTTTCTGTCGGAATTATAAATTTTTAAGAAAACATGTTGGTATCTATGTAATGTAAAAATAATTTTTACTAAATAAAAGACCACCCGGTCTAAAGATTCGCTTCATTAATATAGTATAAGGCACGAACAAATTTGGGTATTTTTACCAGCCGATAAAGTATTTCGAAGAAAAAAAACATCTTTACTATACATAATAACTTCTTCACTATATATACGTTGAGAATCGAAAAATGTCTCCTATTATGTTTTGGGTCGTCTGTTGGTGGTTTGTAACGATTGCAACGTTTATATCGAACCAAGCATGTAGTTACAAAACAATTTTCAAAACGTTTTGTTAGTCTATCCCTCTATACATTTTGAAACGGAGCAGTTCGATGTGTATCAAATATTATTCGTTTTTTTTTTTTTTTTGTACTATTGACTATCACCAAATGGAAACAACCTTCTCCTCCGATAATAAAAAAATATCTATAATAGGTCTTAAAAGAAGTGGTTTTTATATAAAACTCGTGTGTGTTCTTTGAATCGTTCCGCCTCAGGTATACAATATAGTAAAGTCCGAAAATTCTGATCTACAGAAAACGAAAAACGTTACTAAAGGTATAACGTTTACCATTTGTCGTTTTAGATCGGCAAATAGAAATTCTTTTTTTTCATTTCTCGTTTTTCTTAGATACCCGCAGTAATACGCTGCATCATCGATGTACTCTTTTATCACTGCACCGGATCCATAATGACCCGTTTTATTTCGTGTGTGTTCATTGTGTCGGAAGGAAGCATATAGTATTCTATATATTATATAATGTACACATACATACAAAATCACCTTCCCCTGCAGCAGATTAATATAATGGAATATTATTTTTTTTTATTAGTGTTTTTATTTATTTTTTTTATAATGCGTACAGGTAAATCCCAGGAGATGGCCGTTTGGGACCATTCCATAGAATTTTCATTGAATTATATTATACGTGTATGTTTTACCGTTGGTGCAAAAAAAATAAAATCGTATTATTTATAGTTTCTAAATATACTCGCCGCGTCCCTTCCGGTGGTACTTCGTAGCTCTGCAAGACATTTTCTCACTCTCTCTATTTTTTTTCTTCTTTTTTACTACATATATATCTACTTACGCGCCAAAAGAGCCGATTTGTGCGTACCAAAAAAAAAAATAATTATAATAATAATAATAAATACATTTTTGTTATTTGTTTGTATTGTTCATCGTATGTACGACGACGTCGTAAAGTAGTATAGCCGCCGTTCTATGCAAGAGAAATTTCAGAGGGAAAGCGTCGTCTCCGGTGTATTTTTTTTTTTTGCTAGAAACCAGTGTCGTAAAAAAAAAAAATTACAACATACGCGCGCGTGAGCTTGTGCTCTCTACGGAAGGTCAAAGAAATGTCACGACGACCGCGACTGTATACACGGAGAAAAGACCGTTTTATAGACGGTTGCATAAGTTAACTGCATTTTTATTATTATTATTTTGCTTTTTGCATTGCGCTGCAGAAAAATAAGGTATGCCATATAAGAATCGCTAGATCTCTATTGGTATTTGAATTGTTATTGGTTATCTTTATTGCTACTACATAATTGCCGCTCTTCATAATATTATTATTTTCATCATAATCGTCGAAATTTGATTAATTACTAAGGACTCGGAAATTTTTGCACTTGAAAAATATTATAAAAACAAAACTGTAGAAGGGTTTACATGTTTCCCTTCTAACGGCTTTAATTTATTAAGTAAAATTTTCTAACGCTACATAAAATATTAACCAAAAATTATTTTTTTTATAATACTTACAATTTTGTTTAAACAAAATAACTTTGGGTTATTAATACGTGTCGTGTTAGAAAATTATATACAATAATTTAGAGTCAATAAGTGCTTTCCTTAAAGTCTTTTTTGACGTTTTTAAGTGTGTTTTTTTGTAAATTTTAAGCGCATTAAGTCCCGAGTCCTAATTATTACAATCGATGGAATATTTAATGAAAATTTGTTTTTGTGGGTTAGTTCTTAATATGTTCCTATATTTATTAAATAGAACTCTTATTATCTGTTTTAAATGACAAAAATAAAGTTAATTTGTACAAGGGCAATTGCAGTGTGATAAATCCAAAAATGATGAGTGTGCTAAATAATAATAAACTGAATTTAATAAGGATAATTATACGTTTGACTTGGTAACTTTTATAATAGGTAGTATAATTCATACATTTGCATTTAAGAATTCGTCGTACATTATTATATGTTAGCTACCTATTAATTATTTAAAATGACTAAATATTAAAGAAAATACTTAATCACAGTATTTCAATTTTGTTGTAGATACGTAATGAGTACCTAATGGTACCTTAGTAACAAATTAATACATTTACCTTAAGAAGTAATTAGCTCTAATACTATTATTTAGCTCTTTGGTGTTGGTTTTATATTACTAGTCACATGCATTTTAGTAATAAAGTACAATTTAATTATGCAATTATGTTGTGATTAGAATGATAATCAATCAGAAAATCGTATTTGGTTGCAGAGTCCAGCTATTCCTATATCGCATACGGTAATATTATATTTTATATATAGACGAAATTATAGTCTTCTATGCGCACGGATCTAAATAAGAATAATTATTATTATTAGACTTAGGCACTTCCGAATAGTTTTTACTGTAGATAGTTTTCAATAGTAGGATGAATTATTTAATGTTCTATTCTAATACTTTTTTTTTTCCACAACCGAATAATTATTCGGAAAAACTAGCGAATCTTAAAAAAAAACTATAAGAATAGTTTTTAATTTGTTGAATAGTTCTATAGTAACTATTAGATTGTGTCCATCAATGAGGAACAAATAGCCTAAATACTCATGTGTACTTGCATGATGAGGATTTGATTTGTGATGGTAGTGGCTGCATTTTTGTATATTGTACCCCTGAGAGTCCCCCCCTCATCCCATTTGTGCTAATAATTCTAAAGCTCGCATATCATATTAGAATCCCGGGTAGAAAAAAAAATAAGATATATATATGTATCTACTGGTATATAAATCAATACTACGGTTGTCAGTTTTTTAAAATTCTGAGTAAATGAAAGCAGTAAATGAAAAAATTTCAAAAATGACTTCTACATCAAAATATTTGTTATTTTAAGGCGCATAAAAATCAACAGCAAAAATATCGTAAATTAATTTTATAATAAACATGGTTATACTTTTGTTTTGTTTAAATATATTAATGTAGTACCAGTATTAAACAAACAGTGAGCAAAAATGCAGTAACTGATTATAATATCACGGTAATTTTTGCTTAAATATTGACTCACATACATTATTTGTGTTTAGTATTTATAATATTTTTGCGTTTTAAAGTATTTTTTGGTATTTTACACGAGTTTCATTGAATTCTATGGAATAAGTTATTTAAGAATCATAAATTTATTTTAATAAATTCAATAAACAACACGGCAAGGCAATTCAGAAAGTAATTTTTTTTTATCAAAATGATTACAATAATGTCACCTTCTGGACGAAATAAGCTCAATCTGAGAATTTAAAGTTTTTGTTTTATAGGTGCGTCGAAGTGATATAAAAGTTTGTTTTAATTTCACCATATTGTTGTGCAGGAGGGTGTTATTTTAACTTTTAAAACCCCTACAGACCCTCAAATGAAGCCAAAGTGATGAAATCACATATATACATTATAGCGTTAGTATTATTGAGAAACGTGCCTTTTGGGGTTTCGACTTTTAACTTCAAGCCATACCATTTTTATGCTCAAACTTCACTTTTTTTTTAGGAAGTACTTAATTATTGTATAGTTAATACGTTGTTTTACAAAGAATGTGTATTAATTATACATATTATACAAAAATAATTGAGGGAGGGGGAAATTCGATTCTAGTGACGGAGTTCTACTGCAGCCTGGGTGTGGTTTTTTTTTTATTAATGATATTTGATTAATTAAATTAGTTGGTCTCTTTTTGTTTCTTTTACCGAATAACGTTTTATTATTGTTTATTTATTATTATACTCGCGACCGGACGTTTTTTCGCTTTTTTTTTCTCTTTCGCTCTCCCCTCCATTCTTTCATATTTTTTACGCTTGCGTGGTGGTACCGTCACAATAATATTATTGTATGACATAATTGTATTTTATGTAATAATAATAATAATATTATTATTATACAAAAGTGTGTAATACGCTGCGGCGCAGATTATATTCTCGTATTATAATGGTACAAGACGTATAATAATACGACGACGACTCGAATTCCCCTTCGCCGCGCCTCAAACGAAAACGGTTCGACGTTGTCCCGTTCAAAGTATATAGTAGTAATAATAATAATAATATATTATACGGCGCGCGGCGCGGATAATGAATGGCGTGAGTTTCGTAGTAGTAGAAAAAAAAAATAAAAACTACAAAGGATAAGGATACGAAGAGAGGAAGAAGAAGAAGAAGAAGGAAAAAAAATAATATGCGTTCGTGCGGCGGTGGCGGTGCGACGGCAGTCGTGGCCAACTATTACTGCACACATCGTCGCCGCCGACTCAGTTGGCCACACTGCGTTTCGATATATTATATTATACTTGCTGCACTCGGTAGGTTCGCGGACGAGTTTTGAGTATTTTTTTTCTTTCCCGTTCCCTCTCTCTGTCTACCGCGGCCCGTCCGTCCGTCCGTATCGTTGTTTTTGCGCCGTGCGCTCCGACCGACCGAAAATCCATCGCATCACAAAAATCGAAAAAATTAATAATATAATTTACAATTTTAGGTATAATTTAGTGTTATACCTATAGATAATTTATACGTCACGTTACTTTTTTTTTTTTTTTATAATAAATTGATATTTTTTGATACCCGATTTTTTATTTTTCTCTCCGTCTAAGTACATCTTTTTTTATTTTTCCTAGACAAAACACAATATTTACGTCCGTACAAGAATAATTACATCGCCGGTCGTAGTGTTTTTTTTTCTCGTAATATTATTCGTCGTGTGTTTAAAAACCGCGTACGTATGACAACCACAGTAATTACAAATAAACGCATACTATTGTATTATTAAAAGTACAGATACTGTTATTGTGATTAGCGTTTTTGGACAGTTTAAAATATTTCTCGTGTTTTTCTTTAATTTATTCTGTTCGAAATAATTATTATCAACGACACCTATTCACTCGTACTAATATACTCGCGTGTAATTGCGTTTGATATTAATTCAATTTTTTCTTCCGTCGACTACTTGAAAGTGCGCCGAAGATTAATACATCGCGTCGCGTGTCGTGTTCCGTATTACGGGGTACGATTTTTTCGCTAAACAAATAGAAAAAAACCATTCGTGAGTTTCTGTACTCGCACAACAGTGAGTAAAAAAAAAACCAATCGAGTCTGCCCGCGCAGTGAGTGTAAAATAATATCATCGTCGCACCCGGCCAACAGTACGTACATAATATTATTGTTTTTTGTTAAAAAACACCTTTTAGCTTTTTATATTTTGTATATTAATTGTTAACGAGCGGTGGCGGCGTAAACGCGTTTTTCACCGCCCAAAAGAATAATAATTGCAAAAAAAAAAAAAAACAGTCGTTCATTCCGCCACCGCTTTTTTTTTTTAAAAATATGTCTACGAAATTTTATGCACCGCCGGCGATCACGCACATACACGCCAATATTTGATTGATATTATTATTATTATTTAATAAATTTTTATTACGCGTCGTCGCCTCTGCGTAGTAGTAGTATAACGTCCTCGTCGTTCTATACAATTTCTAATGTTTTCTTTATTATTATTATTTTTTTTCATAATCGTTTATAATTCTCGTTCTCGCCCTACAGGCTAATATTATAAGTGTAGGCTACGAGTAGGCACACAACGCACGCGACCAGTCACATTTCCCACACGTGGCTTACGACGTCCGCCGCCGCCGCCGCCGAGACATTCCGATCGTCTCCGCACCCCTCGCGCTCACGCGCGCGCGCGCGTTCGCTCTCGTGTATTGCGCGCAGGTGACTGAGAAAATTGCCTGTATGATACCCCGCGTTTTTTTTTATTTGGCCCCGTGCGGACGAGATAGCGACGGTCGTACACGGACATCGCTCTTGTACATTCGTCATTGATAACTAAACGTAATAAAATAATACGAATAATAATAAAATTGTCTGCGATCCACTTGTATAATACACGTACACGTCTCGCTTGCGTGTAGGCGCGCACCGACTAACCCACGGGCGCGAGTAATAACAATAATAACATTACGGCGTGGACCGCCGTCGTCGTCGTCGTCGCCGCCGCCGCCGCCTCGCATTCCTCGCGTGCGCAACGTGCGTGTGCGCGCGTAGAGGACGCTCGACGCCGTCATAAGTGAAGGGCAAAAACTCGCGTCGTCGTCGTCTTCTTCGTCGACTGTCGCCGCGGATTCCGACGAGTTGCGTGTGCGGCGTGCCGAGTAACGCGTGTCGTCGGCATGTCCCGTTAAAGGGGTGTGAGAGGGGGATCGGGGTAGCTTAGGAGGCGTTCATATCCGCCTTGGCGGTGACGCAGAATCGATAATAATAATTATTGCCTATATCGCACTCGAAATAACGATACGATTCGATGTTCCTATGGGGGGGGGGAGAAGATGGTCCCTCGAGAACCCTGTAAAGTTCGTTCGGAGTAAAACGATTCTGGCAACGGTTTTTGCAAAATCGATTCGTAACGATCAAAACTCGTGTTTATCCGGGCAAAATTCCGTATCCATTCCGTTTCCGCCGAACAATATGATGTACCTAACCGGTCAAGTCGCGTGTACAGTAACATTTCAAAATATTCCGAATACCTACCCGATGCCCCCATTTTATAACGAGCTTTAAAACGCCAAATAATCATAATAGCAACGGGAAAATAACCCTCTTTAGAAACGAACTCATAGGGTAAACAATGCGAGTCGATTACAATAATGTCGTGTACTTGTATCTTACGTAGTGAAAACATACGTACATTAACTACTCTCGCTATTAGCTAGCCTAATGAGCTCATAATATAGACAATTTTACTTTGAAATTGTATTTTATTATTATTTTTGTTGATCAAATTATTATTATTCAACTAATTATTGTTGTTGTAGTGTATTATTACATTACAGTCGTAATATTATCATAGGGTACGTTTTTCTACGGACTCGATTCGAATTATTTATTCGTTCGCCCTTTCGCGATATGTTTCACTTCTCGTATAGCGATTCGACATTTTCCGTTCACACTCCTAACCATGGGCGCAAACCAACTTTGGGGCTGTTAAAATTATAGACACGTTACAGACCCACGGGCAATGTCTCAACAAACCCCTTTACACGACACCTATAATAAGCAAATAACTACACGTTACATTTACAATTTTTTTTATGAAAATGTACCATAACTTTTTGATTTAAATTTTTGTACACACACGCATTGTCTGTGCAGGTAATCTGCATTTTGCTCTGCGTAACCTAATTAGGTATGAAATACACGTGTAAAATATTTAGTTGACGCTGTAAAAAAGCTTATTGGGTATTTTTGTGGGTGCTGAACACCCACCCCCGTTGCACCCCTCCCCTCCCATAAATGCACTTCAATGTTTCTAACTTTAAATTCGGCGATAACGGCCCACGCGTCGCCGAATGCGCGAAATTGTCGGTTCCGGGGAGATGCGTGGCGTACGACACCAACAAGTACCGGCGGTAGAATCGTACGACGACGACGTAACTAGGCGTAAAGTACGAGGAGTCGCGATTACAGCAGGCAGTATTCGTCGACGACCACAATGTGTTATACACCGGGGGAGGTCGATGGAGGGTCATTAAATGAGTATTATCTTTCGCGGTCAAATTATAATCGTTTCCTAACCTAACCTAACCTCATACCTAATCCTAATCGAACGATTCTTTGAAGGCTCCCCCCCACGAACCGTTGTACTCGCTTGCGATGACTATACCATAGCAGTCAGGTACTTACTCATACCGCCGCGGTGTGTAAAATATAATTATACGCGTGTTGTACTAGTGTACAGTTGGCAGTGTTTGTGAATAACATCATTATGTGTGTGTGTGTTCGAATTTAGTTCGTATCCCGGCCCATCGCGTATAGTTATGACTCCGAACGATATGGACCAGAATCAGCAACAGGCCAACCACGGCAATACGCAAGACTACAACGGTTACGCGTATGGTCAACAGAGCGCCGCTCAGTTCCAACAGAGACACGCGGCAGCCCTGCAGAGGTAAAAAAAAAAAAAAAAAAATTCTATTTTGTAGTTCTTTAGTAGTATTGTAGACCGTTGGCGAGAGCTACCGTGGCGGCAATGAACTAGCCCCGCGGGACGAACATCGCCGCCGATAGCTCTTTAAGGTTAGGTTTTTTTTTCCCGCCGAACGCGCGTGTACCGCCGTCAGTTATTACTTTATTTTGTATGACAATATATTACATCGCGGAATATCTCGGTACCGTCAGACTCTTGATGTTAATGGTATTATATAGGGTTAAGTCGTTTTTTTTTTTTTTTTTGGTATATCGCTCGCACGGTCATCACGTGTGTGACGCGCCCGGCCACGGCGGCAGCCAATGGCGGCGGTTGTCGACGTACGACGAGGGGTAATCGCCGCCGTCACCGCGTGTGCGTGGCTCGTGATGCGGACAAATGAACGGGCCGAGAGAAGGGTCCCGTCACCCCACGTATAATAATATGGCGGCACGTCGCCGTTGTTTTTTTTCCTCTCTCGAAAATAATCGTCCGAAATTGGGGTGCGGGAAAAATAAAACGTACCGAGAGCGGCGGCTGAATTCGTCGTCGTTCCGCGTGTGTTCGCCGTATACGATTTGGTGGTCGACCGACAGGTGTGAACTGTTCATCCGCAATACCATTCGATAATCGCGTGTTCCGTCGTCATCGCACACACGTGTCTTTTGAGAAAAAAAAAACTCCGTAAAAATCGCATCGGAGTTCAAGAATACGGTTCTATATTAAAATACGATAAAATGTTTTTTTTTTTTTTTTTACAAGGTTCCATTCATATATTCTGCGATCGATTTCTTTTCTAAAAACGCGCGTATAGAGGCAGGTCAGGCAGTTCCGCGTATTTCGAGACGAGCGGTTCGTTTTTATTATTTGCTCGGGTATTTTAATTTCCGGTTAGGGTCGTCGTATAGGCATTTGCACTCGGTCAACACTGAGGAATTCTAGATATGTTCCGGCAGGGTTTTTAGGAGTTTGAAAATATCGGTTTTTTTTTTCTCTCGAATAGTTTATAGTAAACGACGTATTGGACCCGATGGAAGAAATGCGGGAATTTATTGTTCCGCCCCTGTTTGCAGGTGTTTAAACTGGGGGGAGGAAGGAATGCAAAATAAAGTAAAAATATAGTTCGTTTAGTTTTTTTTTTAACTGTCTAAAATACGAGAAGATAGGAAACGGAACGGGGATATCCTTATTATTATTTGTTTTACGAACAACTACTAGCTGCATACCTAATATAGTGAATTAAGTTTATTAATTTAATTAATAATTAATTAAATTATTTTGTTACTTTCTGCATCACTTTTATATCATTTTTGGAAATCGAGTTGTAAAATTCGAAAAAGAAGGCTAGGCTGATCTCGTGAACGCCGAGTTCAAATCCGTTTGCATCGCTTCGGTACGTCGGCCGGACAAAATCATCGGTCTAAATTGCCGTAATATTGCTGTGCGTATGCGTTAGACAAAGAAAGATAACGAAACCCTTTTATTAGCACACTTATTATTTATATTATTATCCGTCGTACAGAGACGTTAGCCGTTACGAGCACATTTCCAACACTTATCGACGCGGATCCGAATCCAAGGCAGCAAGTAACCTGTTTTCCCGTATCTATATAGGTACTATTCTATAATAATAGTATTACAATATAATAAGGAACGCGTTTCGGCGGTGGTCAATGACCGGAAGTCGTTTTCGAAACGTGCGAGTGACGTAACGGGCGCGTATATATATATAAAAAAAACCGCCGCGGAATGCTGCAGTTGTTTGTGTACTTTCTTCGTCGTGGGCAGTAAAATTTTTTTTATTTTATCATTACAGCTTTCGCCCGCAATCTGCGCGAGCGGATTTTACGACTACGACACGGTCCTTTTTTTTTATAATGCATCGTATTTATTTCAAGTCTTAAGTAGCATTTGTAAAAAAAAATTAAAAAAAAAACCCATGTCAGTAGAATCCATTCGATTTTGACATACAGTACAGTGGGTATATCTACGAGATTTGAAAATATCCCGTGTGTTTTAATTGCGTGTAGGAAATCGTCAAATCCCGCAGATATACCTGAATAATACTGGCACATAATATTATAGTCCGTGTTTATTTTTCAAACATCATATCTGTCACATTTCACTTTTGGATTGCCGTAAATCGATTCTTTATTTAAAACCGAAATACGAGTTTAAGAATAAACCTTGAACCTCTGAAACCCCCCCTGCATTTGTCGCTGTCTATATTTCGAAAGTAGTGTATATGAATTCGATTTTGACGTAATTCTCAAGTAGTAATACTGTATTATGGTTCGTATATTCTTGTAAAAACTCCGTGTTTCGAAAATAGATTATATTTTGATATCAAGTGTACAAAAATGTTAAACATTTTGGCCGGAAATGATGTAATATAGAGAAGTGTTATCTATAAACGTGGATATAAATTTATTTTTACGAATAATGTATTTGTATATGTTCTGAGTAGCATTTGAGAGTTACTTGACTTATAAAATAAGATTTATAATTTATTAATCTAGGAAAAAACTTGTTCGGTTTGTAAAAATGTTCCGAATTTTTTACGACGCATACCTTATACCTCAAAAGATGCGGATTTTTCGTTCGGGCTGTGTGATCCGAAAAAAATGTATAGATTCTCGACCATTTTTCTAATAACTGTACTTATACAATCTTATCAGTTTATCGAGTTCCGTTCTGAATCGTTTTTTGATTAAGGTGATTTATAAATATAAATTAAATTACGCCTATATGAGCCACGGTACCCAGTATTATGTGCTGTTTTTTTTTTCAAGATTATCGTGGTGCACATAAGCATACTTTTAAGAATAATATAATTTAATTATTGTATAGCTTCGATCGAAAATATTCTTCTAGCACGTAATTCGCTATTTTCTCGAATGGTCTCAACACTGCACTATTGTAAATTCCCTTTCATTATTGTATAATCGTATTATAATAGGTTATATAAAACCTATTTGTTTTTAAATCGATAGCGTGCATTGGCTAACAAAAAAACAAAAAACCAAAAAAAAGTAATGATAATAAAATTATATTAAAAAAATATCTGATAAATAATAAATCTATAATGTGCATTTTATATTATATCGGTATTATCATATATTTATTTAATTTATTTTTAATCTTTATATTATCTCTCTCAAAGTCCCTTCGATATTGGTATTTCAAAATAACTACGAGTCAACATACACACATATTATAATTAGGTATTTGAGTAATAGGTTATAATGTATAACTATATTCTCGTGATTTGTGATTTTCTTTATTTGTTTTTTTTATTTTCATAAATCATGGTTATATTAAACATTAATAATCATATTCTTCATCGTTACATAATTTCTATAACATATTATTTATAATGTACGATTCAGTTAATGCACTTTACTTAACGAATTCCATTTTTTTCTAGCATTATCTATACAGTATAGTACAATATTTTTGTAATTATTGATATTATTCACTTCAACTTCAAAACCAAAATTGCAATAGAAAAAGGCTTTGTCTGTTATATTGTATATAATTATAAATGCATTTATTTTTGTATTATTGTGGTTGTTTCCCGTTAATTTTGAACACTTTTAGCGGTTATTTCTGAACCAAATAACTAGCTCAAATTCGGGAATTGGATTAGTTAGTGGTTATTCTAACAGCTAATTGAAGTGTTACAAAATTGGATATAATTTTATTACGAATTTGACCGTGCTATCTATTGCAAGTAAAACGGGAGAAACATAAACGCGATTCCCGTTCAAATTGTACTGGATTTTCAATATTTCAAAATACTATTATTTTCTCGTAATTTTACAACTCTTGAAAAACGAATAAACGGTTTGGCTTTTCTTCAGAAACACGACGTTTTTTGGCATCGCGGTAGCGACAGATTAGAAACGATATTAAATTGGACGAAAATAAACGTTAATTATATAATAACAATTATAATAATTAAGATTGAGTGAATACAGTGACGTCCAATGCGGTTTTGCTAAAAATAAGATATAGAAAATACATAATACTCCTCGCGTTTTATAATATATTGATACAACACAGACAAACCTACATATTTTTTTTTTTCCTAACATCGTTAAGATGAGATTGATTCCTAGTGGAGAATTTTGACGTCTGTGGGTTAAGTTAACTACAGCCTATTTATTTTTATTATTTTGCTTGTAAAAATAATATTGAATAGTGTATAATTTGTTGTGTTCAAAATAAAATACGTAGTATATTTGTTCTTTTTGTGAAAACCATGACTGTTCTGGAAGGGGGTGATAAAGTCTAGGCAAACAGCTATAAATTCTGCAGATATCGCTGTTTGTAGCCTATTCGTTTTTCACAGTTGGACACATTTTTTACGAGCTCGAATGTATATTTTTTATAGTTTTGCGTTACCTACCGAGCTTTTATCCATCGTTAAGTTTTACGCGTTATTTAAATATTAAATGATATGATTTTTATTTCAAAATTATATTGTGTACGACTTCATTATCGTTCAGGTTAAACTAATCTAAACTTATCTATGATAAGTAAATTGTTTTATTGGAAGTTAATGTCTGTCTAAACATATTAAATTAATTAGGTACCTAAGTAGTAATAATTAATGGAGTCTGTCATTCAAATCTCTGTACGTTTTTTTATATATTTAATACCATTATTAGCCCCTTTTTTAATTTAATTTAGCGTCTTTTCAAGTAATTAAAAATATTACAGTACAAATTATGGTTACATATTTTGTTTTTGTTTTTTTAATAAGAAATGACTTTTTTTATGTTTCTCTCGCTCGATGTTTGCGGTAATTGACTTAAGACCGTAATTCATGTTTTTGCGTATATTAAATAATAATATTTTATGATGTCGGCTGATATTCGCAATATTGTCGTAACTTCCAAATTGTGATTTTGCGTGTTTATGATATTTTAAAATAAAATAAATTATAACGTATTGTTTGAAAGCATGCTAGCTCAAAAAATAATTAATTATCCCCGATAAAAATACAACAAAATTGTTGCAACGAAGAAAAATTCTTAATTCCTTGGGATTTCTATATAAAAATGTTGTTATTTTGGAACTATAGGACAATAATAGGAAAACAATACGATCACACATTTATAATAATATATTATATAACAAATTTGAATATAATATGTTAAGTTATATTTTATAATAACACGGTGCTACGGAAACCTAACCACCACTTGTTGGACCGAATCTGAAACTGTTCCAAGGTAGTATTATAGTGTCCTAAGTGTAAATGTTAGACCTTATCGTTAAAAACCTCGGCGGGTTCAGATAAATCAAAAGAAATGAGAAAAAAAAACGTCAGTTAGATCACAGGAATCGGAGGTACAATCAAAACAAAACGAGATATTTTAGTTGGTGTTTTTCATTTTCCCAGTAAAAACTATCAAAAATCACCGCGATCGGTGTTTTACCGAGTCAATTTGATTAGAGTAGGTTTTCTTATCTTTTTGAAATAATACCAGGTTATTAATACCAATGTTGCGTTTGTTGCATTTTTTTATTATATGTGGGTCTGGTGTAAAATTGATAGAATTTTGCTACGATATACCCAATGTAGTAGGGGGGGAGGAGTGAATTCAAAATTCTATCTAATTCAAGCATAATTCAAGCTACTATTTGTTATAATAAAATATCGTCGACTATGACAAACGTCATCGTCGTGTATACCTATATATATATATAGATTATGTTTCGAAAGTATATCGGAGGTAAAGAGTGAACTTGTATATATTATAATATACGAATTTCGGCACGAAAATTCCGTTCGAAATGCACCGCTTCAGCCATTCTATAGAGGGATTATTAAAATAATAATAAATTATCTTTGTTATGAGTATCGCGCAATTTCCAATCGAAACGTTTAAGCGATATTCGACGTCCGCCTAGAAAACGATTCGGGTTTCGTCGATTCTTGCCAACGTATTAAACATGTGAAGTTAAACATGAAAAAAAAACTGTATTTTTCGCTCAGATAATATAGATACGGATACAGGGCGAAATTGTGTGACAGACGAAAGAGAAGAGAAGCGCTTGTTTGCTACGCGCAAATACCGCGGTGATTTTAGTAGCGCATTGACTATAGGGTTACCGGGTTATAATTAATAACGATAAACGATAACAAGTTTTAAAACAAACCAGTGCGAATAAAAACCGCGACTATTGATGGGAATCGGGCGGTTCCACTCCCGTGATGACGGTAAACCAAATCGTCCTTGTCTGGGTCTGGTTCATCATATATAATATTATCCGACGCGCAATAAACTTTTAACATTTTGTTATTTCGTCCGTGCGCTGGACTCATCGAGTGCGCGCATGGGGAGCACCAGTTTAATAATTGAAAAAAAAAAAAATCGTATATCGTAAATCGTATTACGGCGACGACCAAAAAACTTTGACGAACGTCGCGCACTGTACGCGGGATAGGCGTACCTACCCCTACCGATGACGGGACGCGCGTACATATATATATATATATATATATATATATATATTAATTGTATATATACTTTAATAATATATATATATATATATATATATATACCTCTAATATATTATAGTGTGTGCACAAACACACTCACACACACACACGAGAGCGCGCGCACGCTAATCGATAGAATTGCAATGGCGGGCGGAAAAGCGCGGTCCCTTCGCCACCGGCAAACGGCCCGCCGCCGACTATTTGACCGCCAGCCCCGCCGGTCGCGCACGCGCTATCCTGCAAAGGGGTATCCGGTGTACAAAAAAAAACAAAACAAAAAAAACATAAATAATATCGGGCTAGTGGACGACAGGCCGTGTATATTATATTTATTATACGAGGAGGACGACGGTAATGAAAACTGCAAGCAAAAAAAAAAAAAAAAACCGCACGAGTATATATTTATATATATTAACGTCATACAGCCCCCGCGGTGTTTGGCGAATTCAATTTTTTTTTGTTTTTCCCGCCCGGATCTCGTTAACGTTTTAGCGCGTGTGCGCGTATGTATTGTAGTGCGCGCGCAAATCGCGAACCGTCGTGTGCGAACACAATGGGGCACGCGATCTTGGTTCGCGATGCGGGGGCGTTGTGGTGCAGATGGCATAATATGGACGCCGCGTACGGGATGGACCGCCGGACAATCGCGTGCCCGCCTATCGGGGCTGTGCGCGCGCGTGTGCATATATTATAATTATTCTTATTATTGTTATCGTCGTTGTCGTGGTGGTGTGCGGGGGCGCGAAATGGGGGCGAGCGAATAAATAATATACGCGCGGCTAAGACTGCAGCCGGGGAAGCGGGGTGGAGCGCGAGATAGGTGACGTTTTTGCGCGCGCGGGACGCGACCGCCGCCGCGGACCGGTGTTTCTGACGGCGGCCGCGCGCCGGGGGGACGAATTTTTTATTTATTTTTATTATTATTTTATAAACGCCAATCGGCTATTTGAACAGCGTGCGTGTCGTCTAGGGTGACTTGTACCAGGGGTCGTATGATAATACGCTGGCGATGTTTTTTTTTTTTTTTATGAAACTGGAAAATCGATTGTGATATACTTTGCTTTTTTTTTCAAAAGAAAAAAATATCGTCAAACGAAAAATGTACAGCCGTGTTACGATTTTTATTCTCTTGTACCTAGCCGTAAATTCTTTTTAGGTTCAGCTTTTAATTAGAAAAATACCATACTCTACGCCTTCGGAAAATATTCTTCTCTCTGAATTTTGTGATTTGTGTTTAATAAATTATTAATTTCAACCTAAACGCCACATTTCATGTTTCTGGTAACTTATAATTATTTTGCTAGTTCGTCGCCCATCAGATTGACCGAGACGATAAACGCGGATGTTAAAATATTTAAAAACCCAAAAACCACACGAGTTACAAAACAGATTGCCATTTTTTTTTCTCTTTTATTTAGGAAACTAAGAAAAATGATTTTCTAAATGCACCGATTAGATTAAAATAGCTACACAAGAGTATCTTTAAAGTTTAATTTATCTGGTAGAAAAGTTGTATATAGATACAAAAAAATCGAATAAAAACACATCGCAGTAAAACCAATACATTCCTCGCATTTTTCAGAATCTAAAAACCTAACAATGGGAAAATATTGTCGTTGAGGTTCAGAAAAAAAAAAGTTTTTCTTGAAAACTGCGGTTTTAATATATTTCGTTATTCTGTAAACCTTCATATAAAACTGTTTGTTGATCAAATGCAGTATAATATTACAATAACTGGAGACGACCTCGGAGCCAAAAAGTCAACAACCGGATAACTCCATTTTTTTAAATTGTTTAAGAATAATAAATTAAACGTTTTAAATTTGTCAGGATTTGTATCACCGAAATTCTAAAACAAGATAATTCCAATAATTGCCATTGAAAACTAACTTAGACATTGGCATTATTATTTGGCTGATCTCCAATTGCTGATCGAGCGAGTTCAAAATAAATTTCATTCCTATATATGTCCAGGAGGTCGATTACCCCCTCCCCCGCTCCTCTTCGTTCGCTCTTCAATATAGCCTTAGCTCGATATTTTTCTCGTAAATGTGTACATTTTATAACATTTATATATTGGATTCATTTTAATTCTGAACCAAATGTAGGGAATTTTTTTTGTTGAAATGATGTCGTCAAAAAGTCGCTGTTAAAGTGGAGTTATCATCTACAGGTTGTTGCACCAATAGGTCTTTAATTTCAAGACGTACTACATTTTCGCGGCGTACAGATTAAATATTCAAAATGTTTATCCCGGCTACCGGATGAAGTGTGACGGAAATCTACCTGAAAATTAGAATATTATACGAGTATGCTTGTATGTAATACTAATATACATATATCGGGTATTTTTTTGTTTTTAATTTTCTAACTGACTGTATGTGGGTATACCACCTAAACGTAGGTACTACACTTGTGAACGACGATCACGTCGAAATGCAATTTCGTTAGTAATTTTTTTGGATGCTTTTTTTTCCGTGGTTCGCGTCGTGTCGGCAGTAGTAATATTGTATAGTTGTTTGTTTCGCATACAACAATGGAAATATCATGTCGTATAGGTAATATTGTGTCGAATATAATGTTGTCTCGATAGTTACTAATGACTAGGTTTGACGACAGGCTGCGCGTTTTCTAACCTAACCGAGTTTGGAATGCAGCGGATGACGTTCGTTTTGTTTTATAGGTGTGGTAAACTTATGCCGACGACCGTGCGATTTCGTCGTCATTAATCATCACCACCAGTCGGTAAAAACTACAGATAAATTTATAAAAAAATTAAATTTAAAAAAACCCTCGAAATATACCCTATCCATGATGAGTGATCGTAAAACTTAACAGCCAGAGCATACTGTTATAATAGCGTACTAATTGGCCCAAAGATTGTTAGTCCCATGAATTACTCGATAACAGTGTAAAAAAATATTTGAAACAAAAACAAATAGTTCAATTTGCCCTCTTTATTTAGTATACGACTTTTAACTTTATACATCTTACGCGGAACTCCAATGGTGAAACGAACACGGTCTTCGAGAACTACTAAATAGTTTTCTCTTTACTATATTTTCTAGTAATTTTTGTGAAAATATTGGGAAATATCGGTGATTGGAAACTAAGATGCTTTTGGATTATTTTAGGGTTCAGTTGTACGTCGTGCGACCGACTGTATATTTATGTAGTTGTATATCTATGATAAAAACCAACGCGACGTTTTTGTTATATATAGTTAAAATATAAGTGTTAGTGCTCTGCAAGTGTCTGATATTTAATCAAATTATCAAAACTTTATTTTATTTTTCCTGGAAAACTTTACATCATCACCGAATTACACGTTTCGATTTATTATTACGCGTAAGTGTAGATACAAAATGTTCATTAAACGTACGGTGTAAAGTTTACTCGAATAATATAAGTTATTGTATTATATAACAAAACATCGTCGTTCATGAATTATTTTAGAAATTATGAATGGCTTTTATAGTATTACTATTTTAAAATGCTAATTGCGGTGGAAGGAAAGCGCGGCCGCCGCCGTGCTACAATATAGTAGTACAATTTATATAAATACATGCAAATAACGGCTGAGTTCAACGGTTTCTATATATTTTTCTTTCTCTTTGTCGTTCTATGTAATATGAAAACCTCGGAATGTTATAATTACATAATATCTCGTTAATTACAACAGATAAATCTGTTGAAAACTTTTGTTTCGATCAAAACTAATATGTACGGCGTGTTTTACCAGAATTTCGTGGTTCAAATATAGTTTAGAAACTATTTTAATACATCATCGTGTAGTGTAATGCAGCCACATCAAAAGTGTCATTATGACGTATGAAGCTCGGTGTGTATTCCACAATCACGTTTTCACGTTCCTAAAAAAATTTTTGTTTTTTTTTTTTAAATTACTTTCGGTTAATTAAAACTCTCCAAATTGTTCACGTCGTATATCCTTAGAAATGTGCGAATTTGATTTATGTCCCTCCATTTATGGATTATCTTTTGGCTATCACTAGAGGGAAAAACACGACTATGAAGTCGCGAGTTTACCATGTTTGTCGCTCCGTATCTTTTGTCGATTGCAATTACATATCAATGCATAAACTAAATTACTCCCTGTCATATACTCATATTATATTATCCTATAATATAGGACCTATATAATATAATACCTTTCAAACATTCTGACTAACAGTGGCGGCCTACCCGCAGTGCGAAATATGTCCGCGACTTTGTTCATATTACATCCGTGTAATTTTTATAATAATATTAAAATCGTTCAAACAATATTTGTACAATAGCGTATTGCGGAATTTAATAATATTATGAGTAAGCCGATAACGCGCGTTAATCAAATATTTATTTTATACAAATTTGTATCGAACGTTTCTTATACGATAAGATTGATTTTGTTGATCTTGATATGCACAGAGTCGAACGTAACCTAACCTAATATTGCAGTATTATTGTAATATTTATAAGGTATAAAATTGTATTTATTCTGTGAATGTTGGTGGGTGGTATACAACTTATTTTCAATATTCTCGTAGTATGTGATTATTTTGTTTCTGACCTTCGACACAATTCGTTCAAGATTGCTAAAAAAGGTTAATAACTTTAATGCCTGTTAACACTGATAAGGATTTTCTTCCCTGGGTAAGATATATATATATATATAATAACGGAGGTTCGGTACTTATAGCGTTTACTTAGTTGTTTTTTTTTTTAATCTAGTTAGCTATATACTACGATTTCTGTAACAGGAAATTCGAAAGCGCTAATTATTTGTTCGATGGGTTTATTTATACTAGTTTTTTGTTTTTTGATATTTTCATTGCATTTTTTCCGCGTGGATATTTCTACTTTATAACTATAGTGACATTAGAGCACTAAACTAAACTTTCGAATAGTTTATACTGTCAATATCATCATCAGTTTCTAAAGGTCTTGTCGTTGTTACCAAACTTCTCCATCATGCTCCGCATTCTTCAGGTGTTGATATAAAATGAAACCCATTCGGTGTTTGATCTCGTTGAAATATATTATGTTTGGGTCTTCTTGGACGTTTTCCCATAATCTCCCCCTCTAAGGTGTTTGTAACAATCGTTGTTTCTTATCAGATGTCCGATGCGCTTTACTTTCCTTTTCATAATAATAGTAATGATGTTTCTCTCTTTACCTATTTCCTGCAAGAATGGTGTCATTCCTTTTCCTCTTCATTTAGCTTGTCCTCGTTGTTCAACTATTAATATAGTTGATATGTATTGATAGTATTTTACAAACAATTTATTCAAATCAATACATTTACTAGCGTAGGTAGCAAAAGAAAAATTTTTATTGTACACTTGTATTTTCATTTTGCTTTGATATTAATTTTTTTTTTTTGACGTTGGTGTTGTTTCTTTTACACATTTTGTTTATGTCTATGGTTGTTTTTGATGTTGAAAACCGCAGTGTATAGTCCAAATGTAGACGGATATTTATAAATAAGAATAATAACATAGGATAAATAAAAGATATTGCTTTTAATGAAATCACAAAATTAGTACTTATTTTATTTGTTTTACTATTTCAAATTTTCGATTTCAGAATGTACAATTTAGTTTTAGTCGAGGTCATACAAAATTTGTTAATGGACCGCGTATTGGGTAAATTGCACCACTACGCGTTAGATAAACTATAGAATTTTTTTCCTTGATTACTTTTATTCGGAAAAACTATAGAAAATTTCAAAAACCGAGTAGAACATTTTTTCCGTAATCGAATAGTTCGATTCTTTGACCATTCGGTTGTACACGTTATTTGTTTAAACGTCATGCATACCTACAAAAACCCAGATTTTTTTCCTTATGATTTTCCCTTTTATTATTTTACTTAGAGGCTAATGTAGTATTTTTTTTTTTAAATTTAAGGAAAGGGTTTCTTTTTTTGGTATTGCTTTTTTATGCCTTATTTAAAGTGTTTATAATATAATAGGGGGGTTTCAAGTATCGAATTCCCGTGATTCTTTTTAAGTGTTTGGTACAAGCACTGCACGGAGATATGGGTTTTATAAACTAAATCAATTGCGTCTCTTGACTTCAATTAAAAAAAATATATATATAAATATATACATTGTTTTAATCTACAAAGGGGAGAGCGGAAATCGTGACCTATACGTCTCGTATTATAAATATTATAAATATGAGTAATTATTTTTGTTATCTCCAGTTATACCGATATAGTCAACTGCAGTTTATGAAAAACAAAAAAAACACGTAATAGGTAATCGTAATAATAATATAATATTCGCCTATTATATACAGCGTGCCTCGCGAAAATGTACACATATTCTCCTTGTATCTGATAGTAACATTAATTGCGCCCATAGATAATAAATATATGGATAAGCTATCCATACCTTATAAGTGTTTCAAGAGGGACGGGTACAATTACGCCAATATTTTCATAAAGTGAAGCGTTTTAACTATATAGTAATAGACGACCATTTTTGTTTGTTAATTTTCAATCGTTATTAAATGTCATTTATATTTCGATACGTCCGGGTCGCGGTGCGCGGTTTTCGTACGGAATCCGGATAAAATTCCGTTCGGTGCAAAACGCCGTAAACGTTCGCAGCATTTGGATTTAGAACCCTGCCGATTTCTAGTACCATTTCGCAATGACCGTCTAACGGCGTCGCGTACAATAATGTGCTACTAGTAGGTATACTATTATAATGTACATAGTATTACGTTGTTATTCCCGTATAAGAGAAACACTCTGTATAATGTGTACACGTATTATAAATAATAATAATTAATAATAAACATCAAAACTATGTGCATCGACGATAATGACGATGGCCTTGACCCAAGAGTGTAACCTAATAAGAATGCGTTATCGAAACCAAACAAAATGACGTATAACATTGTGGAACAGCCGATATTACAATTGTGTGTGTGTCTACGTATATGCGCGCGAATGCGACAAGAGTATTATTCGAGCGCGGCGTGACTTCGCCGGTCCGAATAAAATACTAAAAAAAAAAATTAGATAAAAATAATATCGTATAGACGTCGTATGGAAGAAGGTCGATGTATATCGTGTGAAAAAAAAATAATCCTTATTTAAAGCTTTGTACAAAAAAAAACACACACACACTTTACACATTTCTCGAAGTTTTTATGGGAAGGGGGAGTGTAAGATTAAAACGGTATTTTAATTTTTGATATTATACGCGGCTTATATCCGCCGTCTAGACTGAGTATAATAATAATGTAATGTTGGTGACTCATATTATTATCCTGAGTTTTTCGGAATTTATTTACCGGGTGTCTAGGTATAGGCAGAAAATAAAGTATTACGTGCGGGGGTAGGCTTGTTGAGCCGAACGCGTTCCCGTTTCAAAGTTAGCATTAATGTTTTCTTACGATTTGCGACCGAATTTCGGGAATATTTTATTTATTTATTTTTCTAATTTACGATGTGTGCTTTTCTCGTAACGTTTCCGATCTATAGTCGAAGAATCGGATAAGGTTTTTCTTTTGTTTTTAGAAATTCTTCATCGTATTCTTCCATTTGATTTCTACAAATGGAAGGTTTTGGCAATTGGAATTTTGAATCTAATATCCTCGATAGTACCTGTGTAATTAGGTTTACTCTCGTTTAAAATTGGGGTTTTTAGATATGTATTATATTTATTTCGAATGTTGTATCATTCACTACATAACATTTCATTTTCTCATCCGAATTCTTGCAGTTCATAATACATTATAATAATTAAAGTTCTGGACCTTCACTTAAAATCCACAGAAAATCGCTCAAAAAAGTAAAAAAGTATTAAAAACAAATTTTAAAAGGCAAACATAGAAGAAGGGTTCAAAAGTCCTACTTCTTACGACTTTAACTTATTAAATAAAATTGTCTAATACTACAAAAATTATTAATACAATGTAATTTTCTTTAAAATATGTACAATTTTATTTATTTTATTAAAAATCTCTAACCCTAACAGTAATTAGCGTATATTACGCAAAATTCTCTACACACCACGAGATCGCTGGATGGCTATAAAAGTTAATTGTTAAACTTTTCTCAGAATCGTTAAATAATTTACTAAGTATTATTAAATGGTACACAGGGTGATTTTGCTTATTTATTATCGTGATGAAACGGTGTTTTTTCTTTTAAATTGATCTCTGTATTCTTATATTTTTTAGTTTAATACATATAAACTTATTTTCAAACGTTTTCCCTTATTCCGTACACCATATGTTCAATACACATATCAGCAATTGATTTTCAATTTTAAAAATAGATTCTAAGAATATTATTTTAAACAATTTGATACGTGTAACACTACCAAAATATTGGATTTGTGAAGTGCTCTACGTATAGATATTACATACAATGTACCTTCGTACTTCTTCGATTTACGTTTTTCAAAATCAAAAGTAAATTCTTGTTTAAGTTAAATATCTTTGGGTCCAGGACTTAAGTCAATACCGTGTAGTTTTAAATGAAAAATTACATAACGACATAATTGCTCAATGGTCTAACCTAAATATGATGGCGTTCTAAACAGCTTCAGTCGCTTTGCCATACAAAGTGTACATCGTAGTGACATGAAATATTTTAATTTCCAATATAAGGTGACGTGTTAGAATATCATTTAGACCGAAAAATAAATGGTAAAAAAATGATGTAAGAGAAAAGTATAAAAAAGAAAGAATGCCAAAAATTGACTCAAGCCCCCGAAACCGAAAATATTAAGTATAGGGATGAAATTATTAACGTAGAAACAAAAACTATGATTCAATAATAATATAATGGTTGAAAAAAATAAAATAAAATTTACTTAAAATATTACCGTGTATAGAGTACAATATAGTATATCATTTAGCTAACTCTCGCTTAATTGACTTTGTGAACATTTCTTCGACCATCCTGCAACAGCTTGCGGCAGTATAATAGTAATCTGATGCTGTTGCTGCGATATGAGTCATACGCATGTTTCGTTTTGTTTTGTTTTTTTTTTTTTTTTTTTATGAATTTCTCTCATCGAGTTCGAGTTTTCGGTGTGTGAGTGTGTGCGCAGCCTATCGACTGCGGCGGCAAGAAGGATAGTTGTATATAGTCGGTAGTCGTATTGGTGTTTTTTAGTTTTAGGTTTTTTCTTTTCTTTTCTTTCACGAATATCTTTGATGCGTGTATATAGGCAATATTTATTCCGTACGCGCCAGGCAATGACCCTTGGCGGCATGCGTACCAAATTCTTACCGGTAGTGCCTGTAATGCCTGCAGTATACACGATCTCAAGGTCGATGTATACGATATCCCCCATTTTTTTGACCCGCCCAGGTATTCTTTTTTTTTTTTCTAGCTCGCCTCTTGTTTCTCAATACCTAATAATAATAATACAATATGCCTACTAACTATATTATATCCCTCGGAATTTCACCGACGTGAGGTAAAAGAAGAAAAAAAAATCCCAACAATAATACCAATTAACCGCGCGCTGCAGTCTCTGCAGGTATACCAGCCTATTACAATATGATTGTGATATTGTTATAATATATTCTCGAGTGACTGTCGTCGTTAACGTTTTGAATATAACAGCAGTTATCGTTAAAATACGGATACTTATTATATTTCTAGTATTATAGTTGTAACAGAATTGATAAAGGGCCGGACACGATATTTCACGGTTGCCAACCGGTCCTGGGCAACTACCACACTATATTCCTCGAATCGTGATTACAATAATACAACATAACCTCAACAGAAATACAATTATCAATTATTATATTTCAATTTGGTATCGGAACAAATTCAATTCTAACGAATCGATGTGATGAGACAAGATTATCGACTTTTCTACTGCAATTTTGAAAAAAACCGATGTCATTTTTAATTTTTCTCTCTTTTTTTTTTCACCCGACGTGGTTTTTAAAGGATTAATAATTGTAGATTTGCGCTTAAGAGTTTATATCACTTTCTCGGTGGAGTGTCTGGACGAGGGGGATTTTTCTCCCGGTATTTGTGTTGCTTTAATACTGATCGCTGTGGCTACAATTTCCGTGCCCCATTTTTCTGACAACCATAGACACTATACCCGCCCTAAAGATTTTTTACATTATTGCCATCGAAGAGCGATTTTTTCGTTATAGAATTATTATTTTAGTTTAGTATTGTTGTTGCGTTATTTTGATAACATTATTAAAGTAGGTAATCTTAATAATACGCCGGCGTCGCACAAGATGTTTTGATGACCACCGGGTGTTGTTTTCGCTATACTGTGGCAGCGTATAACATCATTATGATGAACGGATGAAATATTTATGTTGTTTTGCTCGTGATTTGCGAACGAATTCTGCAGTAGATTGGAAAAAATTAAAATAAATAAAAAAAATAGATCCACTTAATGCAGTATTGTAAACGCTAGCCGTGTCGACGATAGTTTAAATAGTAACAATTTTCAATTAATCTCCAAGAATTTTAAAATTTTTGTTTATCTATTAATAACAGTGTAGTAGTGTTGTAGTATTATAGTAGTAGTTGAGATTATATTTAATTTTACTTCGTGGGTTTGACAAACCATCACGGGTTATTGAAGTCGCGTAAAATATGTATTTCTGTAAATATCCGCCCGTTTGCTTTTTCCCCTCTTTAAGCCCCTCTCTCCTCAGATGTGAGAAGTGAATACGGGAATCGGTATTTTAGTTTTAGCGCGTTCTCGCGGTGTATTACTGCGATATTAGATACTAATAATAATATTCGGTCAGAAAAAAAAATCGCAATTTCAATCGTCAATATTCTATAACGTAATAATTTTCGTACACATTATATATATATGTATTGTATATTCGGAGTCGTGTCGTTATTCGGTAGTTTAGAATAATGTGGTGATAATTTACAAAACAAAAAAAATTTAAAAAAAATAGTATACGTGGCCATGTATATCGCGCGATGGGTTATAAATTATACAATATATAATTTCATATTTTAATGTTTTATACGCTGATGCAACGCGTAAACTAGTTGTGAGTATACGAGTATAATATGTACGTAAGCACGCTACGTGTCAGTTATAATAATAATATTATACATTACTATAATTCTAATGCATCGGCCATTCAGCCTCCCTCAAATGTATTATAAATAATAATATCGGTTGAAAGAGGAAAAAAATCCGGCGGGACCAATTTTGCACTGTTAATTTCATTGTCATAGTATTGTATTAAAAATGTGCATTTTTAATACGTGACATTTCACACATCTAATATTCGTATATCTCTCGCTTAAAAATCGAAATATCGATTAAAAAAAAAAAAAACTTATAAAAATACAGATCATACTATTATATACAGGTCGGTTTACTGTAATATTAATTAAAACTAACAGCTCGAAATCGCGCGTTGAACGTAAATAAATTTCGCTGTCTTACGATTTTTGAGATGGAGACCGCACATGCAGTTATTACGTCCCTCTTGAGAGTTTTATGGATTTAACTTTAGACCATAGTTCAAGTTGCTTGCATCTTTTGGGCATATTTCGGTGGAAAATACACTAAAATGTTCACGCAGTTATAATTATAATTGTACGCTATATATTCTCGCGAAACAGGACGAGCGCGTGACGCGGTTTCGCAGGGTTATATTAAAACGATTTGTACGAAATAAAAATGAAAAAAAAACCGCCGCGAGTTCATTTGATGATGTACACAAAATATTATGTCCCGTAGGCATCAATAATATGATCCAATGGAAAACTGTGCGGCGGCGGCGGCAAACACAATCGGTTGCAGCCGTACCATATATCTATAATAATGCCTTTAAAAAAAAAAAAAAAATTCGTAAATTAAAATAATAATATGTAAACCGGTTCAATATCGGTAGACGGTATTACCGGTTATAATATATAATAAATATATATACCTACCTATTTAATATATAGGAATCGGAAACAATTTCGTGAAAAACGGCACATAAGTATAATGTATTTTGTTGTTGTTCGGTCCATTGTGTATAAATAGTGGTGTGCAACAGTGTTTGCCGCAGTCGTTTACCAAACTCGAATGTGCGTCGAAAGTATATAATACATTATAATATGCTATGTGTGTTCCCTCGTGTACATGAATTCGGGTTTAATATATAGGAAAAATAAAAAAAAAACACAATAATAATACGTTTAAGTATGTGCAGATAAAATATAAAAAAACGTGAGCATTCCGAGCGCCGGGTGATCGAATTTCTCCGGCCATTATAATATACGATTTTCCGACTAGACTCTGCGTGCGTGTTTGTTCTTTCCGTTTTGCCTTAATAATCGTCGTTATTGTATCAATTTACCGCCGGACTTTGGCGAATGTTTTATTATTTAAATATGTTACGAGTGTGTATAGCGAAGAAGCTGTATATTGTCAGTTTTACTATAAGGCCCGGTTATCACATTCGTCCGTCGGATAACACGAGCAATTCAATAAAAATCGGGTTTCCGACGTCCGAATAATCATAACGGTCAAATGTAATAATATAGTTTCCGCATAAGTTATTATCTGTTACTTTTTATATTGCGGAATAACTTTTATTCGTCAGAATTATAACTTATAGCCGATAACGTAAATAATAATTATAGGTCACTCATTATTGCACCTTGTCATCATTGTGCACCGTGATTTAATTACGAAAATATTGCATTGCGCGTTGTCAGTAGTTTCGATTTACTGTTCATTCGATTTGGTTTTACAATTTATATTTTAAGACGACGGTGATTGCTAAAAAATAATTCAGTTGTGAGTGCGTTCAGTCATGCGTGTTTAATATGTTCATACACTATACTATACTATAGGATTCTTCAATATTGTCATTTGCAAAATGTCATAAATAGTTTTTTTCCAAATCACTTAAAAACGAAAACTATTTCATATGGATGATCTTTATAGGGACCACCTCTTGTTTTGAATATATCACTTTTAGTTCCTCCGTAATAATGTTAAAACACGTTCATATTTTTAACGTTTATTTTAAATTATACTGTTATATTTGTTCACACAAACCTAGGTGTGTAGTGTTTACATAGTTAACGCACACCACTGCTGAATATTATAAATTGTACACGAAGGCATTGCAATGACATAAATCACAATTATTCACAATAATACGAGTGTTTTGTACATAAAATAAACGGGCGGTTCCTTATCGATTTTTCATTGACCAATCATAATCGAAATATAGATCTGTGTTACTTGTTCCTTATTAATGTACAATTACTATCAGTGACACACATGCATGGGTGGGGAGAGTTAGGGGTCAGAACACCCTCCCACCTCCTCGAAATATCTTCCTTCACTGTATTTTTTTAAATCAAGTTTTACATTCAGCATCATACAAAATATATCTTATACCACAAAATGAAATGAAATTTAATAATTTCATCAAAAACCATTTATTCATTAACAATAGTGATAGTACTAATAATATATCCCCTCTCTGCTAAGTACTACCGCCTTTCAGTATAAATGTCCACCTAGTAACATTCGTCATTATTGAAAAACCCGGTCTAAGACGTGTTTTATATATTTTTTATTTCTCCCAGAAAATATTTTTTCGGTTAGTAAAAATGATCAGATTTTTCCACACCGTACAATAATAATTTAATCAGTCTAATTCGTTTTAAATGAAATATATAAACGAGCTGCTGTTTAACACAGTTTTGGTCCTGCAAAGTGTGCGTACTACAGCCCATGGCGAGACGACACAACCGACGTGCTATTATTATTTTTATTATGTATAATATTACACTGGCGACGACATAAATGCGGAATCGTCTGGTCCCTGGTGTATACAGAGCGATTCGTTTACCCATGAACCGTAGTGATTTTTTTACAATTATTTTTGATTCCGCAGTTATATTTTTTGTAGACGAAGAATCGTGAAAGTTCAATGATGATTTATTTAAAAATGAGCAGTATTTTACTCTTATTCGACATATTGGTATAAGTAATATAAAAAAACTATTAATTTTCATTCAACTATCTGTATATATAATTTTTTTTTTTGTTAAACTAAATCGGAAAAAGAGTATTTTTTTCGAAAATATCGATGCGCACAAGCACTATAGTTATATCAGATTTAATATTATGGCCGTTTATGGATGTTATAAAGTTTGTTATGCATAGGTACTTACGGCTGATGATAAAAGAATCATTCTGTATGTTATATAGTAATAATAATAATCATGTACTCGGCTTTATATGCGGACGATTGTATTCAGCGGTGTAGAGAGGGGCGGCCGTCAGGGAAAACAGTGACATGATAATCGGATACACGAGAAAAACGGTGGCGCCAAACTTCTGAGCTTGTCCGTTGCAATATTATGTAGACTTTTACGAACCGATAACCATCGCGATATATATACCTAACGTCAATAAATATAACCAAGTCAGTGACCGGGCAAGGAGTCCGATAAATTTTAAACGAAATTCGTCATTTTAAAATCGATTTTCACTGTAACATGTTGGCGTCGTAGCGTTCCTAAAGCGAGAATTTTTTGCTTTAAAAGCAGAATGTAGCTTGAGAAAGAATATGTTTTTGCTGTTAAAGTGGTAGAAAATAATACACCCAACCCCGCAAGTATAATACTTCCTACCAATTTACTTCTAATTTTCTTTGTATACATATACAAAATAAAATGTACATGATTTAACGTTAGAAGCACAAATATTTGTTATTCGTTTCTGATAATTATAGGATAAAGGCGTGGCTATAGAAACAAATCATTGGAATTTCATCAACATTTGAACTACCCAGCAACTACCCAGCTCAAATTGTTGGTGTTTTACCAATAATTATATTCAAGTTATACTCAAACCACCTCTTGTGTTAAAGGCATGTTTTTCCACAATTGTTTACAAACCGCTAGTAGGTTCTTTTTTGTTTGTCTGCTGATAAAACAGCATCACGTAAAATCGAATATGTTTGTAAATTAGCATATACTATCTTGTAATAATTTGAAGTTAAAACGTCTTTAAATTTGTTTGAACAATCAGTCGGCTATATTTTAATACAGCTAATGCCTAATCTAGCGTCATGCAAATTACTAAAAACTAGTCCGACTAGAGCTGTTTTACTGACCACTGTGCACTATCTATTATTTACTATCTTCTGTTATCGAATATATTTTAATTTTACTAGTAGGTCCCAGTTAGTGTCGTGTAAAAATTATATGCGGTAGGTTATATTTAAACACGTGTATCCTGAAATTGAATTATTTTACTCGTGTTTATATTTTTAAACCGTCAGTATAAAACGAAAATTGTTTTCGGTCCCTCGGAGTACTAACAACAGTTTGCGCTACAACTGTTGTAGTCGTTTAATTTCGGCTATAACATGACGAGTATAGCAATTATATTACTATTAAAGATAATGACGACTCCAATTAAAAAAAAAAAAAAATTTTCTTGAAGAATGACGAGGTCGGAAGTGATAATTAAAATAGTTTATAGCAATAAGTATAACTATATAGTTGTTATTTTTCCCAAGGTACGGAAATAATAATAACCTACTTTGTTTACCGTTTAATTGAATATACAAACCATGTTAAACGATCATGACGACAATATTTTGTATTGTGAATGATTTTTTTTTTTAATTTTTCTATTGTCACTTACCCTCTTTTTTAGACAATTCGATACGTGTTTTCTGTTTACTTTTTTCGTAATATCGGATAATATAATATTTCTATGATGTAACTGATATCATTATATTTATTTAAGTCATCTACTTATATACCTACAAATTAACCGCGAGGAAATATCTAATATCGTTAATTGTCAGAAAATTGATAATAAGGGTCAGGCACAACATTTCATTGTTGTCAACCGCGTATCGTCACAAAATATAACACCAAAATGATCGCACTATGGTTTTTTGCTTATAATCGCCCCACCACGCGAATTTTCTATTTTCTTTATTTCTATCCGAAAAGTTTTATGTTTTCATTTAAAACGCTCACGGATCTCTCGTATTTCGGCGTAAATACTTACCGACTCGACCTCTTTCTGCAGCTATTTACCCTCTATCGTAAAAGTCGAATCCGCGAACGGTGTAAAACGATTAATCAGCGTAAAAAAAAAAAAAAAAAAAAAAACCATAGAGGAATGTTGTTGTGTTTCGATCGGGGGAGGGGGGGGGGTTGTTTCTGACGAGTGGTAATTTAGGTATAGCTTAATCTTATCGCTAAACAAATAAATAAACACGTATTCGGTGGGGTAGAAATACATATTTTAAACATACCTACTTAATTACGATTTGAGTTCTTTTCGTCGGGGAAAAAGTAGAAAATAATAAATAAATAGTTTTAAAAGCGTATTTTTGTTACCCAATCTAAAAGTTCCGATCTGCGCATCACACGCCTAACCGTGACCGTAAAATTCTCACACGCGTCCGGCAATTTGTTCACGCACCGCACCGCACCGGTGGACGTGCACGTACAATGTAATGCAGGTATTGCATCGCACCAGTGCAATCTGTTGCTATACGAATATTGTAACGATAATATTATATTCTACGACCGAAAACACGTCACAATATTATAATATAATATAGTGTAGTTATAGTAAAGCGAGACTGTTTGTAGCCTTAGTCGTATAGAATAATATGCATGGATAACGTAAAAAGCAATAAAAATCCTCGGAACAAAAACGTGTCTTTTGTATTATCGATTAATTTAGATTCGGAAGTCGGTACCAATAAATATATCATCTATGCTGCTTATCCTTGGTCGAGTAATAATCGTAAGACTCAGACTAAAAAAAAAAAAAAAGTCACTATGGTTTTACTATATTTTTAATCTAGGCCTAAAGCATACGTGTTACATTATTTTTAAATTTAATTGCCGAGTCGTCTGTTTGCTCGCCGCCTATGAGTCATTGTCGTTTCCATTAATAAATCATATAATACCGCAGGTAGTTGTGAATTTAGTTTTCTGTCGGTGAAGGAACGAAAATATTATCGTGTGCATATCACGGAACAGATATTATATATAATATTATCTTTTATTGAAGATTGAACTTTTATTTCGCCCCTCCCCCCGTTCATAATATTTTTCTCGTCCGGGCCGCTAATTGGCCGGGTAAAACAATTATGAAAGGGGCGGATGGTTTAGTAGACGTTGTAAACGGGGTGTCCGGTATCATATTTATAGTGACCGCGAACGAAAAAAAAAACACAATACGTGTGCTAGTGTGAGCTCACATTATCATTATAACCGGCGATCGATTCTTATTCGGCTCCGAGAACCTACCGATTGACAATTACCGCGTTTCGGCAATATTGGACCGTAGCAATCTTTAGCCATCACGACCGCCACCACGTCAACAGTTGTAAAGTTCCCGATAACAATAGTTTATTGTAACCCGGAACGATTAATTGATAAGGATTTAAGGGGAGGGGTCGGCTTGGCTGTGAGACGTCGGTCATTCGGTCATACTGTAGGGACCCGTAGAACATTAAAATGTTATTGTGTAATAATAATAATAAAAAAAAAAAAAAATTAAAAAAAAAAAAACCGGCAACGTGTTCCGGCGGCGACGCAAACGCCGGTAGTATACGGTGACGTGGCAACACTGTCGGCGGCTATTTGTCACTCTCCGCCCCGTAATAATAATAATTGTATAATTGTTCGTTTTCGATTAAACTTTTTATAGACCCGTATGAGTGATAGTAAAATCGTTTCCAGCGTTCGTATTAGCAGATACGAATAAAAAAAAAAAATTATAATAATAATAATAATATTATTATCGAAAAATACGATGACGATAACACCACACTACTAACATAGTACACACTCGCACGCACGCACACGCTGACGCCTTCCGAGTTCCGACCCGTTCGGCGCGCGTCAGTATTCGACAAAACGCTGCCGCCGTCTTGTGTAGTTCAGTAATAAATTCACTCGGTCATCGGAATATTTTATTTAGTTTATTTATTTTTTTTTTTGTACACAACTAAATATCATTTTTGTAAATGTTTTTTTCTTTCTTTTTTCTCCGGTTTGGGATTAAATACTAAACGTCAATGTATGTCGTTGTCGTAATCCCTACCGCCCGTCAGAAACGGACGTTTAGGTAGCAGGCTAAGGCGGCGGCAGCGGCGCGGAGAGGACGTCGTTTCGCAACAATGTCAAAAATTTTCGGTATACATCATTTTGACGTATCATCTGTCCGTCTCTCTCTCGCGGGCGCGCGTGCGCTCACCCTCTGACATACTATAATATACTCGCACAACACTCGTCATATCGTCTTTTTTGCACGTGGTCCATTCAGTTTTCTACCCAACACCGCTGACCGAAAAAAATATGTTTTGTTTCCGTTTCAGCGCCAACAAAATAGTCATCAACAACGTGCCCAGCAACGTTCGGTTCGAACAGTTAGATCAGATTCTCAGTCAGTTCGGTTCTGTGAAAGAAATCGAAAAGCTCAGTCAACGAGATGGACCTACACAAGTCATACAAATCACGTTTGAATCCGCCGAACAAGCGCACAAGTGAATACCTAACATTTGATATAATGCCGTTTTTTTCTTTATTTTTTTTTTTTTTGTGTTTTATCGATTTCGGAAAATTGTTCTGGTTAGTTACTAGTTGTATGCTTAATAATTTGTTTGCAGTGCATTAGCTAATTTGATAGGCTTCGATCTTGAAGGTTGTCAATTAAAAGTCGAACCAGCTATGGAAAGGAGGAATCGCAGTGGAATAAGACCGAGGCACGTTACCTATGGTGCCCCTGGTGCTACCCCCACTATTGGAAACAGACAAACAGAGTTCCCGTTACGTATACTAGTACATAGCGATATGGTTGGAGCGATAATTGGTAGAGGAGGTTCGACAATCAAACAAATCACACAGCAGACGAGAGCTAGGTATGCTATTATCAATTGAACAAAACAAAAAACTTTTGTTTTTTCAATTGAGTTTATGATTCTATTATTTTTCACTTGATAGAAACATTAAATTGTGTTCTAGGGTTGATGTTCACCGTAAAGATAATGTTGGTTCTTTGGAAAAAGCTATAACTATTTATGGTAATCCAGAAAATTGCACAAATGCGTGCCGTAAAATATTGGAAGTAATGCAACAAGAAGCCACCAATACAAATAAGGGGTAAATTAATTTTCATCAAAACAATGAAGTTCTGAATTAACAAAAAAACCTATATGATGTGTTTAATTATATTTTTTAGTGATGTGATATTGAAGATCTTGGCGCATAATAATTTGATTGGTAGAATAATTGGTAAAGAGGGTAATACGATCAAGAGAATTATGTCTGAGACTGAAACGAAAATCACTGTATCTAGGCAAGTTGAATCATAATTTGTAAAATATTAAACAATAATTGATGTGTTTTCAAATTTTTAGTATAAATGATATCAACAGCTTTAACTATGAAAGGATAATTACTGTTAAAGGCTCAATAGAGAATATGTCTAAAGCAGAAGCTCAAATTAGTGCAAAACTAAGACAAAGCTTTGAAAATGATCTTCAATCAATGGCTGTAAATAATTCATTTTATTTATTTATTTTTCATTTTATATACATTTATTTAGTCTTGATTTACTCTTGTTATTTAGCCTCAAACCGTTATGTTTCCCGGACTTCATCCGATGGCAATGATGTCAGCAACAGGTATAACTTATCCAGGCCGCGGTGGTCCAACTAGTTATCAGCCGTTTGCACCAGCACCATATCCTCCTATATATCCGTCTACTATCCCACCAATCAACCCTGCCCTCGCTGCTGATGTTCAGGTATAGCTATTTTTATAAATATTTAATTATAAACTAATTAGTATTAGACTAAGTTATATGCTTATAAATTACTTTATTTAATTATATAGCAAGAAACCGCATTTATATTCATACCAAATAGTGCTGTTGGTGCTATAATAGGAACTAAGGGTTCAAATATCCGTAGTATGATTAGATTTAGCGGTGCATCGGTTAAAGTTGCTTCCACCGAAAATGAAAAACCAGGACCATCTGGTGATACAAACAGTGCTCAACAAGCCAGCCGAAAAGTGACAATTATTGGTTCAGCTGAAGCCCAATGGAAGGTATGATCATAATTAATGCTCGCAAGTTATTGCACTAGAAGTCTTAAAATTTATTTCATAATTGCAGTAAAAAATATCTAAAATTTCAATAAATTATTTTATTTACCAAATTAATAAAAAAATACTTCACGTTTTTGGGAAATAATAATTCATACATTATCTTATCAAATAATATTTCCACCATTGCTATCACAATAACAAAACCATCAATTATTAAATTAATTTTGGATGATATATTAATATATGACAAGGCCCCTTTCATTATTTCATTTCAAACATAAAAAAAAAAATTAAATCAAGTGAATAATATTTAAAAGTATCAAAAATTGTATCATAACTGAGGAAAATCAACAAAATTACAATCAAATCAAAATAATGACAAAAAGTTGCGCTAAAAAGTTTTAGATTTTAATTTGTACTTGCATGGAACAAATTTAAAACTTACTTAGCATTAAATCTGAAAAATAGAAAAAAAGTTCCAAATGCAAAAACTTCCAAGTCCTAATCATAATGAATATAATTTTGAGTTAACTATAAAATGGGATATTTTATTATTAATATCGTTATACTTTTTGTAGGCTCAAGGTATGATATTTGACAAGTTACGAGACGAAGGTTTTGTTCCAGCTACTGAAGAAGTTAGATTGACTGTAGAAATATTAGTACCAAGTAGTCAAGTTGGTCGTATAATTGGTCGCGGTGGATCAAACGTTAGGGAATTACAAAGAGTCACTGGGTCCATTATAAAACTGCCAACACAAGGATCAACCGATGGCACGGAAGATACCACCACAGTGCATATTATAGGTCACTTTTTAGCTACTCAAGTAAGCCTTGTAGTACCCAATACATATTTCTATTGGTTATTATCTTAATTGAATTACTAAGAACTGATTTGAATTTTTTTTAGTCGGCTCAAAGAAGAATCCGTTCAATGGTTGCAACTGGGGTCAATCCTGTGCCGCGTACATTACAACGCAACAGCAGACCCACAGAAACACCGCAGCAGTGAGTTCATGACAGTTATCGTTAAATTCTAGCAATATATCTCCTCCACCGACGTAAAAACATTTTTACAAAAAAATTTAACAAATAATGGCCATTCGCACCACGATACATTATTGTTGTCGGTTTATTTGCTACAGGAATTAACGACTGTCTTTATTCACAAAAATTTAAGAGCTACTGTTGACCTTGATGGTCAAAGGAGGGGATGTGACTGATTGCGTGACCAAGAGTACAAACGATTGTTTGGGTTTAGAAAGGGACGATTTTTGCCTGTATCTATCTTTAACAATCGGCTCTTTTTATACATGATTATTAACGTTAGGGATTTTTTTTTTAAAATAAAAAAGGGGAGACAAAATTTTGAGAGATACCTTTTTTTTCCTTAAATTTATTTTTGATAAATTGTTAAAAGTTATTTAATTTTTAATTTATTAATTTTTTTTTTTGTTAATTTTTTTTTATATTTAAAAAGTATATATTATATATATATTTATATATTTATAAAAATTTTATAAAAAAAAAAAAAATAACTATGGTAGGATGTAGCTCTCCCTTCCCAGGAGAGTTACATAGAAAATGGAGATTCAAAATTTTAATTAAATTAAATATAAACACTCAAAATTCAAAAAAAAAAACATTCATTCTAATCAAAGAAAAGTATAATATCTTCTCCCATTTAAACATAACGCAATCTATTTTTAAATTATTTTTTTTCTAGCTCTTAGTAGGTTTATGCATTAACCTGGCTACAAAAATTAGCGATAATCCATCCATCCCCCACTTAAAAAATTAAATAATGCCGCAGTAGCATTTCAAAATGGGCTAGTAGGAGGTCTAGTCCATAAAATAATTTGTTATTCTATATTTAAACCTATATATATATATATATATATATATGTACACATTTGTATATATACATATACATTTACATATATTTTAAACGAAACAATAATTTTTAAATTGTTATTATTATCAATTTTGTCTCCAGCATCTTGTTCTATGTTTACATGCATATTCATTTACACATACTCAATTTATTATGGGCATTATCATATATTATTTACACAATTTTAATTAAAAATAACTGTCTGTGACTTAAAAGATTGTGATTCATGTCAATAGAATATTTTTTTGTAATTTATACACTACGCAATAGTATGTTATATGATATGGATATATATGTAAATCCATATATGTCTATATATACACATACACAGTTAATTGTTATGTTTAAATTTAATTATATTTAGAACAAGAACGCTCTGACAAAGCAACCCCAAGCTTTATGAAGCGCTTAACCAAAGATTCATTATACATAGTTCGGTTACTGGGGGAAATTAAAAAGATAAATTATTGATTTTACATTTTTCTGTTATTAAAATGTTAAAACCACTAATTATTATTATTAACGCAACTTCATGGGCATTTAAAATGTTAAAAAAAAAAACAGATGAATTGAGAGTTAATTATTATTATTATTATTATTATTATTATTATTATATTATTATTATTATTATTATTATTATTATTATTATTATTATTATTATTATATTATTATTATTATTATTACAATTATTATTATAGAATAGATATCTGTAGATTTCTGGGCACATTTCCTCTCATATTAAAATTATTGTTTTAAGTTTATTATTCATTTTGTAATTAAAATACTTGATAAATCCATACAAACAACCGTGTATGTGTTAATATTGTTAACAATCTTGTCGTTTAATAGGTCATGAAATTTAAAACAGAAATTGTAATTAAAATTAAAACGGCTGATTGATATGAAAAACACAATATTTATATTATCTCACTAAAGTGAAAACGGAGATTTTATTTACTACAGGATATCCACTAATTCCCAAAATAATTATAGGATATTACAATACAAAACATTTAAAAAGAAAATAACATTGGATTATTCAATTTAAATTTGTGTATTTTACTAAATTAATATATACTCTATTATTATATTAATTTGTTTTCATATGGACTTAATTGTACTGTATTTAACAAAATCGAAATTGCAACTAATAATACAATTAACTTATTAGTGCTCATCTTTTTAGTTTTTATTATTATATTATTGTTTATTATTATTGTATCTTGAGTGCTTCATATTTTTTTTTTTATAGTTAATCTGATTTTTGGGCTTTAATATTATTATTATTTTATTTTATTTCTTTAACAAAAATAATCACTATATATTTTGTGACATAACAGCTTATACAATTATTATTTTTGATTTTTGTAAATTTTATGTTCATTTTTAAATCTTCTTATTGTTTTATTGAAATTAATTGAAAAAACTATTTTTTGAATTTTATGTTTTAATATGTTGATGATGATTATACCCTTTAGTTAATAATTTATCAATCTATATTTGTCATTTTCAGTTTAATTTGTAAAAAAAAAGAAATTATCTCTTACTAAAGTATAATAATTGTATTTTTTTAAAATCATAATTTGGAGGGTAACTGAACTTGATTACATACATTTTTTTAAGGAATCCGTAAATTAATAGGAATCCAATCATATTTAAAAATATTTTATTAATATATTAGATTCAAGTCTGTTTAAAAGCAAACTATATATATATATATATAAAAAATTATCAATCACTCATAAGCCATAAATCATTTAACACAAAAATTAGCATTATATATATTATTATTATTGTATGCTTTATAATTTAAAGAAAATTACATTTTTATTTCAAAAGTTATCATAGAATAGTTTGGTGAAAGGGTTAGTAGAAAAAAATAAATACATAAATAATAATAATTAAAATATAAAAAATATATAATTTCCGTAATACCACTGGTAGGTAAGCCGACTGTAAAATATTTAATTAAGAAAAAAAAAACATAAGACCGAGAAAGAGCTAAGTAAATGCAGGGGAAAAAAAATCACGACAGCCTCACCCGGACAGAACAGGAGTATATATTATTTTAATATTTTTTTATTAATTTTTTTTGGGGGGGAAAGGAGGGGATGTTAGGCTAAGATGCAGTTTTTTTCTATAATCTGTCCATCAGCCGTTGTGCATTTTTACCAATGAATCCAATTTGTCGTTTGTAATAGAATTATTATAATATCTGTGTATGCAGTCAGAACTAAGATAATTATTTACGTATGTTGCATTTTGTATTAATTATTATTATTATATATATGTGTCGGAGATATTATTATGTATTCAGTTATCTTGTTCTTGTTTAATTTTTAACGATGACGTTCCGCGCTGTTAATTAGTTTTGTATACAAACGTGCATTTTATTAATACGTGTATAAGTGTCCAGTGTATTATGTATAGACGCTGTGTTACAGTCTCCTTTTTCTACCATGGGAAAAAAATTAAATTATTCTAGTTATAAAAAATAAAAATAAATAAATTGATTGTATATATATTATGTATGTATGTACAATATTGTATTGTATGTATATATGTATATATATATGCATATATATTTGTTTGTCTAATATTTATTTTGTTAAATTGTCACCTAATTATCATAATATTACACATTTAGAAAATCCTTAATCTATTCCTAAGAAATTTTTTATTTGAGATTTTATTTTCTCTAAACTGAATGTCATGGTGTTGTTATTTTGGGATTATGTTCACAATCTATTTTTGTTAGTTAACAATTCTATGTGGCAATTATTGAAACACAATGCAATATCACTTAATATCTTCACCTTTATTCAAAAAGTAATCTTGTGTTAAAAATGATCTACTATACAGACAACATACTGTAAGGTGTTCATTATCTTGGAAAGTATAAAATTGTGTTATTTGTTTTTTGTCACCCTTACTTTTGGTTGTGACTAGATGTGATTAGCACAACTGACTATTACTACCGATTATTAATCAGTTTTCATCGAATACTACAAAATAATTGTTTGACTAAAAATTTACACAATCAACTAACCTAAAATGTTTGAAATAAGTCGATTAATTGTTTCTTAGTCAACTAAAAATTAGCTATTGGGTAAATATTAGTCAATTAATTTCTATTCAATAACCGTTATAGTTGAATATTATTAACTAAGTGGCTTGTAATTGAGCTGAACACGGCAGTGAATAGTAGTGTTAGTCGGCGAGACAAATGTTTAAGGTTAGTATAATATATTGTATTTAAAAATTTGCACAGTTGGAGTGAGTGTTGTAAGTGACAGAATATTTATATTTGCTTTTTCTGGACATTGTAACATTTTCAAAACGAGCCTTTTTTGAGCTATTTATAGACATATTTTGCGATTTTTTTTTTTTTAAGTAATTTTTATTTGGTATGTACTCTGTGGATAAAATTGTTAGACTAAACAGACAGGAGGTTCGTTATAAGACGTACTTATAGATTATAGTAGTAGAAAAAAAAAATTAGTAGTTAGTTGACTAAATTAGTTACACAGCATTACCGACTATTTAGTTGGTTGTGCTCGTCTTTAGTTGTGGCACCACCAATTATTTTTGATTTTTAAAAATTAACTTATACTAAAAATTCCACAAAGTTGAAGTTAAAATGTAAATACATTTTGGTGATTAATATCCATCAACTTCGTTGATGAAATATTCCACTTTTAACTATGCCAGTCATGGTTAGAGAGAGATTACTATAGAACTATTCAATTGCCTTATATTATGCTGCTACACAAATGGTGTACTAATTTTTACTTAAAAATGGAATATCTTGTCTAAAAATTATAGCATCAAAATTAATTTAAACTTATATTCTATATATTTATGAAATTCTTCATACAGGTTGCTATTATTTGAAAATCAAAAATGAATTGTGGTTTTACCCCCTAATACTAAGGCGTTAAAAAATAATGATAATGTAACACTTAAGAGCTACTTGTTTCTTAAATATTATATATATATATGCTGTCTCACAAAGATATACCCCTATAATATCTCTAAAGATAATCCAATTCTGTTTTTTTTTTCATATTGCTCACAGGGAAAAGGACTACAAATATTTATAATTGAATTCATTTTTTTAATAATAAAAAAAAAAATGGATTATCTTTATTATCTCTGTAGATATTTAAGGGGTATATCTTCGTGGGACAGCCTGTATAATATAAAAAAATAATTCACTTAATTATATAGTTTCCAATGTTATGAGTATCTTAAGTTTGAAAACATATTTCCATAATGTAAAATATAATTAATGACCAATATTTGTTGAGAATTTCAGAAAAAACTGTACAGAATAAAACAACAAAAATTTGAAAAAGCGTTGCTGTAGGTGAATTTGCAAGATCATAATTTCAATAGCAATATTTTCATATTAAATATGCAACTGTGAGTATATTATAATAATAACAGGACAGTCTTATTTTATTTTTTCTTAACACTAATTGTAGAAAATTTTGTTTGTATATTAATATTATTAATATTGTTACCTCTTATGTATACTTATACAGTTGTATGTTTGTTACACTACATTGGGACAAACATAACAATTTAAAAAATGTTTCGCTCAATATTAATCCAAGTTTCAGTACTGGACCAGCTCTAGTTTTGTGTGCAACGTACTCAGCTTGAACAGTTATATTATTATAAATTCATTTACTTTGTTTATATACTTATATTCAATGTGAAATAAACATATTTTCCTTAACTTTATTTTATTATTTATGAATAATTTGAATTGGTATTTTGGTTTATTTTGCTACCAACTTCAGTGAAATCAAAATGTTACTTAAATGTGGCTATACAGAATGGGATTAGTTGTCGTAGTACAGTATTATGATACAAATCTCATAGCAAATAAACATATCGCAATGATTTTGTTTCAGTATACCATGATATTCTGTGCGTGTGCCAGTTTTGGCATTTATCTCGATGAATAATTAAAATATTGTAAACCTAACCTAACAGTCAAACAGTGGCGGCTCGTACTATTGGGCACACGGGCACGTGCCCTTACCTGCAAAATTGAAAGAAAGAAGGAAAATTATATTAAATTGAAATTGAATTGGTGTTTCCATCATAATAATATAGTTGGCATATTATTTAAAAATATTATAAAAAAAAAAAAAAAATGTAATCAAAATAAATACGGGTGCTCGTGCGTACAATACGTACGATAGTATATTATACGGGCGTGGGCGGCGGGCACAACGAATTTGTGCCCGCCGCCGATGAACGGTATTAGATTTCCCCCACTTTTCGTCAAGAATTAATACTGTCGGACCGTGCCCGGATACTATTTTTATTACGATTCACGGGATTTTGTCGGTCTTATCGACTTCGTATTGCTATCGTCGACCGTCTTTCGTGGTACAGACTTTATATTTTGATAATATGATAATAAACGGTAATTTTTTGTTCATTCTCTGTTCGTGTTTACTGTCGTTTTGTGTGTGTAATTTAATATTTACAAATTTACAATACCTAATTTATTTAATATTTTTTCTATTATTCATCATGGATAGATATGACTGAGTCAAATAATATTATATATATATATGATAGTGATATAATTACTAGGTAAGTTAATTTGTTTATCATTTATATTTATTTTTCAACTTTTTAATGATAGATTGACCTCGGATTTATATACTGTTAAAACGTTTGAAATATGATGTTTGTATGCTGCAAAAATTAATGAAATACTTTTAAAATATATATTAAAAAAAACTGATGTTATTAAATTTTTAAATTGTAGATAACATTATATTATTATTTATTGGTGTATCATGGCTTCATATGGGTACATCGTGATAAAAATATAATTGTTAACGAACTTGTTAAGTATTTTCTAATTTCAAACTAAAGCCATATAAGGAAGGTTAGGTATAAAACACTTGAATACTTGATACTGACGAAGAATGCGTAAACCTTATACGTTAGAAGATGCCGAAGTGCAATCTAATAACATTTGAAATGGTATAGCAAATGATTTACCATTCATTTTCAATTCATCTATTTTTCATTTGGAATATTAGTTAGCTAAGGGATTTAAATATTTTTTTTAGATGTTGGCGGGCAAAGAGTGGATTATCGTTTGAAGTGTAGATATGGCTTTGTCGTCAACAAAGTTGACCACTTTAGTGTGAGGAGTAATAAATTGGTTGATCATCTGCATATATAAAAATCTAATTAAAACATAAGTGTGAAATCTCCAAGTAACATTTAAGATGCAGTACTAAATTTTATTGAAACTGTCCAGTCCACTGCATGGAATTCAACTATCCGACCACAAAATAATCACTAAACATTTATCAATTCCTGGAAAGGTCCGTCAACTAATAACCCAAATCAGGTGATCCAGAGCCCGATGACAACGCACAAGACTTCCATCCGACAAACGTAACTATAATAACCTAACCTGGTCACATAAACGCATTCTACACTAACTAAGGAACGAATCCTTTAATAACTGAATTTCATTCCTAACAACAAAAGATAATTATTCAATATAAAAGAAACACGGAATAAATTATTGTTTAAAACAAAAGTCCATCTCAGCTCCTCTAAAATGGTATATGGTGGAAATCAGGTAAAAGGAAAACTGAAATATTTTATTCTCACCTTTCAGAGGTCTTCAAATCCCATCAAGACATTGTCTACGGTACTTTTACTAAAACTATTGAAGACTCACTTGTCTCTGCCTTACCACTTCATCTTTTCCCATAACCTTTTTCTCCTGGTGAAGTCAAATATTTTATTCATTTTTTTCTCACGTAAAATATTACCTAGGATAGATCATATCATGGCTAAATTAGCTCATCAACTGTTAAAAACTGCATTAATTCATCTAACTTATCATTTCATTTCCCTAGCATGGTAAACCTCCTGACGTTCCGTCCTCATACCTCCCAATACGTCTACTATAATATTTCTAAAACTGCATGAAAAACTGATCTTAACCCTTTATAGGGCATTAGGCGCTTTAGCTTTATATGGTCTAAAATTTATTTTTAATGATCATAAATGTATGTTTTAAGAGATTGAAAAAAAAATTGTATGAATACTGTATTGAAAGGTGAAAAAATAATAAACTAATAATTGTATAGGTCATCGCTTAATATTAAAATGGCCACTGGTAAAATATGTTACCGCCAAATTAAAAATTAGTGACTCCAACAAATTACAAATGTCTGTGTTATTAATTATGAAAATACTGAAAATGAATACAATTAATAAATATAATAATCCTACATAGGTTTAATTGATAATATTTTGATAAATAAGTACTAGAAAGACGTCTTAGGATAATGAGGACGGGTGCAGCTACTGTTATAGATAATTTAATGTATACCGGTAAGCAACAAAAAACCATGGCTTACGAAAAAAACGATTTTGAGCGGAGTTCAGTTGATAGGGTGACGCGTTATTATTCGGAAAGTAATTGTCTGGACCGCGGAAATTCCGGAACGTATATTTTCGGAAAA